TTGGCGGGAAATCAACAAGCGGAGTATATCGTCACAATATCCTCCGCATATTGGGTTTTCCGGAGTATATCATCACGATATCCTCCACCCGGAGTATATCGTTACGATATCCTCCGGATATACATTTTGCCAATAAATATCAAATTTATTTTTTCATGTTATTATACATTTAGTACACTAAGTGTAGGATAATGAGGTGTATCTCATACTTGAGTGGGTTTGGGGTAGATATCACCCGGGAATATATATCATATCTGAGGAGCGGGCAGGATATATTGTATATGTCCTGCTCCAGGCCAAATGCGGGCAGATATAATATATCCATCCCGCTCCCGGGAATTTTTCAAAAGTTTAAAAAAGTTTAAATATCAAAAGTTTTAATTTTAAAATTTATAAAATTTAATTTTTTTAAGTTTAAATGTTACAACTTCATTGTATTGAACAAAAAGAATATTACAAAATGTTAAATATAAATATCTTGTCATTTGAAAAAGGTGGAAAAGGTTATATCTACCCTAAACCCACTCAAGTATGAGATACACCAGTTATGCACGGTCGGTTTGGATACATGGAATATCCCTCGGGATATTCCCTGTATCCAAAACCTCCCAGTGCATAACCCCTATGTATTAGGTTTTACTTCAGTACTTCATATATATTCCAGGGTAGAATATTGAGTTATTTACAGAAATAGATAGATACATAGAACATATGAGATGGTTTACCTGAACCAGTGGAGATGCTAAGTAGCAGATGTGCTCTATGTTGGCATATTATCCCCCCTCTGATGTACTTCTATCCATAGGCAAAAATAGCTGATAAGTGCATTACCAAGGATAAGTTCAGAAATGACTTACCTTCAGCTAAATTGTTATTACTGGTGGTAGGCATTATCAAATATTTATATTACCAAGCACATGGTTGTACATGCTTGAAGGTAATTGCAATGTCAAGGTGTTCAGAAAAAAGTGGGAAAAGTTAACTTTTATGCATCTTTATAATTAAAAGATAACCTCGTGACCCAATGTTATTAATACGGAGTTGTTTGAAAGGAAACTGAATGTTTGGGTTAATTCAAACACAATTGGCTTGCTACAGTTTTGAAAAGGGATCCCAACACTGGCATAACATCAGGAAAATCAATTCGAAATTTCTTATTCAGTATCTTAGTAAGATACTCTGGGATTACTAGAAAGTAGAGCTGTTTACTCATTAACCTTAGCACCTGGTGGCCAGTGGTGGAATATGCAATCAAGAAATCTATAAAAGGGAGTTGGTTTATGTATTATAAATCAAGTATCATCTTTAACAATATAACCCTTTGAAGTGAATATTTGCTCATCTTAAAACTTTTAATTTAAAACCATATTCATGCAGTTATACATGTTCTGAACTCTTATAAGCTGTTAAAATTCACCTTGCCTGAACCGAGTTAACCTTTACCATCTAGCAGCTTCTTTAATATTTGTTTTTTTATTGTATGCCTAAAGCTATAATCAAGAAAAGGAAATATTTTTTGAAATTTATTTTTGTTTGAATGCACATGTCTGTTCAATAGGCAGACATCCGGGACATGTTGACCTTAGTTTATGATGTGAAATATTAAGTTTCAACCATCATGGTATCTTATACTATATGGTAATTTCTATATCCTTTGTAAGAAAGAATGCTGTTTCAACAAGAAAACCAAGAGTTCACAGAGTGCTTACCAAGATTTCATGAATCAAAGATGATAATATGTATATAGCTAGATTCTTATTCTGTCTCTTAGTACCGTCTTCTAAATTGATAAAGGTGGTGAGATTTTGCATGTTAACACCTTGTTTCAAAATAGTCATATTCAGAACTTTTCTCAGTTTTAAAAAACTGATGGGAACACTGATTATCTTAAATATGTTAGTGATCTCCCCACTGTATATAAATGATCTACCCAGACTATATATTAGTAATCTATCTACTGTATATTAGTGATCTGCCTAGTATATTATTGATCTTCCTTTGTATATTAGTGATCAACATACTGTATATTAGTGATCTACCTTCTGTATATTAGTGAGTTCCTCACTGTATATTATTGATGTATCTACTGTATATAAGTGATCTACCCACTGTATATTAGTGATCTACATACTGTATATTAGTGATCTACCCACTGTATATTAGTGATCTATGTACTGTATATCAGTGATCTTGTATGATCAAAGCAACTGGATGCTGTACAAACAAAATGAAATAAGATTGATGTTTTGTTAGATCGGCCTGTATTTCTTATCAGGTAGTTTCTAGGCCACATTTGTTTATTGACGGATTTGTGTTAGACTGGAGAAAGCTTTAGTTTCATACATCCTTGGTTGCAGCATGTTTCCTCTATCACAACAACTCCACATCTTCCCAACATCAGCTGGGTTGCCATAGCAACAGGTGTTTTAAACTATCTTAGAATCTTCTTTCAACAACAAATGGAAGTGGTTTCTGGATACCTTCCATTAGTGGTGGTACAATGCACCAGCAACTTGATCGAATAATCACTCATTTGGGTGAAAGTGTTTGAAAATCGATTTTTGTTTTTAACTAACTCTGATATGGAATTTACAGGTAAAAATATAGAATATGAAATGCTCCCATCCATCTCTTCTATTGGGTGTTTATTCAAGTCTATACCACTTGCTATAAACATTAAAACCTCCTAAAAACAGAATATTGTGTTTTTGTGGCTGTTTCATGACTCAAACATAATGAACTTGATTGCCTGGATGTTATCAATGAAGTAATAACAAGGAGGTTTGGCAAGAGCTCAAGTGAAGATAAATATTTCAAGATGTGCAAGGGTTAAATAGATCTGATACTCATGATACTTGCCAGGTCAGATACACCAATGGTTGTATTGAATACATATTTGCATTTTGGGTCTGGGCTCTATGTTACTGAAGAAATCACCATGGAAATCTTCATTGTCTGTTGTAAGAAAAGAGATATGGGTATTAGAATGATAAATCAACAGGTTTGGTAATCTCGGTTGGTAATCTTATTGAGAGAAGAAGTGAGGCAGGGTTGGGTTGGGTCATCAGCGAAAATTTTATACTCAGGTTAGGCCAAGGAATATAAAAGTGGTAAAGCAAGTCAGAATCCTTTCCGTATATAAACAGTATTCTCCCCAAAAGTAGTCTACTAGTCTTCCACTACTTATGAAGGAGGGATAGGCCCATAATCCATTTATTGTGATCAATATGTTATCGTTTTCAAAATATCAAATTAGTGAAGATAGGTACCCTATACATGAGCTGCGCCACACAGACTTTCTTTGTTTTCTAATCAGCTGATTATCTTGCATTTTATTTTTTGGCAACATGTTTATTGATACAGTGTTTTCAGTAGGTTTATCCAAGATTGCGTCACTGGGATATACTTATTTTCAAAAAATGCATCTTCCCTCAAAAAACTGCGTCTCTTGAAAAAATGTTCCCGGGAATTCAAAGTCACGTTTTTCCACTTGGCGAAATGAAATTGATGAAATTTTGTATCGCTTTTGCTCTTATCGGTCTTAATCAGCGTTCTAGCGAGTCTAGTTTGTCATTGAATGATACAGATGCTATCGCTTGTGAGCTATAACTTATATTCAACCATAAAACACACATTTTCTTTGCCTATTTCGAAGCAATTTGGTTTGATTGCTCAGAAATATTTTGCTTTAGGGGCAATCTGCGCGAGGTTCCATTTTTTCGTTCAGTTTCTTGCGCATGCGCATTCTTAAATAATGTTCACGTGATCGCACTACTTGACCAATAGAAAATGGTTTAAATCAGTCTTCAGCTAGCGGCCAATCGTAGGACTTGTACTGATTACTGCTCTGAAATCAAGTATTCAGGATAACTATTTTTCTTATCACATGCCTCGTATTATTTCGAAAAATAAATCAACTTCCGGGAAGGAAACTTTGAAAGAAAATTTTATTTCTTTTAGAAATAGAATTTCCTTCAATTATTTAGAGTATTCTGACGAAATAAAGAGACTGAAGGTAAGATCTTTATCAAATCATTTATCAAAAGTTGATTTTGTGCACATGACTTGCACTGCGTCCACAAAACGCAATCACTTTTTATTTCCGAGTCCAAGGGATATATTTTGCATGCATGTAATGTAAGGACAGCGTTATTGAAAACATAGTTGATATGATATACTGTACTAGGGAAACATTTTGCCTTTGCATATAAACAATCTCCTTCGAGTTTGAAAGTTCATTCTGGGCACTTTTTAAGTGATTATGGCCATTTTCAGATCAAAATTGTCAAAATAGAACCCCCCTGGAATTTTTCAAAAAGTGACCCCCCCCCTTGGCAAATCCTGGCTCAAGCCTGTTACATAACCTTTAATTGGGATACGATAAACTGTCAGTGGTTTCCATATGGGAAATTTAGGATTGACTCAGTTTTGATTAACAATGAAGTTGCCGTCTTCTGATTTTTTATTTATTTTTTGAATTCAAAGCAACAAAAGGACTCGTTTTTACATAGCTAAATACAGCCATAGTAAAACTCAAGTCACGACTCAATTTCGCAATACAATTTACATCCTTAGACATTGTGTAAAATCCTCTTATTCACTAATGCTTATGAATCTATTTGTATCCAGGGCATGTTCTAATCTACAGCTTATACAGAGTAACCATGTTCTTTCCCGTCCTTTTTAGTCTCACATCCATCCTTTTAAACCCTAATACCAAACAACATCTTTATATAAGGGTACAGAAATGGATTCATTTAAAAACATAACACATAACATCTTAACCAGTCTTAACACCATATGTTATATGATTCTGAAAGAAAACATTTACTATAGAAAAGGTGGGTGTTCACTGAGAGTGCCCCTTTCATTGGTGAGATGTTTATTACTATTTTGTAAGGTACTCCTTAATAGTGAGAATATAGTGGTATATAAGGAACAGCATTGAGCAGAATTACATCTCTAATAAGTTATAATACATTTCATCTCTATATTTCCAGTCTGGTGTTTGGCACACTATACCCAGCCTACGCCTCCTACAAGGCAGTCAAGACAAAGAATGTCAAAGAATATGTAAGTAAATTTCTTGTGCCAAAAAGCAGCATCTGTGTTTGTTAACATCATTAGGCCATTAATGTAAAAGTTACCCAAAGGAAAATTGTTTTGATAATTTGCCATCATTTATATCTATTATGTTCAAGATGATTAATTAATTATCTACTTTGTCACACATTCAGACATCATCATCAATTGTCCATTTTGCTCCATCTTTCAAAGTAAACTATAATAGAGCCAGTTTTAGTAAAATTTTATACTGTTGATTTAAGTAGCAGTTTCATTCATTTGAAAGCATCAAGGAGAATTAAAAGCAAAATGGACTCTTCACAAAAATATTGAAATACCAATTTTGTTTTTGATTCAGCAGAGGGCAAGGTTATGGTGTTTTCTTTAAATTGAGATTTCATCATTTATTTTTTATTTGCAGGTAAAATGGATGATGTACTGGATCGTATTTGCCTTATTCACATGTGCAGAAACCTTCACTGATATTTTTGTTTCATGGTAAGTATGTGCATGATAGTGCACATCAACAAGATTTTAGCATTCTCTGGTATCTTAGCGATTGATCTCAAATATAATTCTGTGCCTCTATTTTCTTGACATGTTAGGATCTTGTTGATTGGAGACCATGTCAATAAGTAACCATCTAATTAAAAATTGATGTTCAGTGTTCACGCTAGCCATTTAAATTTCTGAGTCCCAGGGACGCAACACATTTGAAAAATGTGAGTCCCGTCTAATTTTTTTGCGTCCCTCATATTTTGTTATAAAGTGAAAGTAAAGTGGGCGATAATAGAGTGCTTCCGCTAAAACGGGATAAAAATGACATATATTGTAATTCTATGCATTCTCCCGATAAATGTATTTGTATTTATTATTTATTATAGTGTCACGCCATAAAATATTACATAGTACTAAAACGATATTAAAAAACATTGGCCCTGCCGATGTCGGCATATGAGACACTTAACAACAATTCGATTAATAAGTTAATATAAGAATGTTCGACGTTTCATACAGAGTTTAATTACAGTCTTTGCTAGGGAACGTTGCAACAATTCACAATTCATAAGTAAGCAATACTGTCCTAGACTAGTGGTATCACAGTCATTCCCTATTAGCGACCTGGCCTTATGCAAAAGCTCTCTCCTCTCAGTCTCATAAAGGTGACATTCTATAACAAAATGAATTTCTGTTTCCACGGCGTTGCCACAGAGACATAGTCGCTCATTAAGTGGAATGTTGGTGTATCTCCCAGTCTCTAATTTGAGTGGCAACGTTCCGCTTCTAAGTTGGGCAATAGCACGCCTCTGAAAGCGAGTGAGGTTCGCATTAACATAGTATTCCGGACCAATGGCGTGTGTCTTATGTAATCGATATGTTCTAACTTTATTACCATTAACATTGCGTCCGTTATTCCACATTTGACGATGCCAAAGCTCGTGATCACAGTTAAATAAAATATCGTGCAAATCACGAAGTTCTTTTCTGATGTCAGGGATTTCGTCTCGTGTTATAAGATGATCAAAATCATGAGTCTTAATGAGTTTAATAAATATCTATCATTTGGTCCTTTTCACACAATTGTTTACTAATGTTATATAAAAATTCTCCGAAATGAATGAAAGAAATATTCAAATTAAGAGTTGTTTTCACATTTTACCAACCAGCGATCTTCAAGGTCGTGAACTTTTTGTTTCTTCTAACATTTCTCCTTACTCTGACGACTTTTAGATGAAAAACGAGCTATCATTAAATAATTATATTGATGTATAACATTAGATCGATATCTAACGGTTCCTAGTGGAAGTAATTAAGATTATCGTGAAAAACAAATCTCAATTCTCAATTTTGAAACTAATGTTTGCGTACAACAGATTATCCAGCTTCGGTATACTCCGGAATGACTCGGAGGGCACCATAGCCAATCAAAATGCGTTTCAGACTAGAAACCCCGCGAATATACTGAGACACTTCGGTAGCCAATCAGATTTGCCGACATAAACATTATCGAGATCAAGGAAGTAGACGATTTGAAAATTCTTCGGACAATCATGTTTTATCACTTCTACGCTGCAGTAAAAGTTACCTGATGGTGGTGTAGAATCTCTGCGTCCCAGGGCCGTAAGTTGTTTCTGATTTTTCCGTCCGGCCTCTTGAAATTTCCGTAAAAACGAGAAAAAACGGCTTCAACGCGAACACTGATGTTATTGGAGATGTTTTCTCTCAAATAAGTAACTTATGAATCAGTTATATGTGCATTGTGCATTCTCTCTTCAAGAGACATCAAGATGACGTTTTGAGAATGTCATATTGAATTTTTCAACTGTATTCACTATATCACATATATTAATGCACTGCTAAACTGTACCCTCTGATAGGTTTCTTGTGCCGTTTGTTAGACAGTTATAGTAATAAAAAAGAAAAGATGTGCCTACTTTCATGTGACTTGAGATGTACAGTTCATTAGGCTAGAGAAGTGTTCATAAGAGAGAGATTTCCCATCAGGTCTTACTCTGTACATACAATGTACATACTCACTGAAGTGAAACTGATAGTAATGTTTTAATGTTTTTGTCTTGCAGGGTGCCATTCTACTATGAGGTCAAAGTAATTTTTGTAATATGGCTCTTGTCTCCCGCAACTAAAGGCTCAAGTATTCTCTACAGAAAATTTGTTCACCCTCAGCTTATGAAAAGAGAAAAAGTAAGTAAACTTCTGTACATGATTCAATACAAATACCACACCTATATACCGTACCACTAAAATGAGTATATAAAGTGTAGAGTGCCTCACACCATTTTGCAAAGCATAGATTTGTGACATACTATATGCCGCCATTGTGCTTGCTTAGACCATGTTTTCATTGTTGGTTTTGCTAATAAGTAGATATGAACCCAAAATGTTTGACAGAAATTATGGAAAATTATTCAAGTTCAAGCATTGAAAATTATATATTAAATATCAAATACATGTCATTTCACTTTCATGATGATAACTTTTCGTATACAGTTCCTCCAATTAACAGTAGGACCTAATGATTTGATGTTTGGCAATCAGTAAATACACATGACCGTGTATAAATATTTTGAACCTGTTTATCTGACTTCAGGATATAGATCAACTCATTGAGGAATTTGATAAATTATTGTGACTTCAAGTAGGACAATTTATAAAATTAATTGTACCATCTATGTGTTTTATCATAGCTTTGGTGTTTTAAAACATTGTTATCTATTTTCACACGTATGTGTTTATTTAAGCCACTGACTTATGATTCATGTTGATTCAAATTCAAGTTTACTATTCTGTTTTACAAAATACTTTAATAACAGGTGTGAACCAATTAAGTCCCAAACAATACCAAGACTGCTTTTTATCGTTTTTGATATTTTACATACTCAAGTTAAAAGATTTTGTGCCAAGTTTTTTAATCCTCTATGAATCACATTTAAAACATCTGATCTTTAACCTGCCTCCTAATGTATGGCTTTGCCTTTTTAGAATTTCGGAAATTTTAGAATTTTAAACATTTTTGAACTTACAGTAGAGTTCTATGAAAAAAAATTAATCAAAACAAAATAAAAAATATCTTGAAAATGTGCCAAGATATTTAAGAAAAAGAACATTAAGATATTCAGAGGAATAATCAAAATAATTTTTGCCCTACATATAACATAGTAGTATCTAAGCATCTCTTTAAATGGGTCTCATTCTTCCTGATAAATGATTTCATTGATAGTGATGTGTTGTTGCTTGTCTTTCCAGGAGATAGATGCCTACATAGCTAAAGCCAGCGACAAGGGATATACTGCTATATTAAAGATGGGGTCTTCAGGGTTCAACTATGCAACTAATATAGTCCTTCAGACAGCTATGAAAGTAAGCTATTAAATAGTATCAAATTGAGATTTAACTTGACGTTTCAAAGTTATTTCCTCTACTTACATATTGGCCTTTGATGTAAGATGCATACCATCTATAGTATATTTGAATAAACATTCTCTTTTGTTAGTACCTCAGTGTAAATACTCGCATCTGATTGGTCAATTAGCGGTCAACATTTTTGCCTGTACCTCACTTGTGCATCATGGGATATCATATTATTGACCGCGTATGTTACTGTACTACACTTGTGAATTATGGGAAATATGACGTCACAATGTTTACAGAAAAAACATGGTAGTCGGACATTTTGTACATTGATGAAAGTGATATTTTGACTTTTCTACACGACGAGTATAGCAACAATACAAATAGAAACGCAAAATTAACATTAATTTACTGGTGAGTACGCAGTTGTGTGCCGAAAGCAGAGAGTTTAGCTTCCACTGTCTTCAGATTTTCTTAAAAATTATTGCTGGCGTGGTTCGTAGAAAAGATTGTGAAATGAAGCCATGATTGATGACTGTCGTATAATATTATTAGTTTCTTCTGACTAACAAAACAATTGTAGACCTCTCTCTTCGGTCAACCGTCAAAATCATATACCTCGACTGTAAACCTTGAAACACTGTTGACCTCGACCTTCGGTCTCTGTCAACAGTAGTTTCTCGGTTTACAGTCTCGGTATACAATTTTGCCGGTTGACCTCTGGAGAGGTCAACAATTGTATACTGTTCAATTCTGAGTATAATATCTTGTGTTTCAGGGGCAAACTAAACTAGTGGATCAACATTTAATTCTTGTATGCAGTGGGGCAAACTTAACAGATGGATTTACATTTGAATTCTTATTTTGCAGGGGCAAACTAAACTAGTGTATCAACACATGAATTCTTTTGTTTCAGGGGCAAACTAAACTAGTGGATCAACTTCGTAAAAGTTACAGTATGAATGACATTGCAGTAGAGCAAGCTCAAAATAGAAACAACAGCAATCAAAATCCTGATGAGGATGAGATGGATGGAGATGGTAGGGTTAATTTACAGGCTTGAAAGGTTTAATTCTCAAGCTTGAAAGGGTTAATTGGTGTCTGGCAAGGGTGGTGGTTTGATTTTGGTGAAAAGCTTTTTGAATTAAAAACCTTTTGGTAAAATGCTTATTGTGCTTCATTTTAGTATAAAATAAGCCATATTTGAAATGAAATCACTAATACCAACTACATTTACTATCAATTATTTATTTATTTAATCATCTTTGTACATTTTTTACATTTTTGTTAAAATCATATATTTTTCATGATCTTGATTGTTGTACCATGAAGATACGTACTATTATAGCTCCTTTCATACACTTACTCATACACCTCTTCTATTCAGCGGTGTGATTAACATTATTTGCCTGGATTTCATCTCTTATCTCAGAAAGTTCATCATCTCACATCATGGCCATTTTTGCATATACTGATGTTGAACTCAAAAGGAGATCTGGATAATATTTGAAATTCAAAACAATTGAAGATAATTTGAAATGAAATCCAGGCTGATTTTCTATGGCCAGAGCCGGGAACAGGGTTATGTAGTGAACTGTGGAGGGATCTTGTATTATTGTGGTCATTGTTCCTGCTTTAAACTGTAAAATGTAATGCAGGAAATTCATTAAAATTGAACACTGCTAGGTCTGGCTAAAAGTGTTCATTGAAATGTATTCACTTTTAGAAGTTCTAAAAACTAATGCAAAAGTTGGAACTGAAAAACTGTCCATGTTAGACTGTTTGCATTTTTACAGTTTAAAGCATCACAATTGACCATTCTTTAATGAATTAATCATTGGTGTTTCTATTCAATGTTCCTTGAGAATGTTGGGGTTGAAACTTGCATGGCCATTTTTGCATGTCATATCATTATTAGTCATATATCCCCCATGAGCGCATTCTTGTTTCTGCATGTTGTACTTTTGAAATACAAGTTGGCTATATTTTTTTGCTTGTGCTCCAATTTCTATTTACTAATGTACTCAGTGTATGGATTTTTGCATGAAGAAATTCAATAATTTCCACACAGCTGTTTCTCAATTAATTACTTTTAATATGGCTGCATCTTAAAGAAAATTATGCAAGGCCAATTTTAAGGCTTATCAGTGTGCTATATACTCTGTGTATGTCCTTTACATGCTGGTTGCTTCCATGTTATGTTGCATGATCAATGTTGTGTAGAAAGATGCTTATACAGTTTGTGTACTTGAGTAAGCTTAAATATGAAAAACATTTACACCTTATTTTCAGCTTAGAATGATGTATAGCGCCGTTAAACTTTTCTTTATTCAATGCATTTTTGTGAGGAAACTCTTTGGTTCCCCTTAAAATGTATAGGATTTTAATAGAATGATGATTGTTGTTATAAAAAATATGTATGCACAGTGAACCCAATCTCTATGTAAAACTTGTTATAGTTAATGTTCTCTTTGAATGTAAGTAACAATCCTTAATGAATGCCTACAATATGTTATTAGGTCTCATATGGTTTTCTTCTTCAACTTCTTGAGTACCAAGAGTGACTAGATTTCTTGTCACCTAAGAAATGAACTTGAAACCCAGAGTGACGAGCTAAAATTGCTCTAAGTTTTAAAATGTAAAGAAATGTAACTCTGTTTTACTAAACTGAGCATCGCCTGTTAAATATACAGGGTGTCAAATAAGTCCCGTCCCCCCCCTCTACAGCCAAAACCAAAATATTTTGTACCAAGTGTTATATATCATTCGAAAGGTCTTCCAAAGTTACGTTGATTGGGATATATCTGACACATGTCAATCAATCTCAGAAATTTTTACATTGTATCAATTGAGGTGACCATATGCCTAGAAACATGGTAATTTGGCGTATTTTAAGAATCGTGTATAAGAAAGGTCACGGGACCAAAATATGACTAAATATGTTCATGGCGATGAATTTAACCTATTTCTGGATAGGGTTAGATGTGTAGAAAATAGAGGTGCAAGGAAAGTGGTGAAAACATTTTTGTAACAAGTGGAATGTGAAAAAGATTAACTTTTTGATGTATCTTTGAGGTCATATCCTTGTCATTTTGACGCAAAAAAGCTACTTAAAGGAGGGTACGTTAATTTTAAAAGACATCATTAAAATATAGGTAAATTCCATCCAAAATACTTGAGAGTTGGTGAGTTAACATAACTTTGGATGATCTTTCCAATGGTATATCACAATAGGTACCTTCTGTTAAGGTTTTAGCTGTAGCAGGGGGGACAGGACTTATTTGACACCCTGTATATGGTAAAATGTCAAAAGCTGGCAAAAATAAAAAATCCTCTGGTTTCAAAAGGATTATAGAGCCTGGGATTCAAGAGGTTGATTCAACAGGTTGAAAAATCAAAGATATGCTTAAGAATTTATTGATTTGCAAGTTATTTTAGGATGAGAGATAGGCATTGAGCCCCTTTATTAAGGAAGCCTGTAATTGTTCACATTTAAAGGGTCTCGTACATAAAACAGGGAATCAAGAATTTCATATTTCAAAATGTATTTATATTTCAAAATGTTAGTTATATTAACATGCTCATGTGCACCACAAGTTTTACCGTAAGATAAGTAAATATCAAGTTGTCTCTACAGTTCACATTGTAACAAAATGAGATGATTCACATTTTCTAAATCTGTACCAAAAATATGTGAAAATGTGAAGCATTTCTGTATAAACCTAGTCCTGTGTCAAATATCCAATATAGAGGGAGCTATAATGTGTTTTGTTGATCTCCATGGTTACAGCCGAGCGTGCACGTCTTTTAGAGGACAACAGAATCATTGAGGAGCGATTTCAACGAAGACAATTGTTGCAACATAAACGATTGTCACAACAAAAATTCGAAGATGACCTCATTCCAGAGGAGGAGGAAGAATATTATAACAATGATGAGAATGAGTCTCGTCTGCAGCGAACATCATCGCTCAAAGAAACAGGTAGGGAAATTGAAATACTCATTGTATTGTCTTCACATTGTACTTCCTCAATGTCATATGGGGAGTCAACACATTTGCTTTGATGCAGGTAGATCACTACTTTATTATCATGCACAATAGATTATACATTGAGTGGGACATGGAGTGATATCTTAAAAATAGCTTCCGTATCGTTTCACCTTTTAAATATCGATAAAAGGTCCTCTGTTTGAAATTATATTTGGACGAATTAATTCTCTCTCAAAGTGACCATAATGCAGTAGATGCCAGGTTTGTTTGAAAAGAACACAATTTCTTCGCTAACCAAATTGTGAGCTTTTACTCCAAGTGCCATTCAAATGGTAGAGAGTTAACTTGAATTTAAGCTGTTTTGATGATCATACGTGGACATACAAGTATATGTAGTGAATTATATTGTCAACGATTTTGTGTGTAGAATGAGATATGTGTGTGTCACCTTTCTAGTGAATGAACAATTCTGTATTGTTGGATATTAATGTTGACATGGTTTTTCTTTAAGCCTGCCAAACAGATATTGAAAGTACACCAACAGGAGTAAAAAGACAACACCGTTCCAAAAAACGTATACAGAAAATATTGTTCTATTTTTATTGTTGTTGTTTAAAACACTAACCTAGTCTATATTAAGTATCAGTTACACTGTTCATGTTTATAGTAACTGTTGTATTCACCGTCATCCACATGATATCTGTAATTATCTCATTCATAGTTCATGAAGAAATTGAGATATTTTTTTATTTTATCTTGAGGGCATACACACACATGTTAAACAGTCAGCGGTAATCCACTTGATTGAAAGACGAACTGTGAATGTTAAAATCTGTGTTGACACCAATTTTCTAAAAACAAGGAGTTCCATTGTCTGATTTATCACAAAACTTTTTATGAAAAATTTTGAGATTGACAGGGTTCACAATATGGACCAGTTACAAATGGAAATCATATTACATCAAATAAAAAAATGTCAGCCAGCTCATATCAAAATGACATGTTCAATTTTCAGTTTAGCTGCTGCCCTTTTGTAAACCAAATCTGTTGTTGCATGAATAGAAATTTAAAATTGTAGACTTCTAGATAATACAGGGTGTTCCATATGTTTCAGGAATGATGCTGTGTTTTATTGGTTTTCTTTTCAATCTAACTGGATTTTTGACACAATGTTTCAAAACATGTTTTGAATAAGTTGGTAAAGTTTCATATCGTGAAGTTCAGTAGTCGTAATAATATGGTTGCTATAGTAACCTAGGGGTAGGGTAGGTGGAGCAGGTGTAACAACGCGCAAAATATATGAAATATTTGTTAAAATAGTTTTTTTTGTACGAAGCGTGATTAAGTATTAGGTTGTCAGAGTTGGATCAAACTTGTCAGTAATTAATCAAAAATGAAGGTGGATTTCAAGAAAGTAAAAGAATGTCATCACTTTTGATAACATCACAATATAAACACCTGTCATGTCATGAGTCACAAAGGAGAATAAACACAGGTCATTTTGGATGAGTGGCCATCTTGAAAAGTGAAAAAGTCATTAGCAAAGGAAACCTTCGACTTAGGAAACACATTACAATCTGTGACAAGACATGTGTGAATAACAGTTTTTTGCAGCAGACACAATTAAACTCCTAACGAATGCACATGGGGACTCAATGATGGTAACCTCTAGAGTGTATGAGTGGTACAAGCGGTTCAAATCTGAAAGGGGAACTGAGACCGATAATCCAAAATGTGGGCATCCGAGAACAGTGAGAGCCCTAACTAATGTGGAGGGGATGGATGCTGAAATAATGATTATGGCTAATAAAGGGTGTGATAACATTTTTAATTTCCAGGAAAACACCTTTATTCTTTTTAATTTCCAACAAGTATGATGCGACTATGACAAATTAATACTTTGAACACTTTATACAAAAACTACTATTTTTACAAAAATGTCATGTTTTGCGTGTTGTTACACCTGCTCCACCTACCCTACCCCTAGGTCACTATAGCAACCATATTATTCAGTCTACTGAGTTTTATGATATGAAACTTTTCCAACTTATTCACAACATATTTGGACACATTTTGTCAAAAGATCAGCTAGATTGAAAAGAAAACCAATAAAATACAGCATCATTCCTGAAACATATGGAACACCCTGTATATATGTACAATAAATAGATAAAACATATACTTGTCAATTTCATTTTCTCATTCTAATTCAAGAGACATAAACATGGTTCTCATAGCAATGTAAAAAATTATTATCCCATCGAACTTCGTTCGATGGGGATATAGAAAAGCCGTCCGTCCGTTCCTCATCCATCCGTCCATTCGTCCGTCTGTTCGTGTGTCCGAGCAATAACTCAAATACTGGTTGACGGATTTCATTCAAATTTTATAGGCTTATGTCTTATGGGTGTAGGACCTCTCCTCGAGAAGGGATTTTCAATATGGCCGCTAAATTCAAAATGGCGGCCATTTTTCAGAAAAAATATAATCTTTGATCTCAAATACTATTGGATGAATTTGGTATGCTGTTGCCTGGGTACAAAGGAGCCTTGCTGAAGAAGATGTTTTCAAGATGGCCGTCATATTTCAAAATGGCGGCCATTTTTCGTAAAAAATGTTATCTTTGATAACTCAAATACCATTGAACTATTTTGGATCAAATTTTATATGCTGTTGCCTGGGTACAAAGGAGCCTTGCTGAAGAAGACATTTTCAAGATGGCCACCATATTTCAAAATGGTGGCCATTTTTCGTAAAAAACTTTATCTTAGATAACTCAAAAACCATTGAATGGATTTGGTTCAAATTTAACATGCTGATGCCTTGGAACATAGGAGCTCTGTTAGAGAAGGGATTTTCAAGATGGCAGCTAAATTTCAAAATGGCCACCATTTCTCATAAAAGAATGTAACCTTTGATAACTCAAATACCAGTTGATGGATTTGGTTCAAATTTTATATGCTGATAAAAACACAATCTTTGATAATTCAAATACCAGGATGGATTTGGCTCAAATTTTATATGGCCACTATTTACCAAAACATGTTTTGTTCGGTGGGATTTGCTACTCCGTGGAGTTGCTGTTTTTCTAGTTTTTCTAGTTTCTCTTTGATTGTTATAAATGGGTTCCCACATTCTACTTGCAGGGACTCAAGAGGAGCCAGATGGTTATGTCAGTAGAGTAGAAACCCGTCAATCCAAGCGTACAACATACAGTCACAAAGAGGTAAAACACCATCATAGTTTATCAACATCAGATATCACAAGTACAGGGCAGGCTACTGTACTTGAGCCTTACAGTGAACATGCTATATCTGAGCCTAATTTAGAACAAGCCTCTACTAATGTTGATGCTACTAAACAAACCGCTGCAGAGCTTTATGAAGAAATGAATCGTATGTTAGATAGTGGTGATCCTACACTGAGACAGTCTGAAGGATCAGTTAGACCTAAAATTGTGAAACCCATTCACCGACCTCAAAAGCCTTCAGACAGTGCAACTACACAGGCTGTGAAGGCTAAAAAGATCATTAGGCCTATGAATAAGAAATAGATGTCTTATTTGTTGAGAACATATTCACAATGTACATTGGTTTAGTGGAGAAGTTTCTGGATATAGGTCATCTAAATTGACCCATGCTTTCCAAATCACTAAATAGCCTATAAGTTATAATATAATACTATATCTAGTAGAGTGGGATCCTATCTAGAAATAATCTTTATAATGAAAAAAGAGCTTGAACCCTCACTGATCCCACAGATAAATAGATAATATTATAAATTTGATTTTAGTTGAGGAGAGATTACCCTTAGGTATGCATGCACTTTCCATTGGTAGTATTGGCTTTCTGACCTGTTCTGGGTCTCTTTGGTTTTGTCGTTCTGTTTCCTATTTGGAATTCTCTACCTCTTATATTTAAGCTTTCCACACCCAGTAGTTTCAATCTTATTGTTTAATATATATGTATACGATTGTATGAAATATACTCCTCCACACATGCACCAGTAGATAGTTATTAACCCCTTATTTTGGTGATGGTGTAATTAACCCCTTATTTTGGTGGTAAAGTACAATTGATACACGTGTGACTTTTACTTTGCTTTTCCTTTCCACAATATATATACTGGGCATTGGCTAAATTTTACTTTTGAGAAAAACATACATAGGAAGCATTAGATTTTTCTTTACAATTAAAATTCTGTAATGGCTTTTATTTATTTTTGCCATAAAAATCCAAAATAGAGTGGCAATTTTCAGAAGCAGTCTGGTTGACTTCATATAAACCTAGGACAGTACTTATTGGATTATTTTCACTATTCTAGGCTTACCTTGGAGCTATGGAGAGAAGGAAACAATTTAATGACAACAGATCTCAGTCTTGGAGTTCTACCCGAAGCTACAGCCTGCTTAAATAATGGTCAGATATGTTGGCCGCCATTGCTTCTTCAAATGTTTTGGCAGCCATTGCTTCATCAAATGTTTTGGCAGCCATTTCTTCATCAAATGTTTTGGCAGCTATTGCCCGAACAAATGTTATGGCTGCCATTACTTGAACAGATGTGCTTGAGTTTTTCAGAAATTCTCGTAATATTTCATCACATGAATCTAATGATATTTTTTGTTTATTAAATATGATGAGATATATGTTGAGAAATCTGGAAAGCTGTGACATCTGAATTGTGTGTTATGATTGATGTAGGTTTCTAGAGCTGTGTGGTTTAAACCTTGTTGGAGTGGCTTCGTAATAAATGCATATGTTTTTTAGCAGATCCAGCACTGATGTTTTATCCTAATTGTATTAAAATGCTTTTTCGTTTGTCCCTTTTGAGATTTTGAAACATGGAACTTGAAAATACTTGAATTTGAAGGTATTTCACATCATAATGATATTTTAGGATAATCCAAGTTCATCTAGGAAGTGACACGTTTCTTGGGGTAAGACATGAATGTGACCCTTGAACAAAGATTTTATTCTTTGTATCACCAAATGTGTACTTCAACCTTGATACATTCCCGATACATAACCTATGTGTAATATCTAACGAGGACTTCCCACTCTCAATGCATGCACGCTTCCATATCAATATACAGAAAACTTATACTAAGATATGTCTCTGTTTATTCAATTTGAAAAACATTTGTTAAAGCTCAATGTGAGGTTTTTAATAATTCAATGTGAGTTATTTGTGGCCTGTCAAAACTGAGTGAATTGAAATCAAATGACACCTACTACTAATAGCATGTTTCTCCAATCAGGTCCAAAGTTTTCAAACTTAAAATTTCAATTATTTATTGTACATGTATTTGTCTGGTAAAGCAAAGTTAGCCTTTGTCATTCAGACACCTTACCTGCTGTAATGATATCAATTTTTTAAAATAAATATGATTAATAAAAAAAATGAGAAATATATATTTAGAAATTCTGGTCCTGGTGTCCTTAGATCGTATACTGAATTCATTATATGGTTTATGTATTTGTAAACTTTGTCAGATGAATGTAGATATGTTGAATAAAAACAATGTAAAATGGGAGGAGTTGCCAGATGATATATGTACAGAAAATTCTTTGTATATGAGAGAAAAAAGAGTATTCTACATCCATTAACTAGCAATATATTCACTTAGAAATATACTTAATTTAAATGAGATTTTAAGTAAACATGTTCTTTTGTAGGCTTGACTGTTCCCTGAGTTACAATATGCTGTTCTAACCCATCCTTGTTACAAACCAATTTTTTAACACACCTTGGAAAAATTTTGATTATGAGTGATTTGTCTTTTCATACAATGTGCCTGAACTGGATTTTTGTAAATGTCTTTAATCTGGAAGAAAAGCATGAATATTTATTATTGTATAGAACATTATTTATTGTTTTCTGTATTTTTATTTATTTTTTAAAGGAGTCTAATATTTCTTTCCAAATGATTTAAATCACTTTTTGGGTATAGGCTATAAGTTAGTCAAGTAATCCCTATTACCTCAGTTCATGTACAGTAAAAGTTTTACCTTCTCTACTACTGAACTTGAATATGAACATGTATGAATTCCTTTCCTTTAGGTCCAAATGCCCACCCATGAAGTCATTTACTGTTCAACTTTCTGCTCGAAGTCCATGTAAAAAAAACATTTACAATCAGCTCCCAATATGATAAACAGTTACAATTTTCGGTTGAAGGAATGACCTTGTGGGTGTGACATACATCAAACTTAGTCGGGCATTACTTTTACTGTACATGATATTTGCCCCTACTACCTTGAGTTGCTCTTACCCTGCTGCAATATTATTTCAGCCCTTTGCTTCTTTCACTCCAGGCATACCACTACGGCACACTCCCTCGCACCCGGGGCAAGAAATCCACTCGGACATCAGTCAAAACAGTCAACTTTGATGAAGATGAAGCAATGCAACAATAGTATCTCCTCTATTCTCATCACTCGATGGAAATTTCCATCCTTCATGGAATTTTCCATCCTTTTCAATGGAATTTTCCATAAACAAACAAGAGCAGCATTGAAAACTTTCGGGCATCTATGTACATGAAATGGTGAAAATTGTCTTCCAAGTGTATGGAAGTTTTCAGTACATGTTGAAACAAAGGAAATTCCTATTCGTGTTTCAAGTTGATGGATATTTACATCATTGTCTTGATGGATAAATATACAACAAAATGTACACTAGTGTTTTGAGAGAATTTGGCACAATTAAGATCTGAAATATACTCAATGATCACTTCACCTCATTGACTCATCATTCGGGATGGATATGAACTGACATTGTGACATGGATATGAACTGACATTGTGACATATCAGAACACGAAAACACATTGCAATACAGAACATGGATGTTCCTGTAAATATATGGTGGTGTAAACAACTTGCACATTTCAACTTTAGAACTCATTTAATATTTGCTTTTGTGTACTCTATGAGCATGTCTGTAAATGGTTTAAAGTTTAAACTAAATGAACTGCCATTTTACATTGTAAATCATTGCAGTAAGTTCACTCATACTAGTCTAAAGTGTCATATGTTGAAAATGTTCTAAAATTACCATGTAATGGACTTGCACTGTATACTGAAAAACTTACAAAATAAAATATTATTCATCCTTGAATTAAGCACTTTAAAATATTGTAACATACATGTTTATTAAAACATATCTGGTTACACTGGGTCATTCCTTTTAAAAGAACTGCACTGCTAAATGTTATTTCTGTCAAATAAATTTATTATAACGTTACTTTGGTCAAACAGTTTGGCCATGGCATTGAATTTGAATTATTGAATTAAATTGAATTATATTGTTGAATTAAGAATTGTTGAAAATTGAATTCATATATAATATGTTGCATTGGATGTTTAGTTGGAATTGATTTAATTTAGAATTAGTCAGAATAGTGAATTATATATATTTATCATGAATATATTTTATGTGCTCATAACATTTGATATGTATTTGTATTATGATTGCTATTATCTGATTATATTGTATATCTTGTTCTATAAATGTTTGATTTCTCTTTCTATATATGTTGGAAATTATTGTGGTGTATTTACTTGTTATGTGTTGCTTTTTTCAAATCGTCTCTTGCCATGTATGTTACCTCTGTATATGAATCTTCAGATTTGTTTATATTTCATAATGAAAAACGTGTTTTATTAGTTATTTTAAATCTGTAACTATTTAGTATTTTAGCTTTTAAGACAGTAAAATGTGCACTAACCATGGTTGAGGTTGAACATTGAATGAATGTATGCATGAATGATGTATGAGCATAACCTAATATGGGCATCACATTATTATATGACCTAATATGGGCATCAAAATGCTGCATAAGATATATAAGCTTCAGGATGCTATAGAAACATTATTTTATGTTAATAATATTTAGCAGAGTGATGAATTTACACAGAAAATTACACAGAAATTATTTTATGTGTTTTTTGTGTGACCGATTCAGTTGTTGATGTAAATAGACAATGGAGTAAGGAAGTGAGAGAGTGAATTTATTAAAAATATCCAATGCAATGTACACCCTAGTCCACTATGACAGGTCTTTTCTCACTTGAAAAATTGTTTTCCGTCTACATGAATTTAAAATCAGATCTTAATGTGTTATTTATCAGAAGTAAAATGTTAAAAAACAAAATGTTTTGATTTGGTAGTGAGACAGGACGTGTGAATTAAAGACATTAGAATGTTAGATCATGGTCTCCAATTGTGAGAATTTTTTTTAATTTATTAAACTTTTAAATATTATTTTAAGTACTTATGTCGTTAACTGCTGCATTTATTTAAAAGCCATAGTTTACTGGATTTTTGCTTCGCTTTTTGGAAATAGTCTTACATCAAGCCTCTGAACTAACTTCCCTGGCAAAAAGGTGTGCAAATTGATGGGTAGGGTACATAAGGATTTGATGTGAGACTATTCTAAAAGAATATTACTCCTTACTTGTGATTGGAGACCATGATAAGGAAAGGGTAGTAAATAATCAGATATTTTTCAGTATTTGAAAAAAATTCCTGGGAGTCTTGCATACAATTTAGATTTGTTTATGCAAGGCGACTAGAATATCAGTTTTAGGGGGTAAGAGTTGAAACTGAGACTTTATTTTACAAACTGATTTAATTGCTACCATGGTACTGGTTGTAAGTATATGTAATTATTATGTAAAATAAGCTGTTATATAGTATGCTTCACTGCTGTATAAAGTCAAGTTATTTTGGAATAAATCATAAAAACTGAAATATATTTTCCTGTCATTTGCTATGTATATGAAAGCCCAATTGTCAATGGGAAATGAAAGCCCAATTGTCAATGGGAAATAAACAAAATGTAAAAAGCAAAGTACAAAAAGGATCAATGAAAAGTCCTTAAAGTGTCAAATCGGCAACTTTGATCTCAAAGACAATAGCCTATAAACAATACTTCAGCAGTAGTTTCCTCAAGGAAACTATGTATAGTTTCAGTCGCTATTCCTCATTAAATAGAGGAGTAATTATAGTGCGATTTGAATCTCAAGACCCATGATAGAATAATGACTGGCAAGACTTGACTTTCTAAATCGAATTTAGATTCATTCAAGACCATCTCTAATGTAGTCCTTGCATGTAATTCCACAACTGGAATGCTATCCTCTGTGTGATAACTTAAAACAAGAACACAAATGTGTACAAAATGTCCCCACCAAGTGGTGATCCCGTCAAATGGTTATCCTGAAAATGAGTAGACAAGACTTTACCAACACAATTTGAGGACGGAAAATCCAAAGTGGCCACCTTAAAATTTACCCAGAATGCCAAAAATTTAGTCAGTTCTAGATTTTCATACTAAGAACCACCCCTGAAAATTTGAAATTGATCTGTCACACAGTTAACCAGAAAACATGTAAACAAGACTTTACAGACAAGATTTCAGGATGGAAAATCCAAAATGGCTGCCTTGACATTTACCCAGAATGTCAAAAAACTAATCTGTTTGTAGATTTTCATACTAAGAATCATCCCTGAAAATATGAAATTGATCTACCAAACGGTTCACCTGAAAACGGGTAGACAAGACTTTACAGACAAGATTTTAGGACAGAAAATCCAAAATGGCTGCCTTAACATTTACACAGAATGGAAAAAAACTAATCAGATATAGATTTTCATACAAAGAATTATCCCTGAAAATTTGAAATTGATCTATCAAACCGTTCACCTAAAAACGCGTAGACAAGACTTTACAGGCAAGATTTTAAGACGGAAAATCCAAAATGGCTGCCTTGACATTTACCCAGAATGCAAAAAAACTAATCAGTTCTAGATTTTCATACTAAGAATCATTCCTGAAAATTTGAAATTGATCTACCGAACAGTTCACCTGAAAACGAGTAGACAAGACTTTACAGACAAGATTTTAGGACGGAAAATCCAAAATGGCTGCCTTGAGATTTACCCAGAATGCCAAAAAAATATTGAGATCTAGATTTTTATACTAAGAATCATCCCTGAAAATTTGAAATTGATCCACCGAACAGTTCACCTGATAACGCGCAGACAAGACTTCACAGACAAGATTTTAGGACCGAAAAATCCAAAATGGCCGACAATAAAAAAGTCCTTATGAGTTTTTGCTGATTTCTTTTTACAAAATTATCACATATAACTACTGTTAACAATAAAGTAGGCTTTTACAACAAAGTACATCTGAAATTATTTATAAAGCTACTAAATAGTTAAAGTATGAAAACTCAAAACACCATTCAATATGATACAAAGTATTATCGCGTGCTAACTTTTCTTAAGACATTCAAAATGGCTGACATGACTGAGCTAGCAGGTCCAAAACCTAATCAGATCTAGAATGAAGTGAGCTGAACAAGATGTTAAAGTTTTAAAAGCAACTGTGAAGCATTTTTTCTTAAAGTTTGCAGACAAGGATTTTAGCATTTGACTTCAAAATGGCCGACAGGAAGTAGGTTTCGAATTAAATTTTTTTCATCCACATCTATAGGCACTCATAAGTTATCCCTGAAAATTTGAAGGTGATATCTGTAGCGGTTTTGGAGAAAACTCCCGGACGTACGGACGGACGGACAGACGGACGGACAGACAGTCGGACGCGCCTAGGCTGACAATATGGCCCCACACTATGTGGTGGGGACATAATAAAAGGAAACATTCTCCAGGTCCTTTTGTCCCTGTTCAAATAGTCCTTGTTGGATCTTACGATGAGAGAAGTGGCAACTGGCAACTCAAAATGGTTCTGAGATTCAAGGTCAAGGTCAAAACTCTTAGAATGGAAAAAAAGTAAATCTGTATTGAAATTATTTTTCGATATTTCTCTTAAATCAATATATAAATAACAAAAAATATGTTGAATTTTATTTTACTGAATTTATTACAAAGCTGCAAAAAGGCCTTGCCAATATTATCATTTATTATGCACCTCATTAAAATACTCAAATCTGATTGGTTAATAGCTGCAGGGTCTATTGCCATACGTGGCAGCAAGATCTCATGTTATCCAGTATTGAAGCAACGAGATCTCCAACCATCCCGTATGCCAGAATACCTATCCTCGAAAAAAAATACTAGGCTCGGCTTCTGTTTTAGTAGACCCATTCTCTCAAGGGAAGTGCATAATAAAATAAATACTGGATCCAGTATTTGTTTAATACATATTGTGTAAGCTGTGAGTATAATGCTGATAGTGTATAAATATATATTGTATGTTTTTTATTTATTAACATATAAGTATTTACAATTTTCACAGTACAGTTTAAAAAAAACAAGTGTGGACAGTCAGTTATATACTTTTTATTCAGTTACCTAAGAAGTTTGCAGTTGATCTTGTTTTATATTCATTTAAAGCATTTCAGTGTTGAAATTATTGAAATTTGATTCATAAAACCCGAATAAAAGCTGAGCATACACATCAGTTTACTGTATGGACTCCAGCAAGATTTCTTCTCCCATATTTTCCTCTCATATAATAAAACAAATATTTCATTCTATTGAGGTCAATATATGTGCACCTTTCACAAGTGATAATCTATGAAGACTGTCATGGAATAAAAGCAGGTGAATATCATATTAGAATATCAAATAATTACACAAGTGCAGAGTATATCAAAGACAAGCATAAATACAAAACTACAGTAGAAATATGATATTCAAAATATACATTTGTAATAACCCAGATGCGAGTAGAAATAATGTTGATTTACGTCATTAAAAATTCAAAATTCAGTCAAAGTAATATCATATTTGAAATCTACATGTAAAATTACATCTAGAAATGTGGTTTTAAAAAGTGTTTATCAACTTTGAAAAATTAATTTTCTTTGAAAATGTGACTTCTAGCTCGGGGAGAATCCCCATAGACCCCATGCTATAAAATCACAAAAAATGAAATATCTTTTCTTTTAGTGAACAGATAATATTTTGCTTTACTGGACATATTTTCATTAGTATAAGTATCAGACGCATAAGGGTTATATGAAAATTGAGCCACTTAAATTGATAATATTCAAGTTTAAGGGAACTTTCTTATATACCTGCCATGTTAATTGACCTGAATCAGCCACCTGGTGGTGAAACTGGTAACTACCTACTCGCATTTGGGTAATTGATATTGATATTCTTCACATAAAAGTATAATACATGTAATATACAAAATTTAAATCAGTAAAAAATATGGCTTTTTATCCCAATGCAGATCTAGAAAGTATGACATGGTTTACTAAATTCAGACTATATAAATTTTCTTCAAACTGTATAACAGTATTTACATGGTCCAAAAAATTATTGGTCAGGAAATACTTTTATATAAAAGTATTAAAATGTAGAAACAAGGAAGAAAGGTATCCCTGCATAAAATAAAGTTGTCTCATTTTATCCATATGATAAGGTCTTATCAATGTAAAATGCAAAAACATCTTTCCAAGTGGTCATTGAGAAAGGCTGATGTTCATTCAGATTGTTAAACCTGTACCACAACTCATAATTTAAACAAATTGGAATGACTTTCGTACTATCAGTCTATCAGGTTAGAGCCACATGATGTAAACCACCAATCTTTAATGCTTTGGTCACATTTGCTCCAATTTTCTCTACGGCGCCCGGCTGATTGGGTATTTTCTTCAAAATTGAATACAATATTGAACAGAACACTCAATCGGTCGGGCGCCGGCCGATAGATCGGAGAAAATGTGACCAAGGCAGAAGTGAATATTTACCAGACACCATTTATCTGCCACCCCCTTTAAGTTCGAGACAAAGGGGGCACAGGAATACTGGTGAGTCTGTCCCATTATCATCTGACTCTATCAAGTTTACGTTAATAGTGAACTCCTGTATCTGAGACTAACATAAAAATTTTTATGTTAGTCTCAGCCTGTATCGAGTTTCAACATGTTGCAGAACCCAGTTGCTCCAATGATGGAAAGATCACTGCTTTTACCTGTATGCATTGTATATTGTTAATATTATTCGGAGTTAGTCAATACCATAATAACATTGTGAGTTCCACAGCCCCTATCAGTCTATGTATTAGAATGGTACCATATCACTTTAATTGAACATATAGCCAAAGACTTGCTATGTTTGTCTTGCATACTTTGTATCGTGATAATTCCAGCACATTTAGGTTTGATAATGATGTACACTACCAAACAGACAATCTGCATTTGTACTGTTTCAGCACCATGAATAATAGGTATGAATTCAGTACCACTTGGTACAAAATAGTCGGATACAGCAGGTGTTATAAATGCATTTTATGTTTGTACACTGTATATAATATATAGGCTTGCATCAAGTCTTTGGCCCCTTTCCAATCAACTTTTGCCCTAGCCTGTGTAGGTGTATATTATTGGAAGATTACACATGGGCTTGATGGGAGAATATATTCATTGGTAATGTCCACATGATTATCGTACATTTAGTGCATTATCGTTGGTGCATAGTAAAATGAGACTTAAATCTGACCCGTGATTTGCTCTCTGAGCGAACATGTTTCTGTTGATTATCGTTCCTCCCTGGTTATTTCCTGGTCTCTCGTTCTAGCATCCAGCTTATTGCTGATGAATACTTTCAGTTTAAATAGTCCAAATAACACCAATTGAATCACTGGGATGACTACGAAGGCCAATAATGCCAGAAACATGAGTGTTGTCCCGGGATGATTCCAATCCAAGATTTTCGGGTAAAGTACATTGTGAACAGGATCGAAACTCCAATAGATGGCACTGAATATGATATATGTTAAACCATATATTGTTGGGTATATTATGTGTAGAAGACGTACTGGGATCCCATTTATGCAGATCTCGAGAAAAATGACGACAGAATTTATCCCATGTAAATTCAGATCTCCAATGGTGGGGACATCGAGATTATTATATTTTGAAACGAGAGGCCACAGAAATATAAAATATGATAATGTCACGATAATGGCAAAGTTTGCAATTATTGTATATATCAACCAATCAAGAGCAAAATACCATGGAATACTAGATTCGATCGGGGTTATAACAACTGTTTCTCCGGATTGTTCATCACTTTTGGTTAAACCACTTGACTCAAAACCCAAGATATCCTCAGGAGCAGATTGTGAACGTAACCCTTCCTTCTCGTGTGACTCTTGCTCTGGGCTATCCTCACCAGGTATTTGACAATATGACCCCCGATTTCTGAATCCATGGGCAACAGCGATGATGGCGGCAAGCACCATGTGACAGGTAAGTAGGAAATATGACCAATTGGTTAGCCAGACAGGCCAGGGTTGTGTAGGGTTCGCAAGGTGATGTCTTGAAGCTGTGTAAATAAGCCAGAATAGCACATAGCCACCTACTACAAGTCGATAAGTTATGAATACAGCTAGAGGCCACTGCCACTGAAATAATAAAGATCCATGTCTTAAATGATAATATTTTTCGATCATATTTAGTCTTGGATGAATCGAGTTAATTTTGTCGATTAAAAGATTTAATGTATTGACACACTATTTGTCCTTGACTAACATCCTTGACTAACATTCAACTCTATTTTGGGATCCAACTTTTTCAAAACTCAATTCTGCCCCAGGAAAAAGTGGGAAAAGTGTTTTACATGTATATGTAAGCAGAAGTGCTACATTACATTGACTTAAGGGATACATTACGTTAACTTAAGGGAAGAACCAGCCATAAGCAGGAAAGGGATAAGGAAAACAAATACCAAATGTTCAAAACTATTATCTTTCTCTTTGATCATTAACTCTTAAATGGGTAGGTTTTTTGATAACTTTTTTCGTAGTTGGTCTTTTGACCTGAAACTTTCTCCCTAAAGTATAGCCATTTAAGGGTTAAGTTAGGCAATCACTGTATGGTGCATCTTCTCTGTCTTAAAGTTCATAATTGAATCAATTGAAAATGGTTATGGTCTAGATTTGGTTTAAAATTACCAATCTGTGTCTTACTTTGCATGTCGTATTTTTTTTCTTGAAATCTTCTGGGGCTAGCTCTATTTAATTTTGCTTACCTGTGCTTGACAAAAGGCTTCATATCTGTGGTACCCAAAACCAAAATTTCTTATTCTAAAGTGGTCACGGAATGGCATTGTCACTGTCACATCAAGCAATCACTCAATTACACTGAAATTGAAAAGCCTAAAAATTAGACAAAAAATAGCAGCTCCCAGGAGTAAATAAGATATATTTTAGTGCATTGTACGAGGGGTGATCCAAAAGTCTTGGACGCCTTGCTCTAATGTTGTTGGTTTTTGATTAATCTACTTTAAACTTTCTAATAATAAAGACCTATGACCTAACTACTTTGTGTAGTAATTTCATGGAGAAATGATATATTTTATGTAGTTTTCTAGATAGTTTTTAATATAGGGACCCTGCCACCCGGAACGGTATTCGCACATGGCAACTTTCAGCCTTAAATGTTGCCGCCATTTCACTTGTTTCGCAAGTTTTGACCACTATCTTTCTTTGAATTTTGAATGTTAAACCATGTTAGTTTACTTCCTTTGTTACTAGGCAACCAATTAAGTGTGTTTTAATTATAATATCACATATGACATTGGCCGTATATGTCAAATTCTAAGAAAATAACATCAGACAAGCAACCCTCATTCTGGTATCATTTTTTGCTGCAAGATGACTGCTGAAATGCAGAACATGAAAGAAATCAAAGTGAAACAAAGAATACTGAACAAATATTTCACTCTATTGAGGTGAATACCTGTACATCTTTCACAAGTGATATTCCACGAAGCCTGAAGGGCAAGTGGAATATCACCTTGTGAAAGTGCTACAGGTATTCACCGAAAATAGAGTGAAATATTTGTTTTATTATATCACTGTCTGGCTAAACATCCCTAATATTATAAAGTCATTAAGTCTTCAGATATTTTTACGAATCTACTCGGTTCGTCTGCCATTTTGACTTACACTGAACTAAAACAAATTCTTTGAAAATTCCCGGGAGCGTGGGATATCACTAGATATCTCACGGTTGTCTTATCTGATTAGCATTGCCATTGAATATCGCCAGATATCCCACGACATGTGACCCGGTTTTGACCAATCATACTGTCGCTAGCTAGATAGTGATATAATAATACGAGATATTCTCCCTAATATTAACCTTGAGCAGCTACCATATGCATGTTACAGTCTAGATATGGCTCCGTGTGATTTTCTTCCTTTTCTCCAAGTTGAAGGGAGGGTTGAAAGAAAATGTCTTTTTACTCATTGGATGAGGTTTAGAGTGGCACTCTAGCAGCATTTGTATCACATAAGCAATGTCGGTTTCATAAATGTCTTCCATTCATTGGTAGAGCTGTATGAAAAATGTGTTCAAATTCGTGGAAAATATGTTGAAAAGTAGGTCGTAATATGTGAAGATGATGATGGCAGATGACACTCAGATTGAAAATCGCAAATTCTCTCATATCATGACTGGTGTTAGGTTGTGCATATGCACCTAAAATATTTGCCATATTATAACAGGTGTGACGTGATTTGCTATATTTAAATACCGTTCCGGGTGGCAGGGACCCGGTATGAAAAAATATTTAGAAAAGCAGCTAAAATATAATATTTTCTGTTGAAACTTATACACAAAGTTGTTAAGATGTGGATCTTTATTATCTGAAAGTTTTATGTAATCATATTAGAAAATAGCAAAGTTAGAGCGTGGCGTCCAAGACTTTTGGATCACCCCTCGTATATCAATCATCAATTTGAACATTTCTTGATAGAAACAAAAAAACAGGCAGAAGTATTGTCTCCTTTTACACTATACATACAATGTAACATGGCAACATTATACAGTTTAAGAAATCCCTTCTCGAGTATAGGTACCCATAAGGCATTGGCTAAAATCAGATAACAGGCATTAAGATATCATTTATTATGTTTCATCTGAAAAAGAGGTCTTGACTGATGCACAATTCTCTCCAAAACACATATCAAGAAAGGAGATGTGATGAATATCACTTAGAATGGTAAAGACCTGCCATGGGAAGTAAGTCACCCCCTCCCTCTCTTATATCATATATTAATATAGAGAATATAAGATGCAGAGAATATAAGGGGGGGGGGTGATTAACTCCCTGTGGGATCTAGACTATATCCTAGGCTATATTCTGAATTTTTCTGAAAATAAACTGAAAATATTCATACTGAATTTTACTCAGTCTGTTGGATATAGACAACTGTGTTTAAAAATTTAAGTAAAATTAAATGGCAATTTTCACTGGTCTTAATAACAAAATGGATGAACTTGTTTAGGAGGAAATTTCCATTTTCATCATTTTCACAACCTCCTGGAATGTTATGTTGTGATTACAATAGGAAGTGTGCAAAATCTGAAGATGTTTATATTGTTTCTTGGAATTGTGATATTAGAGGAACGATGAGGTTTGTGGGGATATTTGGCGTATTCGATCCCGGAGGACACAAAAATACAATGCAGCATTCATACCTATGATAATCTTATAGAACCAAACAAATTGCAATAGAAAGATGAGGATATAGGCTACAGTCTGTTACACTGCTTCAAAGGCAAGCAGTAAACCTGAAATATAAGAAATCTAAATAATATTGTGCAATAATATATAGAAAAATATATTCATATTGCACACGAATGACATTTATATATGCTGGGTTGCTTGTAAATTGGCTCATAAAGTCTGTAACCTCTTATATTTTGATGCTTCTCTACCATGTTAATTCTCAAAAAAATAACATGCCGGACAGACCTTAAATTACAAGAGTGCACAGGCTTATTGCACTAAACACTAAATAATCTAAAATATACAAATGTCATTTGTGTGCAATATGAATATATTTTTCTATGTATTATGGCACAATGAAATTCATCAATTTTGACATCAAATTTTGACCCAATGTAATGGAGATATAACATTGAAACGTTGCGGACCTAGCATGGTGTAATTGTGAATGATAGGGGATTTACCTTTGTGAATATTTAGCACATAGCATTTTGATGGAGGGAATTTCATTTGCCATGTTGATGCCCAGGAGACCAGTTTATCAAGATTCTCCTGTAGTGTTAATGCATCTTGCTTGCTTTCTACTGTCATGAATAAAAGGCTGTCATCAGCAAATAGCTTAAGACTGGCTGAGGATGATAGGTTATTGCCCATATCATTGATATAAACAAGGAAAGAGAGTGGTCCAAGAACTGTTCCTTGAGGAACTCCTGATTTTACTGGAGTTTTTGAACTTGATTCACCATCGAGCACTACCTGTTGTGATCTTCCCACAAGCCAGGATCTGAACAAGTTCAAGTTATTATTGCGAATTCCATAATAGTCAAGTTTGAGCAAGAGGCATCAGTGAGCCACCGTGTCAAACGCTTTGGAAAAGTCTAATACCAACATGTCTGTTTGTTTATGGTTGTCGAGGGCCCGAGCTATATTCTCTATTGTATTAACAAGTTGGGTTTCACATGAGTGCTTTGATCTGAATCCATGTTGGAAGTTTACTAGAATTTCATAGAGGTCAAAGTGGGCCATAACATGATGGAATATAATATGTTCCATTATTTTACATGGAACTGACGTCAGAGATACAGGCCTGTAATTCACAGCCTCATCTCTCCGTCCCTTTTTGTAGATAGCAGTAACATTGGCATGTTTCCAGTCTATAGGCACTAAGCCTTCATCGATAGACTGTTGAAAAATTATTTGAAGGAATGGCGATATGCTGTCACTGGATTCCTTCAGGACCCTAGTCGGAATAAGATCGGGTCCAGTGGCTTTTGATGGATTTAGGCCAGTTAGCAATTTGTGAATTCCTTTTGTCGAAATTTTGATATTTCACATTTCTGGAATTTGACTGGGTACCATTGTCGGTAGAGTAGCATCCTCATCTGTGAATACAGAATTGTATTGGTCATTGAGGATGTTTGCTCTCTGGGCGGCGTCTGTTATTTCGTCGCCATTTTTGTTACGGAGCACGCTGATACCTGATGCATCTTTGCGTTTAGACTTTATGTAGCTCCAGAAGCGTTTGGTAATGCCTTTGTGCTGAACATTCTCATTCATGATTTCGCTTTCATCAATGTCGAGCAGATCGTTGATGTAGCGTTGATGTTCTTTACGAATTTCACTATGGATTAATTTCCGTAGTGATTTGTATTGATGCCAATGATGAGGTTCATTTGAACGTTTGGCAGCATTATATCGTCTTTGTTTCTGTCGGATCATTCTCAGTATCCTGGTGGTAATCCAGGGTACTTTGTTGAGGGAGGTTCTGAAGGGTAGACATCTAGTCAATTTTCTCCAGGGATTTTTTAATTCGGTGACTCATCTTGAGTTTTTCTTATTGAGCCTAGCCTACTACTACATGAGATCTGGTTGGCATCTGTGATTTTGACATGTTGTTTTCGAAAACTGTCATCATGTGACTGATTTTCGAATTTTTCAAATTACAGTTACACAACTCTCTCTTGTACTCAAAATTGGAAAAGAAGAGATCATCTATGAATCAATGTAGCTAAGTAGAATGAAAGATATGTTTGACCGCATCATATTGAACAAATTAATCAAAATAAATATATGCAAATAAGTGGAGAAAAACAAGAAAATGAGGATGTTAATTTACCTGTGAATCTTTACATTTCCGGGTTCTTGTTTCCGGTTTGATGCATTGTGGGAAATCGCCATTTTGGATAAAATTGTAAGCATTGTTTTAGCTACTTCTTTTCTCATTTCCCGCTTTAATGTTTCATTTAATGATTCAATTCACTAACATCAACAAAAATGAATATAATATACACAATATAATGAATGATATGTTCACTCTGTTTGCTTACCAAGGCCAAAACTTACCTCTGAATTTTTCTTTCTTTCAAAATAAGTCACTCGACTGTTTTTCAATTTCATCATTCATATGATCATCATCATATTTAGGAGCGTGAGGTGTAACTTTAATCCTGTGTTATTCTCCCTTCTGATCATTTGTTAGCTACTTGACATATTTTATTGACAGTTTTAATATCTTTGGTATTTTCATGGGCTTTCAATTAGAAGGGTATGCAACTCTATGTAATAACATGAGACCTTCAAAATGAGCACTGACATGCTTCCCTTTTATGGCAATATTTCAAAAAGTATTAGATAAATGTATATGTTTTAGTATTATTTTGAATAAAAATCAATTTTTAATATGATTTAAGCATAAAATATATTCAATATCATATAAAAGTAAACAAAAGAGACCAATAAGAATAAGAGTTATCAAGATGTTCTCTTTGAGTATTGCATTGTGGGTAATTATTCAAGAACACATTCCAATAAAAACATAATTTGTGGGAGAATGTTCACTTTCTGTATTGTCATAATTATGATGAATTCCAATTTTTATTAAATTATCAAGATGTATGTAGAAGATCATGTTTTTATTTTTGAGTTATTTCTTTTAATCATCAATAAAAAGTACAAAATAAGATTTTCTTGGAATGTGTACATTCTCCAATTTTGAAAACCCATGGCAATGTTTATGTATGAAATATGGGAAGTTGCCTACCCTTCTAGTTGAAAGCCCATGGTATTTTATTTTCCAAAGACAGTTGGTTGTATTGATTATTTAGGTCAGGGTGCATGTTCGGAATTTGCTGCAACCCTCAATGGGTTAGACTATCCCGTGCCAGGACTATTGTCCTGAGAACGTCTCAATCCCTTGCCTGTACGATTACAACATGGGAGAATTTTCTACGCCTCTTAGACTAAGATACCTACTTCAATAGATTCCTTGGTATTTTAGCATTCTTTTCGTTGAATCCACAATTATCTGGGTTGTTCCTGTCTCAGCCATCTTAAAAAGTGATGGAATCTCTCTCGATGAAAAAGAAAAATGTTCCCATTTATATATGCCTAAAGTCTGATGTCAGTATAGCCTGAGCTTGCGATGGACATGTTAATTGTTGTATTATATACCTACATTGTAAAGTACCTTTACCTAACATTTCATGAAGATAATATGTAGAAATGGGTGAAAAATACAACATTTCGCACGATTCCAGTCGAAATCACTTTGTTTACATGTAGAGCTGGCATCAAATGTCGGAATGGTCGATTGTCAGTCGAATGCTATCTGCGACACCCATGTCTCTTGATCGACAGTCAGAACTCACAACATCTTTGTTACTACCTGCTGAATGGTGTATTTTAGTGAAGTTTTACCGCCTACATTTTCAAATTTTCTTTTTTGTTTTGATCGACTTCCTGCTCTCCAATTAGGTCTCGGGGCCCCTCAAGATTTACCCTCGAGATTTATTTTCAATGGCTGCCCGGAAATAACAACAGAAATCGTAGTTTTATGTCTATTTATTGCTTTTTCGTCAAAGTCTGATACTTGAACATGGTTTACCTGCAAGTTAAATATAAAACATACAACTGAGGATGACTATTGTGCATCGTATTGCTAATTACAAGCCTAGAAAATCTAAAATTCAGACGGATTCATTTTTCGAATATCATTGGACCCGACAATGTCGATATCGTTGTCGATCGAGAGCTCCGACATGTCGACATTAAAATCCTATTCGATGCCAGCTCTATTTACATGTTACGACATCATAAAATTGTCATGGTAAAAAAGTTTGGCGGCTATACAGGAATATACTCATAGCTTCATTTATGTTATGTTATGAAGTGTTTGATTTACTAAGGGAAAATATGAAAATATTTGATTTACCAAGGGAAAACATGTGAAATATTTGATTTACCAAGGGAAAATATGTGAAATATTTGATTTACCACTGGCAGGAAAATCAAAGGGATTGGTCTATTGACTTCCATATAAATGCTTCACTAGGTATGTGATACAGTATTATAGTGTATATCTACCTTAAAATGTAAGGCAAAGAAGGAGTCTGAAATGATGGAGAATTCCAAAAAGGAAAATTCATAAAAGAATATGGTTATTGATTCGCAGTACTTCCTGTGTGTACACTGTCCCCAAATAAAAAAAAAGACTTAAAATACAACATAACGAAGTAAAGATAAACTTAACTGTAGAAATAAACTCTCATAATAATTCAAACACTATTTTTTTACAGATTTACTTGTTAAACATGGAGAATGAGATCAGTCAGTTTATATCTCACCAGAGACAGGTTACAAGCCTAATGGGACCAGAATTTGATAGGAACAATAGAGAAAATAGAGACAGAGACAGGTGAATTTTTAATTACTTTAATTTACATTTTCTCTTACAGTAATTGTCATGAACTTTGGCCATTAAGAAGGATGGTATCAAGATGTTTTACCCCCTGGACATTTCATCCCTTAAACCTTTCACGCCCTGGACCTTTCACCCCTTAGCCATTTAACCCCCTAGTGATTTTACCCCTAGACTTCATCTTTTAGATGTTTCACCACTGGATTGTAGCCATTTGAAATTCATACAATCCCATACATTATGTTACAAAATTACAATCTTACCAGAATAAGCAAATAAACTTAATTTATGTGATTATTAGTAGTATATTGTGGCTTGTAATGTCACCACCAGAATTTTTTTGTGGACAGCGTTCACTGTCTGCAACAAATGGTAGGTGGAGACATTTCGCATTTTAATACCTAGTTTGTTCTTACAACTAGAAATGGTACATGATATAATCTTTGCATTGTAGAGATCGGAGGCCACGTGATAGAGATCGTGACTATGACAGGGACAGGCGTCGAGACAGACATAGAGACAGGGATAGAGATAGAGATCGAGACAGGGAGAGGATAAGCACAAGAGATGTTGATTTTGAAAATGATGTAAGTGCATGTACACGTAAAAACTTTTTACCATTTTTGTCCCCACCACATAATATTGAGCCATATTGTCAAAGGTTTATAAATTGAATTAAAAATTGTATGTGGTCACTCTGTTCATATGCACTGTACTTAATTTTCGTCACTCAGTAACAAATGAGGAAATATGAAAATACCACTTTTGTCCCCGCCACATAGCGTGGGCCCATATTGTCATGTTATCAATCTTTTAAAAGCTTGTCAATTAAATTCAACATTTTTAGTCTGTATGAATTCACTCTGTTCATATGTGTGTATTTCAATGTACACTTTATTGTTGTAGAGACGAGAGTCTAGAGAGTTCAGACGTAGGAACAGTCCCAATGATAGTAGAGACACAGGCAGGTCAGGGGATTCATACAGAGACAGTGGGAAACAAGGAGACCAGTACTTGTCCTCATCACCTACTAACACTATACTGATACGTGGCCTGCCTCCTCATATTGATGAAAATGATGTAAGTTAGAATTCTGTAGTATTTACTCATTCATTGATAAATACTGTTTGGCATTCCTTACTCGATATCATTTTCATCTTCCAAACTATTTATATTATCTGAATAAGCCCATAGAATGCTACATAAGCAATGGCCGAAAGCCAGCTGGATTCAATCTGGATCAGCATTTTCAGCATGTATGTATAAGAAAACGGGGTAACTCTGCAGCCCAATTTTGAGCATATGGGCCGATTCTGTACTTTTACATATTATGTTTGATTGACTGTAATTAAATTTTGACCATTAGGTCTGAATTTAACCATGAAATCTTATGACCTGGTATCTTAATATCAAACTACCATGTTCAATAATCACACAACTATGTTCACTAATCAGCCTCTTCAATTGTCTTCAGATCAGAGCTGAAGTGATGCTTACTGGGAAGCCCATCAGAGAAGTGAGGCTGATGAAGCGGAAAGATACAGGTGGGTTATATATGCTCCCTACCCCCTTCAGCTTGTCACACCCCCAGGAGTTCATCCCCGTTCCCAAGTTGCGGTACACTACAGGCCTGGCACTACAGAATCAGTCAAAATGCATTAGAGAACTTGGTTGAATATTCATAATCAATCAGTGTGTTTGATCTGTTTTATACTGAAAGTGTTTTGGATTGTTTAATTAGAATACAATAGTTGTGATTTTGTTGAAAGTTAGGATTGCAGTATTATAAGAAAGATTGCTCCACTGACCAATAATTCATCATAAAAGTGTGAGTTCAATTTTGTTCACGCAGGACACTTTAAGTGAATATAATGTTGTATTAGAGCTGTAATTTTCCATGTTTCCAGTGTTATATCATTTTAAAGAACAATGTCAGAAACAGTCCATAATTAGGGGTAGGTATCTTTTATAAGCCAATATGGTAAGTATTGAACAATAGACCCTGGGGGTGTGACCAAGCGACTCCCTCCCAGCTCCAGTTTTCTTTACAAATTTTGTGGTTAAGTTATCTGAACTTCAAATGAAAGCACCTCTCAGTTCATATTTAAAATCTGGCTCTTGTCAGTATATGTACTGGGAGGTGTTTGAGCTGACATCACGTTCAGATAGCTTAGGTTCATACATGCAGTCATATACATAACATTAAATGCATAGCACCCACTGAGTAGTAAGTACATATACTGCCAGTCTTTGTGTCCCAACAGGATATTATACAGTAAAAGACTGTTGCTCACACATTAAAAGCATTTGTTTTTTGAATTGACCCACCACCTTGAAATGTCCCGTTTTGTTGATATTGCTATGTGTATGGCTGTTTGTGAAATGTCCTAGATATAATATATTTCGTACATGACTGACACTGGTTGTTACATGTCTTAAACAGGTGCATCCCGAGGCTTTGCGTTCGTGGAATTTCAAAACCTAGCAGACGCACAGAGATGGATGGATAACAATCAGGTTTCTGTACACCTTAATTCTTCCACCGCAAGAAGTAGTCCTGTAACGGTAACTCAAGAGTTGTGTCAATAATTGAAGTTAAAAGCCAAAGGTTTGACGCAATTGCCACTTTAATGGTTTGAACAAAATATGGACCAATAGCCTGCAAGGTTATAGGTGGCCACATCTTTCGCACAAAATAGTTGTAAAAAATAGAATGGTCAAAAGAAGTAACAAAAAATAAATTTGGGATCTTAAAAGTTTGAACTAAAAATATGACCCAGCCATCGTTAATATTTGACTGAATCTTACAAAACTGATGAACTGTTGAGCGTCACTATTCAATATTACAGTGACATTTCAGTCACATTGATATCTTTGTCACTTTCACAGTTTTATTTTGATAACTTGAGGTTTCCCAGCTAGTTTTACAAAGAACATATTAGGTAATGTCCATCTATACAATGGCATTTATAATACAGGAACATACAAAAGCTACATTAAAACTTTATACACTGAATACTGTTTTTTCTTGCACTTCTGTTTTTCAAGATTCTTTTACACAATGATGATTCATTATCATTTTATTGGGAATCGGGCAATTCAAAAAATAAGAGTAGGCCAAAAAGCTCAAATAGAAATAATTATTTCTCATAAATATATTATAATGAAATAACATGACTTTTTATCATTAATTTGTGTGTTTACTTCATTAATACACCAATCATAATCATCAAATATTTTGATATGAACAAATAATGGCTGTATTTGTCAGGGCCACTAGCTGCATGTTTTACAAGATAGACGTTGTGTTATAGAGTGGGCAATTAATTAGCCCATTTGTTATCTCATCTAGCTTAATGCAGCATGAGATTATCCAGTTGGCAACCTTTAAGCTGGATAGGTGGATTTACTATGCTTCTCTTTTACCTGCAATTCATTTCATAAAACCTGTTTATGTGAACACTTATGTAATAAAATCTACAAGTATACAGAATGTCCATAAAGTCTCTTTACAGACTTTATATTGTAATTGTAGAGCCTTTTTTGACACCCTGTATATTTTTCAGTTATTTTGTCACCACCAAGAAGTTGTGACATATTGTTACAGGTCACCATTTTTGTGACTGGTTTCAGTGTCTGTAACAAATTGACACACTTTTGTAATTTTCAAGTATGCAACCAGATGGTGACATGATCACGCGTTACTAACTTCGACCATTAATTTGAATTTTTGACCTACCAGATGTTTGAAAATCAAGTATTGTGAGTCTCATACTGCACCGTTTTTCTTCAAACTTGTTCCATTCAAAGCATAACAAAAATGCCTTTCTGTTGGTACATTGATACTCGCAATCCTTGATTTTCAAACATCTCGTAGGTCAAAAATTCAAATTAATGGTCGAAGTTAGTACTGCGTGATCATGTTAATGTTTGCATTTTATTTTGTATCAATGACTTCCAAATCATGTAATGGCCTTTCAAAATTCTTAGATGTGAACTCATAATGGTGGTCAAAATACATGTAGATTGGTTTAACTGTTACATATGTTAGCAACTATGTATTAGTATAGTATCTATGGTTGCTTTGGTGTTTTTAGCTACATGTACTGGATGTTAAGGGTGCACTGCCCTAATGAGATGTTTGTAACATCCATGAGTTAGAAAAACGAAGAATTAAAAAAGTTGATGCCTCCAAGACATTAAGAGTCTATATTAACCCGTAGGGTCACAATTAAGACAGAACCATGGAGTTGAGTCTACAGTACCCCATAGGGTCTCAGTTAGGACAGAACCACGGAACTGAAACATCATATCTTCCTTTCAGGTCACCAGAGAAGCATATCCCTATAAGAAGAATGCATTTTTCAAATTAGCTACTTTCTATCGTATGTGATTGTGCATATAGTTATATGACACATGGGTTAAAGGGTATATGGACCATTATGTTCCTCTACTGACTATAGAGTGTTATTACAGGGGCAGTTGATGCTGTTGAACCAGTACCGTGTCTCCATGTTTTATGGTCAGCCTCGCACTCAGGCAGCAGATAAGGGACCAGGTCTTGGAAGAGCACAGGATTTCCATCAGATTAGGACTGATTGGTCGTGCACAAAGGTAAATCAGACACCCACGTGATCAAACACCTTGTGTGTTAACTCCCCAAAATTAGAAACTTTGATTCAAAGATTGAGGATGGTCTCATTTAATTGTTTCGACCAAGGTTATTTGATATTAGCTGAATAAATTGATGAAGCCTATTTTAAAACGTTCTATACATTGTATGGTCAAACTTATACCTTTGCTTAAAGTCTAAGAAACATTTTGGGGGTTTATTTCAAAATAATGCAGCCTCACTTCCCACATTGAACAATAAATGAAATGGATTATTTTGATTTCTAATCTATTTTTGATCTTGTAGTGTGGTGCTCATAACTTCAAAAGGCGGGACAATTGTTTCAAGTGCAACATCTCTAGGGAAGAATCAGACAAAGCGAAGGAAGGTGATGGCTTCGACCAAATCGGGACAAACCCGTGCAATAGTAAGTTCGTATTAAGTGCAATTTTGAAAGATTTTGCAACTTAATTGTGAAAGCGCGCTTAACCGAAAGAATTGTTTCCTAAAATTGTATCCATTGAACACTGATTGATTGACAAAGTTGTTCCATGATAGTCAGTTGCATTTTTTAGTTGCTCTGTTATAAGAATTAAAAAATATATTATTTCAATTTATTTATTAAACTTTCATCTAGTGTACCAGGCACAAGGTATGATATTATATTCCATTTGATTCTACCTGAATCTACCTTGAAATACACATCTATCAGTCTACAAATGTTGTTACTATTTTAGCATTATTGTTCCGTGGATTGGATGCACTGACAAATGAAGAAAGTATCCTATCTGTACTATCTACCCTGACTGCCCTTGCAGTGAAAAACATACTGGTCACCCGTAACCAAACCACTCAGGTATGTTCATAGAGGGGGACTTGAGCTACTGGTTACCCTAACATTAAGTACCTATGGATTCCATGAAAATGAAATTAATGAATAGCTCTGGCTACATCCATGATTTTGAAAATCTCTGTAAAGAATAAGTCAATGAAAGCAAATATAAAAGGTTTTATTTAGAAATCTCTGGATTTTGCATTCAATAAAAGTATGATGATTCTGATTGGTCAATTTTGAATATCTTTTCAATTTTCTTTCAATATGACCCAATGAAAACACATGTTTCATATTGTAGGTTTCATTGGGATATGCCTTCATAGAGATGTCCAACCTGTCTGAAGCTAGTCAAATGTTAGAGATGCTACAGCACATGTCTCCAGGCTTTGAGGTTGATGGCAAAGCTGTTATGGTGACATACTCTAAAAATACATACAGTACAATGTGAGTATGAATTAATTAAGTACTAGGGCTCTCACGGTTTCATAATTCCTCGGTTCGGTTCACGGTTTTTATCTCCTCGGTTTCGGTTCGGTTTTCGGTTCTTATCGCACTTTAATGTAAAAAATCAAATAACTCAAAAAAATGGAGCGATTTCATTATTTATATGAGCAGCCTGGAGCATGTTTCCCTCTTTTTATTTTATTATTATGTTTATTTTTATATTTTATTTTATTCCTTATGTTTTATTTACAAATTAATCATTAACTTTGTATTGTATTTTATTTATGCGATGATAAATAGATGGCGCGATTTCATAATAAATAAGCGGCCCGGGAGCATGTATAACTCTGATCTATTCTATTTCTGCAGACAGCAAATTTTCACATTTTTTCACACGTACCTTTCTCATATACCATAACGATTTTGCAAAGCCGGCATATCGTTCTTTCCGGGAGAGGAACACCCATCTCTCGTTGGAAATCCAAAATAACCCCAACAGTGGGCCTTGTACGATTTTTGAGTGTTTAGAATGCCGAAATCTTCACCTCTCGTTTCGAGATTCATCTTCCTCTACTTTAGCGAACGGCACTTTTTTTTGAATTAACGAACCGTTAAAAAACCGAACACCAGAGTTTTCGAACCGAACGTACCGACCGAGGCCCAAGAACCGCGGAGCACCGCGGTTTCGGTGCACCGTTAGACCCTTATTAAGTACTCTTTGTATGCCTTAAAAAGTGTCAAATCAGTATAAAAACAGCTTGGAAAATGCAAATACTGTAAAATACCTAAAATCCACATGCCCTTAATTTCCAAGTTTTGGTGACACAGCATCGTGAAAATTAGATACACATGAAAAACAGATACTTTGTTTTAGAACAGATATGTAGAGCAAATGTCCTGTAACTGTAGTGTGATATGCGAATTCAAAGTGTCACAGATTACTCTAGGGGGCACTTTGCCGAAAATAGATGCCACAGATTTTGAGTGTTTTTTTCAGTTTGTGCTAGTATGCAGGTCTGCAGGGCTATTCTTTTTTTGAAAGTCAGTATTTGAATCCCATGAATTGATTAATTTTGGATATCTTCTAAAGAGGATATTTCTCTTTCAAAATCTTTCCTTCAAACTATTCTCTACCAGGCAAACCATTCAATAGTTTTCAATTCAAGGATGTTCCCTAATTTGTTGTAAATTTTGTTCAAATTTTATTTTTGTATGTTAGAAAACAGGTTAATTTTTACAATGGAAATGTAAATTATGAACTTTGTTTTCTGTAGACTTGCGTCATTGACAGCCCATGCTCAACCAGCAGCTCAACCAGTTCTCGTGGCAGGTGTTGCTCCAGTAAGTAACAACTGTATGCTTAATAGAATGAATACCATACAATACATATATTCCTGCTTAGGTGATTCCTTAGACATTATCATTTAAAAGAAAGCATCAGGAATTTAGGGAGTTCACAGACATGTTTAAATCTGAGCATTTAGTGTTCATTGGTGCATATGTCCCAATTTCATGTAGACAGTCAAAAAATGTTAAGTTTGACTCTAAAATATCAGAATATGTTCTTTATTGATATTATATGATGTCATGTTGTATTTGATAGGCTGTTGAGTTAGTTCCTGTAGCTGTAGACCCAGCTTACTACCAAGGTATCAGTTACCAGAACTATGAACAAGCCAATGCTGGTGCATTCATAGATCCTAACTCAGGTCAGTATTTGACACCTTAAAAGCCGTAAACTAAATAGAGCTAAGCCCTAGTAAACAAATAAATAGAGTTGATTCTTATCCATACTTGGCCCTCATTTCTTTGAGTAACATTAGCACATTTAAGTGTTTAGCACGGAAATAATCTTTGAACAGAAGAATAATTTACAAAGGTATGAAATGCCAGACAAGTCAAAACGTCATATCGTGTGAATTCAAAAGTGAACAATGGATAACATGTTCCCAATTGTTGTACATTCAGGTCAATATGTAGAGGGATCCAACTTTGATTACACTGGTTACTACGAACAAGAGGGTGCAGTTAGTTCTGCAACTCCAGGAGCTAATGGCTCTAAATCATCCACACAGACTGACACTACTAATGCTGCAGCTGCTGTGGCTCAAGCTGCTATACAACAAGCCCAGGCTGTCAAAACATTTCAGAAGAGAGTATGTTTTCTTTGTATTTATGTCACAACCTCTATTGTTATTGTCTCCATCTTTTTTGGCTAGTTTTCGACGGTTCATGTTCGAATTAAGAATTTGATTTAAGAATAATTCAACGAGAAGCTTGTCTTAAAGTACTCATCTCAGACAAGATGCTCACCGTATGGGTCAGTTTAGGTCATCATAGTGATTCATATACGTAACATACTGGACATGATCAAATGTACTGAGTTGTGTGGTTATTTTATAAAATCCTCTGCTAGACTCTGATCATGATTATCTGACAGTTCCTCAGTCCAGTTATTGTGGTTAACTAAATTGAATCATGCTTGATTCTGTTTCATTTACAACTTCACCATTACAGCAGTTTTATCCTATTTTATGGAATAATCTCACCATTACAGCAAGAACAACTACAGAAGCAGATACTTACCCAGATGCAACAACAACAACAATTAGCAGACCTAACAGTGGAGGAACGTTTGGCCCATGAGGCTCAGCAGTGGACGGCCACTACAGGGACCACACCTTCAACTACCCAGTCAAATACAGAAGAAGAAATTGTTAAATATCGTATGTCATATTTACATTACTTGTTTGGTTTCATATGTAGCTTTCATGCCATTTTATTAGAGTTCAGAGGAATATGAAACGAGTGTCAGCTACTAAAAGAAAAAATGAGATTTTCTGATTTATTGGATATAGCCTAGATCCAAATATTATTTGATTGAAAGTGTAAACTAGGTTGAGCTCTTGCCAAAATGTAGAAAATAAAGAAAATAGTCTTAGATAAACTTGCAACTCAGATTGAGGCTTATCTCTTATTTTCATTTTATAGCTCCCCCAGATGTCTCCACGTACCAATATGATGAGTCTTCGGGCTATTACTATGACCCAACAACTGGGCTGTATTATGATGCTAACTCACAGGTAACGCTTGAAGATTTAATTCATTACCAGCAGAAAATCATCATTCCTCAAAAAGATTGTCTCAAAAAATCTGCAAATATTCTGCATTGTATCCATTCTACACCGACCACTCCTTTAACGAAATAATATTTTGAAAGCATTTCACAAATTAAACCAAGGGATCTCTAATTTCACTTTGTAAATGAATGAGTCAATTTTTGAAATATTTTTTTTAGTACTACTTCAACTCTACAACCAACACGTTCATGTACTGGGACAGTGAGAAGTCAACCTACCTCCCTGCACCCGCAGATGCTAACACCAAGGAATCTCAGGAAACTACAACACAACCTTCTGAAGAGAAGAAGGACGATGCTCAAGAAAAAGAAGTCCCTGGCAAGAAGAAGGAGAAAGTCAAAATGGCCAAGAAAATTGCCAAAGTAAGAATAAACAAGTCTACTTTTGTGGTGCTATGGTAACAGGTTAACTGGTCCCCATTGTGGTGTTATGGTAACAGGGGTTCCGTAACTGGTTGAACTGGTCCCCTAGTAAAAGCATTGGATTTCTAATTTAAAGATTTTGAGACATTTTAGTGATCTGTGGAGAAATACAGATAGTACATTTTATTATCGTTCCAGGATATGGAAAAGTGGGCCAAGTCTCTGAATGCTCAAAAAGAGGCACATAAGGATGTGATGAAGAAGTTCACTCCAATAGGTGGCACTGGCAAGGAATCTGCCTCAGCAGATGCTGGATTTGCCGTTTTAGAGAAAAAGGTAAAACTTTTACTCATAAGCATGATTATGTTTTTTCGTAGAAAAAATTGATGAGAAAGCTCAATTGAATGGGAAATATATGTGAATTAAAAACAAATAAAAAAAACCATGCCTGTTTATTAGGTTAGCATATATTTTCCAGTGTGTCATTCATAATGTCAGGTGTTAAAATCCCATTTATTTATTTCAATTTCAGTCATGGATGGACAAAAATCCCGAGGCCAAAGTTATGCGAGAAGAGAACAAACTGATGCCACCCCCTCCGATGGTATGTAATATAACAGGATAGATTTTCATTAACCAACTATGATATGATTTTCATTGATTTAAAGCAAAGAGAAAGATGCATGGAGTAGCTTTGAGGAAAGTATTTTTTACATTCTTTCTTTTATAACAGTTTCATGACGCTGAAATTATCTTTATTTCACAAAACAGAATATCTGATGTCTGGAATCCAAATTAACATAAATAACATGTATTCCTGTATATTTGTAGCCTGGTGGCAGCCAGAAACCCCCAGCTCCACCAGCATCAAACTTGGTTGCATCATATGGTGAAGAATCTGATGAGGAAGAAGAAGAGGCCGGTGCTGATAGCCACGTAGACCTGAATAAGATGGCATGTCTTCTATGTAAGAGGCAGTTTCCTAGCAGAGAGGCACTCAATAGACATGTACAGCTATCTGACCTCCATAAGGTTTGTATTTGTTATCTCAGCATCTCACTTTTACTTTTAGTGGTTAAAGGAAAATGGTAATATTGCTCAGGTTATTATTTTGCATAATAGCAAAGGTTTACATATAATTTATTCTTGAACTTGTAGCAAAACAACACAATGTTACTGAAGAGATTTTTGTTGTGCTATATTTTGATCCTCTTCTGCTGCTTGGTGGGAGAGCGTGTGCCACAGAAATTAAAATTCATTAAAATTCCATGAAGACTGCTTATCGTTCAACTTGAACTTTTTACAGATGCAAGATCTGACTAGTGCCAAGATCTGATAAGTTTTTGAGCATTGTGACCATTTTGCCCTTCAAAGTGCGATATTTATCACTGTGTGCCTTGTTGCATATGTTTTATTCTTTCTTTGATCTTACAGCAAAACCTGGCAAAGATACAAGGATCAGTGGGAGAACTAACACAACAGAACCAGGCCACTCAGGAGGTATATGTCTCAACATTTTATTACAATACTCTAAGTACGATGATAACATGCAATTATTGTGGTTTATAAATTCATTAACATGTTGTTGAATTCACCAATCCAGTTTTGTTTCAACAATTTCAATAGAAAGTAGAATAAACTAATTTATTTGCAGTATTATATTCATGAATTGAGAATATTGCTCAATGAAAATAATATGTTGCACTATGTATGCTCTCACCACATTGAAATCATTTATAGATTATTAGGCCCTGCACCTCATTGTTTTTCATAACATCAAAATGCTCCTCAATTATTAATGTGCTTCCTAAAATGTTGCAATTTAGAATAAGGAAAAAATTACAAAATCATAGTTGCAAAAAGTCACAAAATCATAAAATGTTGCACTTGAGAAATAACAAAATCATCCACACAAATAATCCTGGGGAGTGGACTGGCATTCATGTATAAACAGAGTATATATTTACATATAATATTATAAAACATTCAGCAATATTCTAAACGCCATGCACACTGGAATGGGAACCAAAAATCTAACTTAACTTAGCCTAGCATGTGATTTTTTTCCTTCAGCAATCCTACAGAGACAGAGCCAAGGAGCGAAGGGAGAAGTTTGGACAGCCCAATGCTCCACCCCCTCAAAAAAGAAGGCAAAAACAACAGAACAATGTTCCAAGGTGTGTAATTATTAGACCTGGGGATTTCATCTTTGAAAATCTCTCAAATAATTTTGCAAAGGGGAAAATATTCACCTGCAAACTAATTTGAGATAAAAAATATAGTACCGTGTCTGTATTAAATGGCATGAAGAGGCGACATTTTAATAACCACCGTTTTTTGGCCAGCATTCACAGTTGGTGTCAGCAGGGGTATCTAACATCTGCAACAGTTGTTACATGTTTGCTATCGCAACCAGGCATTGATAGTTTGTCATGTTTTAAAATGCTTTGTCTTACTGGGTTCTTACTAGTTTTTATGTCCCCACCACATAGTGTGGGGCCATATTGTCGGCCTAGGCGCGTCTGTCCGTCTGTCCGTCTGTCTGTCCGTCTGTCCGTACGTCCGGCAGTTTTCTCCAAAACCGCTACAGATATCACCTTCAAATTTTCAGGGATAACTTATGAGTGCATACAGATGTGGATGAAAAAAAATTAACTCGATACCTACTTCCTGTCGGCCATTTTGAAGTCAAATGCTAAAATCCTTGTCTGCAAACTTTAAGAAAAACTGCTTCACAGTTGCTTTTAAAACTTTAACATCTTGTTCAGCTCACTTCATTCTAGATCTGATTAGGTTTTGGACCTGCTAGCTCAGTCATGTCAGCCATTTTGAATGTCTTAAGAAAAGTTAGCGCGCGATAATACTTTGTATCATATTGAATGGTGTTTTTGAGTTTTCATACTTTAACTATTTAGTAGCTTTATAAATAATTTCAGATGTACTTTGCTGTAAAAGCCTACTTTATTGTTAACAGTAGTTATATGTGATAATTTTGTAAAAAGAAATCAGCAAAAACTCATAAGGACTTTTTTATTGTCGGCCATTTTGGATTTTCCGGTCCTAAAATCTTGTCTGTGAAGTCTTGTCTGCGCGTTTTCAGGTGAACCGTTTGGTGGATCAATTTCAAATTTTCAGGGATGATTCTTAGTATAAAATTCTAGATCTCATTAGTTTTTTGGCATTCTGGGTAAATGTCAAGGCAGCCATTTTGGATTTTCCGTCCTAAAATCTTGTCTGTAAAGTCTTGTCTACTCGTTTTCAGGTGAACCGTTTCGTAGATCAATTTCAAATTTTCAGGAATGATTCTTAGTATGAAAATCTAGAACTGATTAGTTTTTTTGCATTCTGGGTAAATGTCAAGGCAGCCATTTTGGATTTTCCGTCTTAAAATCTTGCCTGTAAAGTCTTGTCTACGCGTTTTTAGGAGAACGGTTTGATAGATCAATTTCAAATTTTCAGGGATGATTCTTTGTATGAAAATCTACATCTGATTACTTTTTTTGCATTCTGCGTAAATGTTAAGGCAGCCATTTTGGATTTTCTGTCCTAAAATCTTGTCTGTAAAGTCTTGTCTACCCGTTTTCAGGTGAACCGTTTGGTAGATCAATTTCATATTTTCAGGGATGATTCTTAGTATGAAAATCTACAAACAGATTAGTTTTTTGACATTCTGGGTAAATGTCAAGGCAGCCATTTTGGATTTTCCATCCTGAAATCTTGTCTGTAAAGTCTTGTTTACATGTTTTCTGGTTAACTGTGTGACGGATCAATTTCAAATTTTCAGGGGTGGTTCTTAGTATGAAAATCTAGAACTGACTAAATTTTTGGCATTCTGGGTAAATTTTAAGGTGGCCACTTTGGATTTTCCGTCCTCAAATTGTGTTGGTAAAGTCTTGTCTACTCATTTTCAGGATAACCATTTCACGGGATCACCACTTGGTGGGGACATTTTGTACACATTTGTGTTCTTGTTAAGTTCTGTCTAACCTGTACTAATAGCATCTCTAGTAGTGAGTTCTACTATTTTTGCAGACCCCATTACTTAAATAAAACACATTTCTGTATTTTCAGCCCATTTGAACAACCTAATAATAATGGAATTGCTAGTGGAAATGTGGGCAACAAGATGTTACAGAAGATGGGCTGGTCTGAAGGACAGGGACTGGGCAAGAACCAGCAGGGCAGGACAGATATTATACAGGTATTCTTGTACTTTTGTACTTTTTCATACAGGGTGACCCAAAAAACAGAACCCACCTGCCTTTGAATAAAGGGTTTGAGTTCTGCTTTTTTGGATCACCCTGTATAATTGACAGATAAACTCAATGTTAAGCCCTGTATAAATTATGAAAGACATACCATGTAGTGAAAAATATAGTCTGAATTTTGCATACTATGTATTTTTAATGCAGACAAAAAATGTTTTACTTGATGTGCATAATAATGTAATACACTACTATGGAAAAGCAATTATTTTTAACATTTTCAGAATTAAATGAAAATTGTTCAAAAACCACTTTGAATTTTAAACACATCTTGATTACTAGTACTTATTGTTTAAGACAACAATGTAAGCTAAATTAAATAGTTTACACTTTCCATGGTACCTTTAAAGAAAAAATTGAAATGAAGTTCATAAACCTACAGCTTTTAACCAGCAAATGATTTCCTTTTCCAGGCTGAACAGCGGGGTATGGGTTCAGGACTAGGAGCTAAGGGACAATATGTAATGCAACCAGGAGAAACATATAAAGATGCAGTAAAAAAGACAATGATGATGCGATATCAAGATATTTCATAGCATAACTGGATCATTTAATCCTAAGCCACCTTTATGTATGTGTAATGTTTCGTCTCATGGAAGTGATCCATGAAACAGTGTTATCTCTGGACAGTGGTTGCAACTACACATTTAAAGTACCCTGAAGCACAGATCTTAATTCTACTAGCTATGGTCTAGGAAATTTTTAAATATACAGTTTTCATGGTGATGAGATCTTATTTATAAAAATAACTGCCATGGACTTTAATGGGAATTTGAACATACTATAAATGCCAGTAGATGCTTTGGGTAGCATGAAATCCAGTGACTACAGTTCTTATTGGGCAACTATTTTTTCTCAGTATTCTGATTGGACAAATCTATGTCAAAGGATTATCCCCGACTCAGATTGTAGATAAAGATGGAGGATGATGTAAACAAATCGTGTTGAACTCAGTACATTTTAATGACTCAAATCATGTATCACAGACTCATTATATTATAAAATATAGACATGTGAAGACTTTATAATCTTTAAAAAATGAAATATTGGTTATTCAACTTTGAAAATTTTTATCATAGAAATAGCTTTGGATTCGTTTGGCCTGTACAAGTACAAAATCATGCCATATTATATCATATCATTTTTTACAACATATTTTTCATTCCTGATTGCAAGCAAACCTCTGATCTGCTGTACATCCTGGAATGTGTAAGTTATATTTTCTTACAGCATGGCATGATGTGAGGTGAAAGGTGTATACTGTATGAATGGTGTGAATGTCCCATGCCATGGGCTTGTGGTAGATTTGTAGATTTGTGCAGTAAATTATTTTGTTGTTAACATGCAGCAGGAAAAAGTAACATTACGTTATAACTCGTGAATTCAATAAGCTATCAAACAGACCAACATCTCTATTGCTTTCAATAAGGCAAGTGATCATCTCAGTTGAAATTTTAAATGCCCAAAAAGGCTAATATCAAAGATTCACGGAACGCTGATCATACTATGTAGTATATGACCTAGATGTTTAAGTCTACTTTTTTATTTATTAATTTTTTGTGTTTTTCTTAATTTATGGTGTGTTTAAAGATGGCACTGACCATGACTGCAGCTGGACTGAAAAATTGGAAGGTTTGGGTGAAGGGCTTTAGATCTGCATGAGGTCAAATACACTAATTTAGTTAGGGGTCATTGATATTTTGATTTCACCCATAACTTTAAAATCTATAATGTACCATTGTATATTTGTATTTTGCAATCTATTCTCCATTATAGTTCTGACTAAGGCTATATACCTCTATATAGACTATTAGTGATATTGGGCATTTTAAGATGCCAAGATTCTAATTATAAACTAAAGAGTTTTAAAATCATGGGACATACAATTTGTAAGATAAATTGTTTATTTGTGTTACAATAAACTCATGTCAATTAAAACACAGGTTATTTCATCTTTATTCAGAATTTATGCAACAAACAGATAAAATAAAATTTAATAAACCGAAAATTATTAAAAATGGACAGACTATGCTGTATGAGCTATTCTTATTGAGGTTTGAATATTGTTGGGATAAGTTTGTGTCTTTTATTTTGATTTTCTTACATGGTGAAGTATCTAAGAGTAGAATCAATGTGGTCATTGTCGAACCCCATAGTCTTTATATTCCTGGAATATTGATGAATGACTTTTTAGTATATTTAAAACATATTTTCTGGCTTAGTCAGATTTTCACATTTCTAGCCATATTCAAGTTATTGCTTGACAAGGTTCTCTCACTCATATTCTAAAATTCCTCAATGAAGCAGCGAATAAAAGAGAATATGCTTGATGCTGAAATGTCTTCAATGTTGGGGTATTGTTGGGTCGACATTGACATAAACCTGCAACTCTTCGTTAGTCCAGGCAAATTTACACATCACGAACTGAAAGAAAATCACAAATTCTAGAATTATGCCAGATTTTCCTCTTATTGGTCTGTCATAATTATATTTTATACTGATATTATTTACTAAGGGGAAAGATCTTCCTGGGATGTGTGTTGAAATAGTTCAGAACTTAGATTTTGGATGATGTTGAACCATGTGAACAGTAAGTGTGAAGTACTATAACATACAACTGTGACAAAAGTGTAATAAACTATGAGTACAATAATTTGTATATATTGTCAATATAAATGTGTGAACATACATCATCTATGGCTCCCCTGAAACCTCTCCCTATTGTAAGTGGACGATTGGTTCCAATCTGAGGCTCTGCAAAACATCACTTGCATACTTGAGTAATAGTCGAAATAGTCGTTCGGCGTATAGTGTGATAAAAGAAGTTATTGTGACAATAGAACGCTGTGTAGAATCACGGTGGGCAGACTCTCTGTGACTAGATTCTTTAAAAATAATTTGTTTTTAACCCCTTCCTTGTTACTCTTGTCTACTCACTTCCTTTGTTAGGTATTGGTTCACCAGTTGGAAGACCATCCACGAATACCGTCACTACATCGTTAAACAACACCACTGCAACATGGTGCCATGGTCCAGTTCCAGGGGAACCACAATTCGGACCGGGACACGCTCCACCCCCGACTCTCACCACCACAGGATCGTTAGCATCACCGAACTTGATGATATACTCGACATTTTCGTTACGGGGAAAATCTGGGAGGCCGGGTCCCGGTGGCACATCACGCGATGGCCCATCAAGAGGAGGTCCGCCTGGGAAACCTTGCCCACCAGGGGGCCCACCTATTCTGGCTATAAATGTATGTACCATGATATGAGAATCTAAAAACTGGAAATTGTTCACCGATGTAGGTGTTCAATGTGTCTTTACAGTGGACCTTGTAAAGTAGTACTGTTATAAGATGGTTTGAAGTAAAGCGTAGAAGCACATATATGTTTGCATTTGTAAGAATTGACGCCTCTTTATGTATTGGCGGAACTATTTATACCTGAATCTGGACCAGGGCCACCAGGAACGCGATCATTTGCCTGTTGTGGGGCAGGGGTCGGGTTAAGCGTAAAGTAAAACGTAGCAGTGGAACTGTTGTCTGCGTTGTCCCATACATTTCCTGCCACTTCATCTATCCGTATCCATGCTGCAATCGTTGCTTCAAAGCCTCCGTAAAATTTACTGGAATCACAATTCATATTTTTGTTACGTTCAGACATGGGCCTAATCTCTAGGCAATGATGACACTCGAAATATAATTGACACCTAGCCAATAGCGATCTAATTCGAATAGCTTCAAAAAGGCTACCACTCTGTACTCAGTATTCCTTTTTTAGTCCGAAATGTTACTGGCTCATGAGCCAGACATATACCAGAGATGAAAATGATAGTGTTTTCACAGATTGAGTACTAGCCCTTGTAGAATACACTCAAGATGGAGTTCCAAATAAGTGCGAACGACTGAACCAAAATATCACCTGAAGTAGGGTATGGATGCAGGTCTAGTTTTGTTGAAGACCGCAGCCCCCGTTCCCACCTTGGCTGATGTCGTTATCTGCAAGCCTCCCTGTGCTATGAACGTCCCTTGGATGTCGTCCCGAACATTGCCATCGAAACCGAAGTGGATACAATCGCCGCGTCCGCCTTGAGGAAGAAAGAAAGTGTATGAGATGAAAGGACATAAGGTAATCGACTTGATGAGTACACGTGTGAAATGAGAAACGTTGCGATGGGAGGAAATGGCCGAGATGAGGTTGGAGGGGATATGACAAGTCATAATGAAGTCCCGTGAGGAGTATCAGATACGAGAGAACTGGAAATGGAAAAACATGGAGGGAAAATAGAAACACCAGGAAAGTGGAGTTGTGAAAATGTGAGGCGAGTCGAAATAAAAATATGATAAGAAAAAGGAAGGGTGTTGAATACAAAATGGAAAGAGCAGAAATGGAAACTTAAGATTCTTGAAATGGAAATCCAAGGAAACAAAAGGAAATGAAATACCATCACGAAGAGGTTAAATCTTACTGGGTACCTCTCCTTCGCAACAGCAGGGTATCAATTTGAAAGTTTGTCCCTCAGGGCAGCCCTGTGCTGTACGCTCTCCCTCTATCCTATAGCCCCTACCGTCACTCAGTGGAGTATATGTTGTCCCATGGGCGCAGCAAGCTAAATAAAACACAAGACAACATACATGTACATATAGCCATCCTAAAATGCCAATATTTTCTATCCCTATATCTTGACGCTGATGAACATACAGGGGACCCGTTTGATAAATGCGTGATAGCCATTGAGAAATATGAATTTTGTCTATCCAAATGCTGCAACAACCACTTGGTCTCCCAAAAGGAGATGCATCTCCGGTTTTGTACTAAACGAGTCTAAAATTTTGTAATTTTACTTACTGTTATTTGGCAGCAGTGAAGGATCTGGACACTCCTTTAGCTGCTTAGTTTCTGAAACAGTTCAAAATGTTATAATTTGAGCTGTTGGGCTCATCATACTAGAATCGGAATATGGACTGTATGGCTACAAAAGCCAGACTAAGATAAGTACATACCATAGCAAGCTTCCGGGGTATCTATGCATTCTGGTCTCGTTCTCTTACGGTCACAAGAGCACGTCTTCTGGTTCCATATGAGTGGCTTGGCACATACTCTCTCATATGCCTTCCGTCTACCCAAACACTGCAGATAGCGACAACAGTCTCGCGATGGCAGACCTGTGTCCATTGGGAGATAGCCACTCACACATGCGGCTAGAACAATATAACATTTACAATGGGTGGTGTAATTTCAAGCATGTTGTCGAGGTTGAAGATGTAACTGGTTCCAAAACATTTCAGAGCTCAAAACTTTTAGTTACCTTCTTCCTCAGGAGTAAGGTTTACAACTACAGCAACTTGTCCGTGGCTCAACCTCATCAACCATAAAGCTACCAGCACCAGGAACATGGCAGCTAAGATACAAATACATGGGAGCTAGAATGTACATGACAGCTAATATGTTAATAGCCTAACTTGAAAAAGTGGCAGCTGGAATGTACGTACATGGCAGCTGAGATATACACTCCCCTCCAAAAGTTTGACAACCTTAGCTCCCTCATTGAACTACTTGTTAAAGCCTCTTTATGTTTGAACTTTTATTTACATAATCTGGGAGGAAAATACTTATAATATGGATGGAAATGTAACTTGACTTCATTTTCAATGCCTCCAAATTTCCCATTTTTTCCTCAATTACAATAGGTCGAAAATTGATGATTTTGATGAATTTCTAAAAATCGTCAATCCCATGTAAACCAATGGGAAATGGTGGGTTCGGGGCAAATCTGAATTCAGGATATCTATCAAGTAAAAGATTCACCAAAAATATTTTGATATAGAAAATTGAATCGTCTAACTTTTTTGTACGCTGAGTATTCAGTTTACTTTATGAATACTTAAGTCACAGAGCTTCAAAGTCATTTTTGAAAATCATTTTTCGCCTCCTGTGTTATTTCAATAGGGAGAGTTTTTAAAAAATAATTTTGACTTCGAGGACCTATAACTTTTTAAACCTGAAGAAACGTATCAATAGTACATGACATGTAGAATGTACTGTCATATACATGGCAGATCGGAAGTAAGACTGATGGTGCAAAATACAACAGAATAAGTGTTTCAAACAAGCAAATGTAAAGACGATCCGGTAATTGATATTTATAGATGTCCACCAAGATGCTCTTATTTTGATTCATCAGGTTTTGAATTTTGGTTCAATTTTTTACTTTACCCAAATAACAAAGTGTTTAGAATGTAAAACTATCATTATGGATCATGTAGATATGTTTACCATTATAAATAGGTTTACATATTATATAGGGCCTTTAAGGAACTAATTGAGAAAGTCAACATGACCTAATATGTTGATTTGCGAAGCAGCAAAATGGATGTTATTATGTCCATTCATTAGCCCTTAAGCAAAATTCAACCATATCAATATCAAGGTCAGCATCGCCATTTATATAGGTCATGGCATGAAAATGTGAAATTTGATCTCTAGTATGGAATATCGGATACGTGTATCATCCAACCATCTTACACAAGAATCGATATCGTATCCATTACTCGTGACAGAGGTCTATACCAGGGATAAGTCACTTATCCAAAAATATAGATATCTATTTTTACACATACGTATGCGTATATAACATTTAAATGATATAATAATTTATATGAATTGACTTACCTTTCAAATAGTATATATCCGTCCTTTAGGGTCATGATTTATACGACCTTACTCCTATACCTTGTGCATTAATGGCTGCACAATGCAAAGTAAAATGCTAAGGGGCCATATTAAAGCCATTATTTTTCAAATAACTTATCTTGTCAACCGGCTAGTGATGAGGTATTGTAGTTGATAGTTGACCTTTATATTGAACTATCGAGGATTACTTCTAGATATTATATAAATAAAGGTTATATACTTGGAGGTTTTGGATATGGGGTTTATCCAGAGGAAGATATGCATATCTACCTGAGGGTCCGTAGGGACCGAAGGTATATGTGCATATTTCACGAAAGATAAACCCCATATCCAAACCAACCGTTCATAATTGCTTTATCCAATACCCAGTAGAGCTTTCTAAAATATTTCAAATTATTTCACATTTTGCCAATTTTTTACAATTTTTTTCAAATATTTTTACATTTTTTCAAAGCGGGAAGATATGCCCCGAGCGGGAGATATGGCGGTAGATTGTTACAATTTTGTAGAATTAAAAAAAATCAAGATGATCAATAGTATTAGCTCATAATAAAATCTCTGTGTGAGTTGCGTTGAGCACCAAGAGAGCACCGTAACATTTAAGATGCCGAAACACAACCACTGTCACTCCATTCTGGTACAGAATCGTAGATCATCAAAAATGTGACATTTTTTCTAAAACAAGACAAAAATATGGGGAAAATATTTTAAACTTGGTGATATTTTGCCATTTTTGGTTTTTAAGAGAGTCAAAAAGCGTTTTCTGTCGACAGGCCATAGTGATGGGGGTCAGCAACATTAAACCTCGTCAATGAAAGTATAATCCTTTATTGAGAAGAACTCTTCGCAAACATGAATGAACCTCTTTTTCTAATCGTATAGATTGAAAGCTGATTGAGCTAATTGAAAGCCCATGATAAAACTAAGCGCATTTAGTGATTTTACTTAGCTCGGCTTTAGTGCATATATCAATTTAACGACAATTTAAGAAACAAAACAAATGGCAGTTAGTTCAACATTTAAGCATAATTTAGCTGATTTGCAAACGGTTCTGAGTTACTTTTTCTTGGATAGTTACAGTTTGCCGGTATGGCGAAAGAGGTACAGTCGAGGGTTACAGCCTCCCTTACATTTAGATACTCATCGCATCTTTCTGCTGCATCTCAGGGCTGAGAAGAAATGAAATGTCATGGTTTATCATATGATGATGCCTCCCATACAATTTCCTTGACCCTTGGAAAATTCCGGGAATGCTCCTGCATTTAGACGTGTGAAATACTAAATGCGTTTGGATGAAAGAAAACCATGAAAAATGTTCAAGGTGGTAAAAATCAATAGAGGGGGCGAGGGGGGGGGGGCTTTTGGCTATGACCCAAATATTACATTTACACACATTTACACAGTGGTTATACCGCTATAGAGTTGACTGAGTAATCCTGTATTTGAATGCACCTTGACAAACAACATTTATGTGCTAAAAGGATCACATTCACTCATTTAGGCTGTTTGTGCTGTACTTACATACGAGTTCACACGCATTTACAGATTTCACAGGACGTACTGTATGCATCTTGGTGGATTTACAATTTGCTATACATCCTAAATCTAAACAGAAAACTGGGAAACAAAGGATGATGTGAACGATGGAGCTGTCCCCAGACATCAGAAATCAAGCAGGCTAAGGTCGTGAGGCACACAACTACTATAGGCGTGACAATAAAGTGATTCACAAATGGTGAAAACACTCATATGGATACCTTTACAGTACCTAAATGACGGTGAGCGAGTTATTTCTATTCTCATTTGAATCAAATCTTTCAACCAGTCAATCATTTAATGGATGATATGGGGCTACTTAACTTGATGAAGGGACTGAGAGGGAGAGAGTTCATGATAATATTGGTAACTGCACAAGAAGCATCGACACAGATGGATAATGGTTTATTTAATTTGGTAATATCAGATGTATGGGCGATGTCTAGATGAATTTCTAGCCAAAAATAACAAATAAGATATTCACTTTCCTGTGGATGTTTTAAACATATTCCAACCTCTATGTTTTATGCGAAAAACAACGTGGAGTGATATTTAAGTATACCTTTAACCAATACGAATATGCACACTATAGATACTAGATAATTCAAAACCGGTCTTAACAAAATCAACCCCAATGATTTCTGACACACAATCGTGACACCTCTTCAACCGATTTGAATATAAGTTAAAGTGTAATTTTGGTCCTTACTTTCAATTGATTGAAATTGTGGTCTATTGACACTAAAAAAGAACCATAATCCCGGAGAATCATAATTTTTCAAAGCATATTCAATACTTGGCGAACAAAAACATGTAAGTGTAATATCGTTAAATCATGGATAATATCAATACGATTTTGGCAGGTTTGTATCCCTGCAGGGCAATGGAGTCATATCAATTTAGTAAACTAATGTATTAACATAGTGAAATTTCGATCTAATATTGTCAAACGATTTGATTAGGTACGTATCTTCCTTGAACTTCCTAAAAGTCCCGATCACTTGCAATCATTAAAAATGATTAGAAGATTACAAAATACGATATACGCATTGATGAGAAAGAATGGACATGCCACGTTACTTCATATGATACTCCATTTGATAATGAGTCAAATTGACATTTAGTCGACCTTTCCTTTTAGCGCAGTTAAAAACATTGAGAAAGATGTAAAACTACATTTATCTATGTTAAAATTGTTCTATAATTTATTTGTTGAGTTTACAATTTTTCTTTAAAATTGGAGGTATGGGCGTCTAACGTTGCATCTTGGTGTACCTTAGATGCAGTGCTTGCAGTTGAACTGGAAATGTAAAAACAAACAGATATTAATGAGATGGGGTATGATTCGTGTAATGTTTAACATAGAGGAGGGCCCGTCTATAAACTTTGGTGTCAGGGTAATCCTCTAAAAAATATGTTTTTGGTTAATTGAAAAATAACATATGGAATAAGCGATAAAATCCACTTTGTTCACTCTCTGTATTGCATATTGTACTTTGTTTATTTCTCATTGTACTTTGTTCATTTCATGTATTGCGTATTGTTAATAATACCAATACATTATCTTTACAGTTAAACACTGGGCCACTCGTCTGATCTGATTCCAAATGAACCTCACAGCAACAAAGTACAAGATGATAAGAATACCATTGAAGAAAAGGACGATACTGATCCTTGTGGGGCTGTTAGGATGTGTGCTGGTGTTGAAAAACGTTATGTTATCTACACACACAAAAGAACATGCTGATTTAAAGATACGTCTTAAAGCAGTTGATACCATGGCAATTCACTCACGTGAGTTATTAAACCGTGCAATCCAGAAACCCCCCAGTGAAAAATCTGTGGATAGACTTCTCAAAGATGAAGATGCAGTTCAAAAACAGAAAAGTAATCTTAGTGATGTTTTATCTGCGAATAGTGTCATGACTAAGGATGATACGATAGAAAAACACCATCGTTCATCGAAACAATGGACAGCTGTTAATGATAGTTCATCCGGCAAACGCACTGATTTAAATGTGTCTAGGCGTTCAAAACTGAAGCACAAAAATGAGTACGACTCAAACGTGATCCGGTATAAAGACAATCCATTTAATGGTGTTCAACCTACAGGGCAACTACGAGTACCGGATGGCTCACTAACGCCATCTCTCGTATATTTTATTTGGTGCGGTAAGAAATGGTTCGAATTTCAACATTATTTGAGTGTCCGCAGTGCTATTAGATTTCTTAATGCTGATAGAGTTATTTTGTACTATTCAAACATTCCCAAAGTTGATGGTCATCGATATAATAGATGGTATGAAGAGTTGATGGAAGATTACCCTTGGTTTACAAGAACGCGACTTAAGGACAATGAACTAGGGATTTGTAAGGATGACACCTCAAAACGTGCTTTTGCAATGCAGAAACTTTCAAAAACTGGTGGAATATATATGACTGAAACCACTATCCTTACTACACCAGTCAACACACTGAGGAAATACCCTTTGGTGGAGGCTATCCAAGATGGGAAAGGTTTCATGATGGTAAATAAAAATGCTAAAATAAATGGGACTAAGAAAGTACGGTGTAGTGATTTGATTGTGAAACGCCGTAAAGAAGCATTCGTGAAATTAGAAGATGGTCACACCGTTGAAGGCTATCGTTTGATTATAGATAATGCTGCCAATGATAATGTGTGTATCACAATGCCTAGGACTCCTACGTTTGTATACCCAAAAGATATATGGGCATTGGACAATGCATTCGGGAGAGCAGCTAGAGACATATTCTACGGTTCTCCAGAAGTGCCCAAAGTGAGGCATTCTACGAAAGAACTCGCGCCTAACATTGCTCATATGGTTCTTCTAGGCGGTCGTAAGATGGAATATATTTGCTACATTGGGATGCTTAGTATACTTCATATTGTCAAAGTAGAAAAGTTATACATACACGGTGATAAAGTGCCTATCGGTGATCTTTGGGAGAAGATCAGCAAAGACAAAAGAGTTGAGTACGTTTTTCATGATCTCCCCAAAAGTGTGTATTCCACAGAAGACAATTTCCTCCCCCAACATGTTAGTGACATGATGCGTGTTGATATAATGATCAAATATGGAGGCCTTTATGTCGATACTGACGCCATATTTGTCAAGCCCCTCGATGACTATATTAGGGGGTACGACGTAGTAGCTACCTATGATTGGGCGACGGGGTGGGTACCCCCATGGCCCGATATAATTAACTTTGGGGTAACGCTCGGCAAACGTGGTGCCCCTTTTTGGCATTTATTTCAGCATTCAATGAAAGATTGGTGGGAGAAAAACTGGAGCTATAATGGGTTACAGAAACCATATAAAGTCTACGAAAGGCATCCACATTTGGTCAAAATAAACCCCCATTGGCAAGTGATTTGCTTTGGTTACGAGCATGGATGTCATCCCACATGGACCGACTGGCCAACATACTTTAATAGAAACACCACGCATAGAGACACTGGTATAGATTGGCGTAAAGACGCATATGCGTTCCACTGGACTGATCCAACACCACCGCCATTTTGGGGAGAAAATCATTTGATAAATCACAAGATGGATGACTTTTATAAAGATTTTTCTGCTGAGGTCGGACGCTTTGTTTTAGAAAAAGCTGGTCTACTTGATGAGATTGTAAAAAGGGTTGGAGATAAGGTTCCATAACACTGATTCATTTCGTTTGTACAGAAGGAGCACATTTATTTATCAAACATTTATTAAATAAAAAATTTTGTTTTATGTGTCGAAAAGATAAAGTATGTCAAGCCATCAATAACAATTGAGGCCATGCAATGTTGCGCAGTATATGTACGCTCTTTTAACATTTTAACTGCAACACACAATTCGTTCATGGTCTGACTTATTAATGATACTGATACATGATATACATGATGTGTTGATTCAATTATTGTACAGGTCTGGATGTTTATACACATTTATTGGAAACTATAGATACATCAAATCTCAAGGAGCAATAAAAACTAAACTTACTTTCCATATACAATTTATTTATTGTTGTTTATATAAAGACATTATAAATTATTACAAGACATGCACACATTAAAGGAACGCAAAATGAATTAAAATGCAATTAAAAAGAAAATGCGGTGGTTTATCGGTTTTAAAACTTCATGCACATTACAATAGTTAAAAATATGGCATCCCAAGTTCCAACTACTAGTATATGTCATGTATGTGAAATTTCTTAATCATCAAATATTTCTTAATGCATTTCAAAAAAGATTATCTTTTTAACACCAATGCAAAGATTGAACAAAGGACACATTATTTCAATAATAAAATGCCATATTTAATGGGCCACTTCAATGTTTTAGCATATCAAAAATATTTTGAAACATTAGTGATGTCACTAAGGTACCAAAAACTTTTTTAAAAAAATTGAAATTTTTTTTTCGATGTCAATCTTTCCTAAATATGTTAGACTTTCATAAAAAACCAATGTTGATTGTCTAACCAGGTTAAACTGAATATAGGGTAAAAATGAGGGAGACACAGACGTCGGAAGAGTGGAGATAAAATCTAATCAACACTAAGCTGAGACAGAATGAGAATCATATGTCTGGACTCGCAAGATTTTCATAAACATATTCATTGAGGTACATTCTAAAATTGTCTCAGTTTATCAGGTTTAGATTTGGTCATTTTGACTATATATAATTGTTAAAGTTTTAAGCGCAGTTTTGGTCTATATGCCTATAATAGAAAACGTTGATGAGATGATTTGGTCTACGCTACCCTTTGCATTCGTTTGACTTCACTTCTTAAAAGAGAGCTTCGTCTTCGTAGTTTAACTACTCTGCACACAGGGTAGGTCTACGCCATAACAAAACCTTTAAAAAGAGGCATACTATTGGTCTAGACCTGAAAGTAAGGCGTATTAGAGGTCTACTTTTAGTTTACGCCTCAAAAACCTATCAAAACGTAATTTGAATAAATGAACGTTTTATCCTCTTTATGGAACATTATACATTTATCAATGTTAGAAAGGGATCTCAATTTTAAAAATTAAAACGGGTTGCAAACACTATGATTGATATTCGAGTGAAGCGCACATCAATATCCAAACAAATATTACAAAGGTTTATTTTAAGTTCTTAGTTTTCTCCATAAAATGTACATGCATAAATACCCGTGAAAATCAACGTGGCTCGCCGATAATCACCAAGGAGGATTGGCTCCCAGGATCGATATTTTCCAAGAATGAAAACGTCGAAATGTCGTTATTTTCTGAAATTAAAACCGACTATAAATTCAAAATAAACAGTTCAAAAGATTCGAACCAATATCTCGATCATTTCTTGTGAGTTTTGGAATTTTTCGTTTGGAAATAAGACCAAAATTCACGATTTAAATGTTGAAGTGAACAAAATGGCGGCTGTTGGAATTCGAATTTTGTATTACGACATACCCATATATGGGACAGAATATCGGTGGTGCACTCTGGGAGCCAATCCTCCTTGGATAATCACATAATATTACTTACATAGGCCTACTTCCCTCGTGTTTAATGATAGCTTATTAACACAATGCGTGGTATTTGAATGTGCATTATTTACTGATAACTTTATAATTAATAAAATTTTATTTTACTTATTATTTAGAAAGCGATAAAACGTAATGCCGACTTGTTCTCTATTCGAACATTCAACAGCAACGCAGCATTTAGGCATACTCTTTTAACTTTTTCTCATCACTTCGTCGCCATTTTGAGCACTAGTTTCTTATGACGTTTTCTAGACGGCCAGCAATATTTTCTGGCCGGACAAAGGCATGACGTCACACTGATGCATAGGGTCAATACTCCATAGTTATTGCTCAATTGTAATTGTCTTAGATTTGGTGATAATCTCAGCTAATAAATAGATATCCATTATACATAGATTCAAATGAAACATTACGAAGAGATAATGGTATATACATTTACAAAAGTAACAGTTTTGAGAGTTGCCAGTATTTTGTATACATGGTATATGCCACGATTAGGCAGCAAGGGCAGTCTTGAAAGACAGGTTGTACTGTCCCTCCCTCAGCACGGTCACTGGAAGGTATGGCTTGGGGGACTTTATCAGGTAGTTCTGAAAGAAAAAAATGTCATAGATTGCTCAAAATTACAAGTCTGTGAGTATAGATTCGTGGAATTTAAGAATATCTGAACATAAAGGCCTCAAATATATTTGTAACTCTACGATTTAAAGTGTTTTTTGTTGTTCTATTTCTTTGGTGAGGTATGGACTTCCTAAACCAAGGCCATATACAAATTAATATTAATGTAAGCCGGGCAACGAAACATAAACGAAATATGTTTACCCAATCTTGGTTTCAAAGTTTTGCACTATGCACACTTGTCACCATATATAATATATAACAACAACTTACATGTGCATACATCATGGCACTCTTTGTCTCTTGGTCAGAGGCGCCAAGACCAACCCAGACAAATAGATCCTGAGTAGTATCAAACATGAAAACATCCTGAAAATAATTGATCACAATTTTGGTGATTTTTTCTTAGGAATACCATAGTACACTGTGGCTAGTCGATCTATGTGGATGCAGTCATTTATATGCAATGTATCGTGGGTGCTCGCCTCTGTACTTTTCAATGGAAGAATTTTGCACTTTTGTTTAAATAATGTATATTTACTCATCCGTGTATATCATACTTCATTGATTTACAAAACCAAAGCTATGCTATAAACACACATTCTCTGACATTTTTACGGAGAATAGATAACTCAAACGAGTTCACTCGACCAGTTTTATCATCTCGCTCATAGCTGTGAGAAGGTATGTATAATTTGCCATAGGTTTACCTTATAATGGGGAATAAAAAATTCAAGTAATATAATTATTTCACGTACACAAATATGTCTGTGTGAAGTAAAATACAAATACAATGCGTTTTTTAATATTTTTGGGGTTATGGTATGAAATATCCACTTTAAAAAAGCGATTTAATTATGATGTATCATGTGGATTAGTAGACGTTCTTAATGGATTCAATGAACAGGCTGGCTAAGTTTTAATTGAATCATTTTTGAATGTGTGTATTTTTAATATTTTAATCCACAGTGTCCAAAAAGAATAATAGTGTTGTATTGGTAATTGGAAAGATTCCACTTACCACGATTTAAAAAAAATTGGAAATAGATAATATTATTCTTGAATTTGGGTCATTTGTTTCAAGGAATCTGTAGGCTCGTTCAGCTGAGCTGACAAAATCATCAAGATTTACGGATGGTCCATCTGTTGGCTGCTCATTGTCACTTTTAAGAAATGTTAATGGCTCTGAAACTTGTAGCCTTGCCCAAGTCCGTATTTATTTACTTATCTGATCTTGAATTATTGTATTATTGTGCAATCCAATGCATCATCGCTGATATTATGCTAAGTAATTCAGCGGTTCCGAGATTCCCATAATACCTACGCTACCTAAGGGTATCGCGAAACCTATTGATTGACAAGATTGCATGGACACGACGTGTGACTTCAGGCTGATTGACCAATCAAAAAGTTATCTGATCTGATCGAGTATTTCTTGAAAGTTACAATATATTATGTTATTAAATGTACATTGGAATGTAAGCAGTCATTAATACTCGTATAAATGAAATCTGCAATTCAATGTTGATTCAAAATCAAAACTGAATTCGCGATGGAAATGCACGAAGACCTAGTCCGGCGATGTAGGGCCGTCGTTGATTGGTCAAATTTCACCGACTAAAACATTGGGTCGGAAAAGCACGTGGCTTTTTCTTGGGTACAAGGCGGTCATAATAGAAATCAAGATAAGTAAAAGAGACCGACTTGGGCAATGCTATGAAGTTTGATTTGTGGGTATTCCAGTGGGGTGATGGGTCTTTGGCTCTAAATTCACTTCTTTTGCGTACCTAATTTCAACATTTTCATTGTCATCATTACATGTTATGGACCCGTTTTTCAAATTAACAGTATTAGGGATAAAACCATAGTTTTTCATCTGTAATGGCATTTTCCAGTTGATGGGTTTATATATAGTATTTTCAATGTAATGGTGTGGCTAATTACTTTACTGAATGAGGAATGTTTATCCAAACAATGAATACAAAGAAAATCTGGCCAGTTGTCCATCAGTAAATAAATCATCGTGATAAAAGTATAATTTATTATAGCATCCATTTTTTACCGTTCTGAATCCAAATGATACATAGTAGCATCGATTTTAAACATATATGTTGACGTTTTCGAAATGTTGTTCAAATATCTTCCCTATAACAGGAATATGGTAGCTGAAACTTTCACACATTGTGATACTATGCATATTCAATATGTATGCAAGATTTCAAGTCACAATGTTAGGTAGAAACTCTGAGATCACTTACCTCGATTTGCTGTCATATTTTTGCAATGATCCCATTCCCTATAATGTACGCGAGCACCCACGATACATTGCATATAAATGACTGCATCTACATAGATCGACTAGCCACAGTGTAGTATGAAGAATCATCCTAGGAATTACCCCAAAATGCCATGATAAAGCAGGCCTGATATTAAAGACAATTAAAGTCATTCACCTGCACACATCAAAACATACACACGTTTCAAGTATAATGAACGATGGTCAAATTAAGAAAAGAATAATGAAGGTTCAGTTGACCAGTGCCACAGAACCAAAGAATGACCATTCATCGGATATTTGCCACACGCCACATACCTTGGTATCGAAGTCAGCAGATGTAACATCTCCAGTCTTCTTAACATTAAACTGGACGTTTCCTGATTGATCGGACAATCTAAAGCAGATTGTTAAACAAAATCATAACGAGTTAACTTTCCTCAAACAAACTTAGTAATATTTTTAATGATAATGTCAGACAGAACTTTGAATTTTCTTTGTGAAAAACTTGGTGAATCAGAAGATATAAATATTTCCCCTAAACAGATAGCAATTTTAACTAAAATCTGAATTGGAGCAAATTAGCCAAAATCTCTCATTGGTAAGGGGTACACAAGTGACTGCTACACTAATCAAGTAGTCAAGTTAGTTCACTTACTGCATAAGTTTCTTTTCGTTATCTGCGGCGTCTGTCTTGTCATCATCATCGTCGTCATCATCTTCCTCTGGTAGGCTTATGCTTTTGTAGAACAAATGCTGATGTAAAAATAGAAATACACTGATAAAAAAATTCAAGCACCGCAATCAATGAATTGTTGGAAATTTATTGCACGTGATTCTAGTTTCTAGTTAAGACGAATTTTAAGGCTAGCACAATATCTCATCGGCAAAATGTCACCACTTGCCATTTGTTACAGACGCCGCGCCATGTTACAGACTCAGAACATCGAACATCAACCACCGTTCACAAAAACTTTGGAGACTCTAACAATATGTTACACCTCAGGTGGTGACATAAAAACCTGGACAACCTTGGTCCCTTCTTTTTCACAAACATAGAAAGCACATACCTCTGGATGGAGTCTTGCTTCATCCACAGTCTGGATGACAGGCCTACCACCTCTTTCCTCTTTTAGTTTCTGTAGAAATTGTACTGCCTGGAACGTAGTAATAATTGTGTGTGATTATACATTGCGGTGGGTGTTACATATTGACATACTTTGCATTGTGTTGGTTGTGTTGTGTGGTGTTATTTTAGGTATTTTGTGTTATGTTGTATTGGTTGTGGTTACAGTTGAGTTGCAATGTGAGGTACGATGAGTTGCATTTTTATCTCTGCTCTAACCCTTGTTTCCTCAATCAAGGCCATCGTCCGAAATATTCCTGACCAAGGAGCCACAAGCACCTAACAATGGCTTCACACGAATATGTTCTTGCTTTTTGAACAGAGGGCAACTTAGAAAAAACAATACCATATTACGGAATCTGAGGTAATCACCTTGAATCTCTCATCTTTGTTCGAGCCTTCCCCATTCCACTGGATGATTTTCAAACCAAGATCAAGAATAAACACATCGTCGCTCATCAGACTTTTGCGCACACGAGCTACCTAAATTAGTATTGAAAAGTATAACTTAATAAAATTGTATACATAATTATTTATGTACACTATATTTTAAAAATCTCTTAAAAGTATATTATTCCAAAGGATGTAGCTTTGTTTGATTAAATGGACATAAAAATATCATAGTAATTTATATTAATCAGACGATGTATACCTCTTTAACTGTGATTCTCTTCTTTACACCACGGAAGTGGAAGAGTCTTGGTTCATACTCCTCTGCCTTTACGCGACGGAATCCACTAGCAGCGCCACCTTTCAGATACCTAAAATTCACACATACGGTTATCTTTTGTTAAGACCAGAAGACGTAGTTTTGTGATTTCATCAATGGTGAACACACCAGCGCTTACTGTAAACCGTATCCTGGATGCAGAATATACTTATAAACTACCCCTCTTTTAGAAACGAAGTCGAAAAGGTATAGAAGCCCATCATTGGTCCAAGGGTATTTCACTTCCATTGAATTGAAAAATAAATTAAGTCTTTTCAATGAAGGCTGACAAAAGCCGGTAACCCGGACCACTCGGACCAGCAAGTGCAATCCCATTTGATCTTGAATAAGAGAGCAGTACGTCAATATATAGGTTGCATTTACACATGTCCGGACTATAAAAGACACTATGAATTCCAACCTGATTTCATCAAAATAGCTGAGGAATAATTCCGACTCATGTCCCATCACCTCTCTGTGTTGAACTGGCTTGTCATCTAAGAACGTATCCAACTCCACGGTCTTGTAAGCAGCAGTGCCATACTCATCCTACCAGAGAATTATAAATATGTATGCACAAGTGCCAATGGGAAATGAGTCAAATGACCAAAAGTTGTTACAACAAACCCCAACTATCCCAAACCATGATCTAACGTGAAAAAACAATGTTTATCGCACATTTATTTCTCCCCATAGATGTCAGAGAATATGCAATTAATATTAAGACATCTCGATTCACAAGGTTCCAGTTGCTCCACGTACTTCATTGTGTTACATTATAATCTAATTATAACTACCTTGGAAGTCAAAGATGCATTTTAGACCTACTCTGTATGTTTAAATCTGGTGCAGATATCAGTTACCTGTGTGCTGTATTTTCCTATCCAGAAATGAACGTCATACTCGATTTCATCAGAGTCCTCCTTCTTGTATTGCTAAAAATAAGGCCAGTTATTTCTTTCTTATATTTCAAAACTTTTAGTGGACACTCCATTAAATAGATATGCAAAAGGGGCATAGGGTAAAAATAATTTTGAACGTTGAAGAATAACAGAATAATGCACATAAAATACTATATTTGCCATATTACTAGAAGCGATATAGTTGACCTTTATTAACATTTTACCTCGTTACGTCGTACTACCAATGATCTATAATTGAAGATCTATAACATCGGTTTTTCTACTTTTTTACTTTTTTCTACATCTAGAAGGAGAATCTCCTCATTCATATTGGTGCTAAGGTAGTATCAGTAGGGGTGTTAAGTTCACTCAAGCAACCGTTAGCAATACGTAACTGCTAGTTAACATCAATGAAGACGCATCATGCACGAGAACTTACATTAAAGGAACATTCCTGGCCAAACGTTTTCTATCCTGCTGTGATAGCTATAATCATATATATATACTTTCCATATTTGGCAAAACATGGGGAAATGTTTTAATATAGTCAATATTGATAATTTAAAAATGTAGTGCTCATTTCCAGTAAGCTGCCATCTTTTAAGATTTTACTCAGGAAGTGATGTCATCGACTCTCAACTTTCATGCCCTTGCATATAACAGTATAGGAAAATAGCACAATATCACTTCTAGACGAGTGATCCTTACTTTATACACAAAAACATGTTCAGAGCTTGTCAGCTTAGAATAAAAGAAGAGACTTTTAGAAGATTTAAATCATAGACGAAATTGAAAAAGATTATTGAGCTGGTTTTGTAATTCTTAATAGCTCCTTATAGTGTTATATGCAAAGTTGAGAGTCGATGACATCACTTCCTGAGTGAAATATTAAAAGATGGCAGCCTACTGGAATTCGGCACTACATTTTCAAGTCATCAATATTGACCATATCAAAACATTTTTCCCTGTTTTGCTAAATATGGAAAGTATATATATGGTTATAGCTACCATATTAGGAGAGAAATGGTGTGGCCAGGAATATTCCTATGTATAATATATGAATCCCCATCAAAAAAGCAACCGTAATCTTATGCTGGCCATTCGGTGATGCCAAATTTCTGAAATGTTAGCATGATCCACAAGGTGAAATATCTAGTAAGATTACTACACACACACACGACAGTGACAGTGACGTTGTTGATATGAAATATGACGTCACACGCGCATACAATGTTAACTCAAAGAAACACCAAAAGGAGAACACCATTTGCTTTCATTAAGGGAGACATACAACAGACGGAGGACAGCAGACATATAGAGAGTGAAAGACACGGGAATTGTATTAAAACAGAGATCAGGCATGGTTAATTGTTGAATATATGATGTTATCCAATCAGCGTTCGTAGTACTAAAACAAGAAATACTGCATACAAGACGTGTCTAGTATGAACATTTACTCGTTGTTATCAGCGATGAGATGCTAAAAGAAAACACGTTTATATTATAAGGGGCTAAGACATCAACCAGAGCTTTGCCTTGACACACTAGTAAACTTCATCCGGGTAAGTGCACGTAGAAAACCCAGGGGTGAGTATGGTGAATGGAGCTGCGTTTCGTGTACTGGAACCATTATTTTCCTCACTACTACTTACGTTCAACACGATATATGAATCGCCATCATAGAAGGTGCCATAGTCGGGAACGGGCCAGGCTACAACCTCGAATTTCTAGAATTTCACATGCAATACAAAATAGTTTATCATTTTAAGACAATGGACAGACTAATATCCCTGTGTTTCAGACCTATTATAATTACTAGTATCCTAAAGAATATGACAGACAAAGAAATTCTTCATTTTTATTTTCCATCCTACTGTAGCTTTACTTATTGCAGCATTTGAAAACGTAAAAGTGTAATTGATAATTGCAATGAAATTGATTCTATATTTTGGAAATAAGTTATGAAGTTTATAATTTTTAAAAATGTGTAAATGATCTACTTGGATTCATACCACTATTCTCCAGATGTACAACGCACTCTCCCTGTTTTTATCCACTGTCGACCATGCTTGTTCGCCACTAGCAGACGTCTCTAAAATAATTACAAAATATTGTATTAAACCTGTGAACTTAAATTCCTTCTCATCATACATAATAATAAATATATTCATAGGGATCCTTCAGGGGCCGATATTAAGTTTATACTATAATGAAAATTATAGAATAAAAACACTGGCATAGGGCATTACATAGAGTAACGATAACATTTTTGAGATTATTCGAAGGTATGGCTTTATTATACTCAAGGTAGAATGGAAGTATCATTTTACCTTGTGAAGTCCGAAATGGAAAACTTGATTATAATTTGTTCTTTGGGATATTTGCTACTCCCCGTAGTTGCCCTTTTCTACATTACAATTGTGCCGGTCCATCAGACAAATAAACAAACTTACTTTTAACATTCTTTTCTAGGTCTGATCCGAACAAAGCTAGGTTACTGTCCTTCCAGTCATACTTCTTTGCTTTTATCATTTTTCTTTAAATATATGCTAGTAAGCTACAGTGACTGAAACAATAAAATATGTTTGATAACAAGGAAGTAGGTCATCATGAAATGAAAATCACGACTCCTTCTCAAGTATCAGGAGATCTTATGTTGTGATGAGTGTCTGAGAGACTTTATAAGGATTTCCCGTATAGGCTGGCGTTTCGATTTTATTTGTAAGCTTAAACTCCCTATTACTGAACTTTTTAGGGAGGGGGAGTGTTTTCTATCGGTTGTATCCATGACAGCAGGAATTGAGAATATAAGATTTCAACTTTATTATAAGAATGATCTCACCATGGAAATTATCAGTCCAGTTTATACATTGCTGAGTAGGCCAGTTGTTTATGAGGAACGCTAGCTAGAATTACTGATTGAATTGCTTTCTATAAATAGTGTATTTCCAAGGAAAAGCTCACCCTTGAACTAACATTGTGTTATGATTGGTCAGTGCGTAATTATATTATATATAATTACTTCATTATTTATTTATTATTTATATTCAATATAAATATTATTTATATTATGCTGATATTCAAACATTGTAAAGATCTTGCTTCATTCTTATGATTAATGACTATTTAGACCTCAGTTTGCTTTAGTGCAGGGGAATCCCTACGCTACTATATTCAGCTAAATAAGAGATATATCAATATAATTCTGACAAGTAATTACTTTCAACAACCAATCATAACTTAGAATTACAATTTGAATCTTGCTTACATAAGCATGATATCAGCAATATTCTTACTCATATTTGCACAATTTCGACAGGTAATATATAAAGAGCACAGCAAGATCTGATTATTCAGTAACTTTTACTCGATAACAACAACATCAATAACGAAGTAAGTTTCGCTCACTCACAACAATGCTAAACAACTAATGAAAGGAGAAACTATAATGAGCCTACTGAAGTTTTGCTGACCGAATCAATAATGGAGATCGACGATCAAGAAATTACAATAAAATAAGGAAACAAATCTGAATGAGTCGTGTTAGATAAGAAGGAAGGAACCTCGCGAGTACCGAATGACCACAACAGATCCCGAAGTATACGATTGCGATCCGTAACAATTGATGGAGCTGCCGGGTATTGAACGTAACAATTGGCTATTTATTTGGTTATGGTTTGTTTGGTCATACATGTTAAATAAATAAATGAATCCTGGTCTACAAGGGATTTATTGTATACTCCCAACGAAATCATGCAGACCTATAGATGTGTTGCCAATGCATTTTTCCAATGCTCTCTCACAATCCAAATCCAACAACCACATGAACCAGCTATATTGCAGCCATATTGGAAATTTCTCTCCGAGCAGAGACATGAGCCGGAAAATTTAACTAGGTGAGATAAACCCCAAACTGAGAAATGAGATTGTATGTGTTTCATATCGAGAAGCATAACAACAAATCCAAGTAAATTAACTAACTGCCAACCGGAGTACAGGTGTATGTAATCTCCTTATTTGCTTTCCCGGAGTTTCTCTAATTGTATGATGGAAAGAATATCGGTGTACATTTTTGAATTCAAGCTTTTGATCAAGAAACAAAGCAGTAGCCGACTTCAGCCAAATGCATCGCAAGACAATGGGACAAGACAGAAACCCACCATTCTGACTACTCATACCATCTTTCTGTTTCACCTAACATCTCAGGGCTAAGATGAAATGAGATGTCATGGTTTATCATGATAGAAACCCACAGGGTCAATGATTCGAGCAGGAGTTACTGTGAAATAAAGACCTAATTATATTGTTTCAAAATAGCTGCATCTAATTGTCCATAATTGCCGAAATAATCCATTTTAGAATTTCTAAATGGCCCAAATTATTGTAAAATATAAATAATCACTTATCTTGAAAAGGATCCTGTTCTGGTAGAAGAAATGTGTATCAGTGTGTGAGTAGTATTTTCACCACTACCACTGTTACTCGTATGTTGAAAATAAAAGGCAATGAAAGAAATATAGAATATCAGATCATTTTGAGTGATACCATTTTTATTGAAACGTTGATATCATTATCAAATTTCAACACGAATGAGTCAATAAAAATGGTATCAGTTGAAATGATCCGATATTTGGTCTATCTTATGGTTACAATTAGAAATTCGTTTATCACACGGATATGCGTGCAGTGATAAACGATAGGCCTATCAACCACATACAAAATGAGGTTGATAAACGGTTTTCTGAAAAATATCGCACGGATTTCAATAATATCAGAAATATCAATAGTTGTTATTGAACAGATAACCTATCAATCGTGGGATAAAACTTGATATTCTATGCAAGTTGATATCTTTGTTTTTAAGGAATTTCCGGGTTTGATTAACGCCTTGATTAATTAATTAATGAATCCAACAATCCATCTAAGTTTTTATCTTTCAAGACATATGCATGGCAATAAGCGGAATTAATAGCCAACCGAATAGGAGACACTTAGAGTACTACTTGTTCAGTCAAAACTTTTTAACAAAATAATTGTTTTAAGAACATGTTTAAATGTAATGTTTTTCACTTACCTTCCAGTGGCAGCCTAACCTATGCTATGTATGTCTATCTAGTGCCTGATGCCGAGTGCAACACTCATTGGCATGTAGCGATTATAGCGATCCTGATATACTTGAGTGAATTGTGTCACACCATGGTACCACATAATCGTTACATTAACTTTGAAATGTTATATTTCTGGCTACACATTGACATTATTGTTGTATGTGCCAAATATTTCATATTGTAAATGGCTTGCTGTTTCATCTCGCTTCATCAAACTTATGACTGTGTTTGAGTGTGGGAACCAACGATGTATTACCATCATCTAGGATCCATCCTAGTCATCATTTACTGTAATGAACTGTAATTATGGTGTCATTGCCTTAAATAACATTTAAACCAGCCAGGTCTTATCGATCGATTCACAACATGAAGAAAACCTTTAATTTTCGCCCAATGTGCCTCATTAAAAAAATTCATTTCTCGTTTACTGCATATATAATATATAAAAATACAATACAATTTAATTGCCTAAGTTTTTCAACATTGTCGGCAATATGCAAAACATATCAAACTGGAAATAATAGAAATACAAGAGAAATGTTAGAGGCCTTCGGGGGGAGGGGGTTGATTAATCTAAAATATCAAGAGCTAAGTGTGAGATTGGAAATCTTACTGAAAAAGATATCAGTAGTAAATTCAGCATCAAAGGGTTCCATCCTCCAATTTATATTAATGGAAACAGGGGTCTGCTTATTTACTTGAGTGAGGAAATTCCAAAACTAAAGCTTAGATTAGACTTAATGAAGCAGTATAATGATTACTTAGTATTAATCACAAAATCATCACAAATGGACTTTTTTACAGTTCCCCTTGGCTTTCAATGACTCGTCAAGAAACTGAAGCTTATTTCAGTCGGTTTGAGGACTCTTGTTCCTTCGCTAAATCTAAGACCACAAGTTTTGTAGTTATCAATGGTGACTTTAATGCACGAAGTAAGCATTGGTGGACCAATGATACCAATATAACGGTGTTATAGCATGACGGTTACGACACCTCTGAAAACGAGATTAGACGACTACGATCACTGATTTATCCAATAATATGGTCGCGATGGAACAGAAAACTAAGGTTGGTGCATTATTTTCTTCTACTGTGTATCAATGAAAGGATGAACGATTTTTGCAGGCATCGCATTCGGTGATGCATTTAGTAAGGTATATTTTGAATGTATTCTATGCAAATTGATGCCCGGGGATAACATGAAATAAGCGAAAAACTGTTGAGTTTGAAATTCAAAATTACACAAAATTTAGTAATTTGTTTATTTTTGTCGTTAGGGCATGGTCTACATTGCCTTACGACCTCGGGGTATATAGATGTAACCTACATACGATCATTAAAAGCCAATTGAGCATTGGAAACCACCTAATATGTTCTACTTAACTCATAATATTGTATTTTTAATTTGCGTAACAATTGATTGACGGTTACGCGAACCTCGTTCAAATATGTATCTCAGATTCATTATTATTAATTTTGTCATATGCATCAGTACTTGATGCTAATTCTTCTTTTGCCTCTTCATTGCTATCTTTTTGACTTAAATTGATTTCATAAATAAAGCAAGACACAATTTTTTCCTTGCCCTATAGAGGGTCAAACATGAGCGTCTCTTGCGAGTCCTGAAAACAAATATAAGCAATTCAATATTCCATTTCTTACCCATTATAACAATAACATGGAAAGAGGCTATCAGAACTAGCAACCTTGACTTGAAAGATGTACATGCACGTAACCGTCCGCTAAATATCTAATGTACATCTAATACAATACGTTACCGTCCATAGAATTCATACGTAGTCGTCTAACGACATTGCGTTTGAAACCTTATTATTTACAATATGACCACGTTCCTGTTCTGGATTTGTCATTTTATGGCTTGTTTATACACAGTTTACTTACTGTTAATAGTTTGAGTGGCTCTGAGGCACATATACAGGGAAATCAGAGAATGGACTAAAAAATATGAACTTGGACATCTCAGTCGGTAAGTTTACAGCTTATATTCCGCTTCTAGTAAACCACCTGGCAGATTTGACCCAATCTTTATAACCATCCATATATACGTCACCGAATGGAACTAGTTGAAAAGGAAATCTTATCTGTGAATCTTGCCTACAGGCGAGAAAGAGGACACGCTGTCTTTCCCATCCGCCATTTTTTGTTATCGTTACCGCAAAATTTTGCAAATCGCCTTGACGTAACCGTCATGCTATAATAAGTATGAAGGTGATATTTTATGATATTCTACTCAAACTAAACTTACTTTCCATATACAATTTATTTATTGTTGTTCATATAAACCATTATAAATTATTACAAGACATGCACACATTAAAGGAACGTAAAATGGATTAAAATGCAATTAAAAAGAAAATGCGGTGGTTTATCGGTTTTAAAACTTATTACCCGACTAATTATCGCCGGCTAGTTGATTTCCTGAACTGCATGCACATTGTAATAGTTAAAAATATGGCATCCCAAGTTCCCAACTATATGTGTCCTGTTTCATTAACGGAATCTCCAGCCAGAAGACACTGTTAGGTTGCTTTACTTGAATCATGGTTTTGAAATAATGTCCATAGTTATTGCTCCATTGTAATTGTCTTAGATTTGGTGATAATCTCAGCTATTGAGTAAATAGCCATTGTACATAAATTCAAATGAAACATTACGAAGATATAATGGTATATACATTTACAAAAGTAACAGTTTTGAGAGTTGCAAGTGTTTTGTATATGGCACGATTAGGCAGCAAGGGCAGTCTTGAAAGACAGGTTGTACTGTCCCTCCCTCAGCACGGTCACTGGAAGGTATGGCTTGGGGGACTTTGCCAGGTATTTCTGAAAGAACAAAATATCACAGATTGCTCAAAGTTACAAGTCTGTGAGTATAGATTCGTGGAATTTCAGAATATGTGAACATAAAGGCCTCACATATATTTGTAACCCTACGATGAGTGTTTTTTGTTGTTCTATTTCTTTGGTGAGGTACAGACTTCCTAAACCAAGGCCATACACAAATTATCTATCGCTGTAAGCCGGGCAACGAAACACAAAAGAAATATTTTTACTGATTTTTGGACTGTCAACTTCGACATGTTGTCACGAGACACACCAAATCTTGGTTTCATTGGTTTCACAGTTTTGTACTATGTACACTATTCATCATATCTATAATATATAACAACAACTTACATGTGCATACATCATGGCACTCTTCTTCTCTTGGGCAGAGGCGCCAAGACCAACCCAGACAAATAGATCCTGAGTAGTATCAAACATGAAAACATCCTGAAAAGAATTGATCACATTTTTCCCAAAAATGCCAAGACAATGTAGTCCTGATGTTAAAGACAGTCAAAGTCATTCTACTCCACACATCAAAACTTACACACGTTTAAAGTACAATAACCAATGATCAAATTGAGAAAAAATGAAGGCCCTTGTTGATCAGCGCCACAAAAACGACCTAGACCGACCATTCATCGGATATATCTCACACGTCACATACCTTGGTATCGAAGTCAGCAGATGTAACATCTCCAGTCTTCTTAACATTAAACTGGACGTTTCCTGATTGATCGGACAATCTAAAGCAAAATGTCAAACGAAATCATAACGAATTAACTTTCCTTAACCAAACTCATATATATTTTCAATGATAATGTCATACAGAACTTGGAATGTTCTTTGTGAAAAACTGGTGAATGCGGACAGCAATTTCAACTAAAATTTGATTGGAGCAAACTAGCAAAGATTTCTCATTGGTAAGGATTACACCCTGACAAGTACTATACTCTTGTAGTCAAGTAAGTTCACTTACTGCATAAGTTTCTTTTCGTTATCTGCGGCGTCTGTCTCGTCATCATCATCGTCGTCATCATCTTCCTCTGGTATGCTTTTGTAGAACAAATGCTGAACGGTAAAAATAGAAATACATTGATAAAAAATTCAAGCACCAATCAATGAATTGTTGGAAATTCATTGCACGTGATTCTAGTTTCTAGTTAAGACGAATTTTAAAGCTAGCATATTAAAATGGGTGTAAAATATCTTATATGAAAATTGTCACCATCTGCCATTTGTTACAGACGCCGCGCCATGTTACAGAATCAGAACGTCGAACATCAACCACTGTTAACAAAAACGTTGGAGACTCTAACAATATGTTACACCTCAATTGATAACCCTACTATCACACCAAACTAGTTCTCACTACGTTCTCGAAAACGGGCTTCAACTGTGTACGTACGGACTGGACGAACTTAGAACCGTTTGAGGTATATTTACAAACTTCATCGAACGTACTCGAACAGGTAGGTCCTCTAGAACTAACATGCTCTAAATGTTCTCTTGGTAGTCAAAACTGGTTTTACTGTGTGCGAACGGAATGAACGTAGCTACAACGTTCTACGGTCTGTTTTGATGGCGACCATACCGTTCTGTAATCAGGTCATGATGACCTTCTAGACTAAGGGACGCGTTATACGACGTTGCACACCGACGTGGTGCGACCTGAACGAACTGCGAACGAGATGAACGTATTGAAGACTGTTTATGAACGAAGTAGCTAATTATTTTAGACATATTTCCTGACCACAGCCAGATTAAGCCAGTTTTACGACGTTTTCGTAAGACTTGCAAGAACGGGTAAGAACTAGTTTGGTGTGATAGGGGGTTTACATAAAAACCTGGACAACATTGGTTCCTTCTTTTTCACAAACATAGTAAGCACATACCTCTGGATTGAGTCTTGCTTCATCCAGATTCTGGGTGTCAGCCTTACCACCTCTTTCTCCTTTTAGTTTCTGTAGAAATTGTACTGCCTGGAACGTAGTAATAATTTTATGTGATTACATTTCGTTGGGTGTTACATATACTTTGCATTGTGTTGGTTGTGTTGTGTGGTGTTATTTTAGGTATTTTGTGTTATGTTGTATGAAGATAATCTATTTGTAAAAAAAGTTGAGAACAAGCCCTTCAAAGTGCTTCTTTTATTTAAAAAAGACGATCCTCCAAGTTAAAACAAAATGCTTAATCCATTGAGAAAAAATGTCTTCTAAATTCAGAAAAAATATTGAGGCTTATTTGATTCACATTATAACATTAAAAAAACATTATTATACAGACTCTCAATTTGTTTTCCTAATATACACCCATAATACTGAAAATAAACTTGGGAACGAGATGTCTTGGGTAAGAGTTGACTAGGAAGCGTAACGGCCATCATCTTTTACAATTGACGTTACAGTTGAGTTGCAATGCGAGGTCCGATAAGCTGCAATTTTATCTCTGCTCTACCCCTTGTTTCCTCAATCAAGGCCATCGTCTGAAATGTCCCTGACCAAGGAGCCACAAGCACAATGGTCTCACACGAATATGTTCTTGCTTTTTGAACAGAGGGCAACCGAGAAAAAACAATACCATATTGCGGAATTTGAGAATACTTACCTTGAATCTCTCATCTTTGTTTGAGCCTTCCCCATTCCACTGAATGATTTTCAAACCAAGATCAAGAATATACACATCGTCGCTCTTCAGATTTTTGCGCGTACGTGCTACCTAAATTAGTTTTGAAAATTATCATAATGACATTGTAGACATAATTATTTATACATGTATACACTATCTTTTAAAAATCTCTTAAAAGTATTATTCCAAAGTGTGTAGCTTTGTTTGATTTAATGGACATAGAAATAAGCTATCATTGTAATTTAATAAATTTATACTTATCGGACGATGTACCTCTTTAACAATGACTTTCCTTCCTTTACCATGGAAGTGGAGGAGTCTTGGTTCATACTCCTCTGCTTTTACGTGACGGAATCCACTAGCAGCGCCACCTTTCAGATACCTAAAATTCACACATACGGATATCTTTTGTTAAGACTTGTAAAAAGACGTAGTTTTGTGTTTTTATCAGTAATCAACACACCATTTATTACTGCATAAAACAAAATAAAAGTACAATGCATGATGCCAATACATGATGTTGCATTTACAAACCTCCGGGCTAAAATACACTATGAATTCCAACCTGATTTCATCAAAATAGCTCAGGAATAATTCCGACTCATGTCCCATCACCTCTCTGTGTTGAACTGGCTTGTCATCTAAGAACGTATCCAACTCCACGGTCTTGTAAGCAGCAGTTCCGTACTCATCCTACCAGAGAATTACAAATATGTATGCACAAGTGCCAATGGGAAATGACCAAAAGTTGTTACAACAAACCCCAACTATCCCAAACCGTGATCTAACGTGAAAAAATAATGTCTATTGCCAGATTGCACATTTATATCTCCCGATAGATGTCAGAGAATATGCAATTAATATCAAGATATCTTGATTCACAAGGTTTCAGTTGCTCACCTTGGAACTCGAAGATGCATTAAAGACCCACTATGTTTAAATCTGGTGGAGATGTCAGTTACCTGTGTGCTGTATTTTCCTATCCAGAAATGAACGTCATACTCGATTTCATCAGAGTCCTCCTTCTTGTATTGCTAAAAATAAGGCCAGTCATTTCTTTCTTATATTTCGTCACTTTTAGTGGAGAGTTCATTAAATAGATATGCAGAAAAGGGGCATAGGGTAAAACTAAATATCAATTTGAACGTTGAATAATAACAGAATAATGCAGATTAAATATTGTATTTGCCATATTACTAGAAGCGATATCTTTGACCTTTATTAGCATTTTACCTCGTTACGTCGTACTACCAATGATCTATAATTGAAGATCTATAACATCGGTTTTTCTACTTTTCTACTTTTTGCTACATCTAGAAGGAGAATATCCTCATTCATACAAGGGCGTTACAATACCCGGGAATTAATCGGTTTGTGCAGTACATGTTTGTGATAGCGCCCTCTGCAGGCCACTGCGGTTATTAGGGTGTAGCAAGGGAAAGATCAATACCCGGTGATTTCAGCGGGAAGTGGCGTTTCGTTCATTGGATGAGCTGCGCGCGCACGCATAAATGTGATTATCCAATATAATAAGGGGAGGGCTATTTGAAGTAGTTTTTGGTGTCAGGCGCGACCCAGGGCTGTTGTCTTAAGGACATTTCGTTGAAAATGAGCCATTCGGCTGATAATTGGTAAGAGTTTGCGATCTTATAATGTATAACTGTTACTCAGACACATATTTTGACACGATTCTGTTGGAAATAAGCTTTGAACCGAGAGATATTCACGATTGATATGCACATTTTTGATTGTGCCATTGCTTTTCTATTGCACAACCCATGTATAGAAGAAACATTAATAATACAGATTGGTTTACCTTCAATACATGGCAGACACTACATATCGGTCTATTAATACCAGTTTGTGCCTTAAATAGTTTTATATTTCCATCCACGGCCTGGAGCCTGGGTGTGTTTGTCTCTTATGTGTATGCTTGTGCATGGACTTCTAATCACTAGCAGAATTTAACATGATGCAAACTCGACATTATAACTCATGCTGTAACATTTTGACTTCGCTGGAAAACAAGAGGAATTATTTTTCTTGCCAATCAATCATGAATCACAATCAAAATTTCAGAATGATCAATCAGGCAATGATCCAAATCAAGTGATAACATTATATGATATTCAGCAAGAAGTCCGGTAGAAATACAGAATATTTAAACATCAAAGCTGAAAGTTAAAATCTAATCTGTCAATTTTCTGTCTGCAAAAGAGCGTCCCAAGAGCGTTTACATTTGACACAATAACAGACTGAGGCCTTGAAATCTAGGATTCCCCAGGAAAATATGACGTCATACTAATTAGCATAAGGATTTCCCTATTGGGGTGGGTCGAGCCTTGTTCGAAAACACAATCCATAAATACATGCTAATTTCTAAGGAGATAGGAAGTGTATAACGTGTTTATCGATTTTGTTTAAAGATTTAATCAATTATCAAATTGTTTAAGTGGATAAAGTGGTCACACTTGCTTCAATTCATAGCGAAATCGACGGATAGAAACTGACCGAATTCCCGATATCCTACCCCGTATTACTGTAGGCTATAAGCACAGTGACCTACAGAGGGCGCTATCACAAACAAGTACTGGACGAACCGATAAATTCCCGGGTATTGTAACGCCCTTGATTCATATTGGTGCTGAGGTAGTATCAAAAGGGATGTTAAGTTCACTCAAGCAACCGTTAACAAAACGTAACTGCTAGTTAACATCAATGAAGACGCATCATGCACAAGTACTCACATTCAGTATAATATATGAATCCCCATCAAAAAAGGAACCGTAATCTTCTGCTGGCCATTCTGTGATGCCAAATTTCTGAAATGTTAGCATGATCCACAAGGTGAAATATCTAGTAAGATTACTACACACACACACGACAGTGACAGTGACGTTGTTGAAATGAAATATGACGTCACACGCGCATACAATGTTAACTCAAAGAAACACCAAAAGGAGAACACCATTTGCTTTCATTAAGGGAGACATACAACAGACTGAGGACAGCAGACATAGATGGAGAGTGAAAGACACGGGAATTGTATTAAAACAGAGGTCAGGCATGGTTAATTGTTGAATATATGATGTTATCCAATCAGCGTTCGTAGTACTAAAACAAGAAATACTGCATACAAGACGTGTCTAGTATGAACATTTACTCGTTGTTATCAGCGATGAGATGCTAAAAGAAAACAAGTTTATATTAATAAGGGGCTAAGACATCAACCAGAGCTTTGCCTTGACACACTGGTAAACTTCATCCGGGTAAGTGCACGTAGAAAACCCAGGGGTGAGTATGGTGAATGGAGCTGCGTTTCGTGTGCCGGGACCATTATTTTCCTCACTACTACTTACGTTCAACACGATATATGAATCGCCATCATAGAAGCTGCCATAGTCGGGGACAGGCCAGGCTACAACCTCGAATTTCTAGAATTTCACATGCAAAAGAAATAGTTCATCATTTTAAGACAATGGACAGACTAATATCCCTGTGTTTCAGATCTATTAAAATTACTAGTATTCTAAAGAATATGACAGACGAAGAATTCTTCATTTTTATTTTTCATCCTACTGTAGCTTTAATTATTGCAGCATTTGAAAACGTAAAAGTGTAATTGAATAATTGCCATGAAATTGATTTTATATTTTGGAAATTTTTAAAAATCTGTAAATGATCTACTTGGATTCATACCACTATTCTCCAGATGTACAACGCACTCTCCCTGTTTTTATCCACTGTCGACCATGCTTGTTCGCCACTAGCAGACGTCTCTAAAATAATTATAAAACATTGTATTAAGCCTGTGAACTTAAATTCCTTCTCATCATACATAATAATAAATATATTCATAGGGATCCTTCAGTGGCCGATATTAAGTTTATATTATAAAGAAAATGATAGAATAAAAAACACTAGCCTAGATAGAGCCACGATAACATTTTTTGATTTTTCGAAGGTTTTATTATACTCAAGGTAGATTGCAAGTGTCATTTTACCTTGTAAAGTCCGAAATGGAAAACTTGATTATACTTTGTTCTTTGGGATTTGCTTCTCCCTGGAGTTGGCCTTTTCTACATTACTATTGTGTCGGTGCATCAGACAAATAAACAAACTTACTTTTAACATTCTTTTCTAGGTCTGACCCGAACAAAGCTAGGTTACTGTCCTTCCAGTCATACTTCTTGGCTTTTCTCAGACCTTTTCCTGTAATAGGAAAATCACAAAAGTCACAAAAGTAACAAATAATGAAAACAAGTAATAAAATAAACAAACAGTCGTGTCCCAAATTCTTCAAATGATTTGCACTGACAAGAGGTAAACTAACTAGGCAGCAGTAATGATTAGACACAATTGAATCATAATTATATTTTATCGCATCTAACAGGTGAAGATAATTTTATGTTAAAAACAAGGCACTCTCTATGCGAAGAACAATAATTTCTTAACTCAGTCCTGTTGGTATAGAAGTTGTTTACAGTCTTACCTGGCATTTTCTTTAAATATCTGCTAGTAAGCTACAGTGTCTGAAACAACAGAATATGTTTGTTAACAAGGAAGTACTCCATATCATTATGAAATGAAAATCACGACTCCTTCTCAAGTATCAGGATATTGTGTTGTGATGAGTGTCTGAGAAACTCTATAAGGATTTCCCGAATATTTCCAAGAAAATAGGGAGTTTAAGCTTGCAATGTGTTCACAACCTAAACGTGAACGGAAAATATTTAAGCGATGCATTTGTATGGGTGATTGACCATACGTATAGGTTGGCGTTTCGATTTTATATGCAAGCTTAAACTCCCTATTATTGAACTTTTTTAGTGAGTGGGGAGTGTTTTGTTTTATCGGATGTATCCAGGAGGTGAGAATATAAGATTTCAACTTTATTATAAGAATGATCTCACCATGAAAATTATCAGTCCAGTTTATACATTGGTGAGGAGGCCAGTTGTTTATGAGGAACGCTAGCTAGAATTACTGATTGAATTGCTTTCTATAAATAGTGTATTTCCAAGGAAAAGCTCACTCTTGAACTAACATTGGCTATTTATTTGCTTATGGTTTGGTTGGCCATACATGTTGCGCTAAATGAATCCTGGTCTACAAGGGACTGATTGTATACTCCCAAAGAAATCATGCAGACTTATAGATGTGTTCGGCAATGCATTTTTCCAATGCTCTCTCACAATATAGTGTATTCATATCAAGAGCTTTCTAAAAGAGCTATCTAGTGTATTTGCTACAAGATTACATGTTGATATTTAGAAGTCGAGCACTAACTAAAACAACCAGTTGGGAGGCTGGGAGGGTATCTCCCAAGAAAACGCCACTCCAAGTTGTTTATTAGACATTACTCAAGGTAAATGCGAGTCAAGCATAACTTCTAATATTTAATGAACAGCAAATCCACGGAGTGACAAATCCTATGGAACAAAAACTATTTTGACAAATTACTCCTCATTAGAACATTCATGATAGAAATTAACGTAGTGTCTCTTTTTGGCAAAACGTAAGCGTACGATAATATATTCTTGTTATGGCATAAAATATCGTTTAACGAAAAAATCCGGCCATTTTAATTTTGGAAATTCTCTCTCGAATTAGAAGTTGTAAAGTAAAATTTAAATCATTAAAATTATTTTGAACTTGGAGGCAAATATTAAATATATAGCCCCTGTCGTATTATCTATAATAGAAGTAGATAAAGAGGCATTCAAAGTATAGCCAAGTTACGAAAAACGGAATGATCAGCCAAAAAGCCAAAAGACACAATCCTACATGATTTAATCCAAATCCAACAACCACACGAAGCAGCTATTTGAGCTATTGAACATTTCTCTCCGAGCAAGACATCAGCCGAAAACATTAACTACAGGGTGACCGGAAAAAAAGGAGACCATTGAAATAGGCAATATCTCCTAAAATAGACTAGTGACATCAATGAAATTTTGCATACATCAGGACAGTTCTATGGAAATTTGTTCCTGAAAGTGTCAATACAAGCAGTCAACTGGTTCAGGAGCTATGATCATTTACATAACATGCTCCAAATAGGCGCAATTGAGACCAACGCAGAGCTGGATACATTTGGCAAATACCCTTACATATTCCGACCTTGTTATGGCATTACATTTAGCATTTATTGCCACCTTTAGGTCAGCAATTGTCTCAGGATTGTTTTGGTACACATTGTCTTTCAAATTGCCCCACAAAAAGAAATCAGGTGGATTCAAATTTGAGTTGTATGGAGACGAAGCTTATCTGACCTATGGCTTCTGACTCAGTGGTCCCACTCAGTTACAGTATCATCCTAAGGAGGTTTTGGGCAGCCCTTGGTTTCCATATGGGATTTAATTGTGCCATATAGTGGTTTTAGTAACATGGCACTATGCCCAATACCTAAAGTGACTCTTAAGATTGGGTAAATCAGCACTTTGGCAACAGGATGATGAACCACATGTCAGATAACCCTTCATTGCCATTACAGCCTAGACTTGAATCCTGCTGATTTCTTTTTGTATGGATATTTGAAAGACAATCTATACCAAAACAATCCTCAGACTATTGTTGACCTAAAGAAGGCAATCACTGCTATATGTAATGCCATAATAATGCCATAGAGGGCAGAACATGTAAGGGTAGTTTGCCATATGAATCCAACTCTGCGTTGGTCTCAATTGTGCCTATTTGGAGCATGTTATGTAAATGATCATAGCTCCTGAACCAGTTGAATGCTTGTATTGAAACCTTCAGTAACAAATTTCCATATAACTGTTCCAGTGTATGCAAAATTTCATTGATGGCACTTGTCTAGTTTAGGAGAAATTGATTACTTCAATGGTCTCCTTTTTTTCCGGTCACCCTGTAGGTGTGGCAATCACCGGACACACAAACGGAGAGACGAGAGGACATCGACTCGAGGCGAACGGACGGCTTCTCTATTTCAAGAATAACCTCTTTTGGTGGAATAATTGATTTTATAATACACGTTTCTAGAAAGAAATGTTGCTAACATTTTTATATCATACGTTTATCCAGTTATTTCAAAACAGTATGTCTATGTTAAGTATGCAAAAACAACTGAACAAAGATAGTAATGAAAATGAATTTAGAAAACACAAAATGTGTTTATGTCACGCAGTGCCCTTTCCAATACTTCGATTTTGGTTCTTGTCCATCTCCGACTTCAAAGGTGGTTATAACACACCTTCTATGTTCAAGGAGAAGTTGAAGCAACTGCTTACTGAAACCTTGCGAATCACGGTGCTTCTTCATCAACCTATGTACTAGGGAAGAAAACTTTGATCATGTCGAGAAGCATAACAACAAGTCCAAGTAAATTAACTAACTGCCAACTAAATCCTCTACATATCTGGTTAGTCTAAGGCACAGTCACAAGAATTATTTCACAAGTACTATTATTTGAGTATCAGGCAATTGAGTGTATTTTGGAACTTCGCGTAAGACTGCAGAGATGTTCATGTTAATGTTGATGCGTTCAGAACAACTGGCCGTGGCATTTTGGAAGCATCATGCATATGCAATCCCTTTAATAACTATTGATAGGATGTAGGTTATGTGGTATTTGTACATACCAGTCGATTGCGAATGATAAATTGAAATATAAAGTCATTATGGAACTTTTAAATTGTTCCCCCACCCGAGTGAATTTTTCCAATGAATATCAAATGTTCTCATCATGAACTTGATGGTACGGACGTTTGTATTCTTGAAGGGAGTACAGGTGTATGTAATCCGCCTTATTTGCTTTCCCGGGGTTTCTCTAATTGCATGATGGAAAGAACATCGGTGCACATTTTTGAATTTAAGCTTTTGAACAAGAAACAAAGCAGTAGCCGACTTTGTCCAATGCAGGTAAGACAATGGGTCAAGACAGAAACCACAGAGTCAATGATTCGAGCAGGAGCTACTGTGAAATAAAAACCTAATCATATTGTTTCAAAATAGCTGCATCTAATTGTCCATAATTGTCCAAACAATCCATTTTAGAATTTTTAAAAGGCCAAATTATTGGAAAATATTGAAAAAGATCCTGTTCTGGTAGAAGTAATGTGTGTCAATGTGTAAGGAGTATTTTCACAACTACCACTGTTACTCGCGCGTATATTGAAAACAAAAGGCAATGAAAGAAATACAGAATATCAGATCATTTTGAGTGATACCATATATATTGATAAGTTCGGATATTATTATCAAATATCAACACAAATGGGTCTACAAAAATGGTATCAGCTGAAATGATCTGGTATTTGGTTTATCCCATGGTTACAATAAAAAAAAAAGTTAATCACACGGTAATGCGTGCCGATAAACGATAGGCCTATCAACCACATACAGAATGAGATTGATAAACGATTTTCTGAAAAATATCACACGGATTTCAATAATATCAGAAATATCAATAGTTGTTATTGAACAGACAACCTATTAATCGTGGGGTAAAACATGATATTATATGTAAGTTAATATATTTGTTTTAAGGCATTTCCGGGTTTGGTTAACGCCTTTGATTAATTAATGAATTCAACAATCCATCTAAGTTTTTATCTTTCAAGACATATTCATTTCAATAACCGAATCTAATAGCCAACCTAATATAATAGGATACACCTATAGTACGACTTGTTCAGTCAAAACGTTTTAACAAAATAATTGTTTTAAGAACATGTTTAAATGTAATGTTTTTCACTTACCTTCCTTAGTCTTTCCAGTGGCAGCCTAACCTATGCTATGTATGTCTATGTAGTGCCTGATGCCGAGTGCAACACTGGTACGCAGAAAACACAGTAAACAGCCCCTTTATAAATATATCACAGAGTCTGATTTCCCTACCAGATATCCTTTAAATCACAAAAGAAAAGTTACAAAATTCAACAATCAGGTACACAAAATGTTCATAGAATGGGGATAACAAATAAGTGTTCCAAAATAAAGAGATAAAATGAAGATTTTCTTAAAACCATGGTCATGGACTGCAAGAGAGAAGCAAGTTCAAAATTAGAGAGCAAGGCAAGATTCAGAAGGGCATGCAAGTGTTGGTTGGAACAACAAAACTATATCTACAAATAGCCTAGATGCAGATACCAAAGTTATCATTTAAAGATGCAGTCATGCCTTGGAAATGAACTCAATGAGTTAGCAATGCCAGGCGAACCCATGATCTGACCCCGGGGATCTGACTCGCCCACGACTACAACAGTACAACATACGATTGACATCTTCGTAACAATTCTTCCAAATGATACAGTTACATTTATATTACAAAAACTCCTTCTGCAACAACAAAAAGGGAAAAAACAAAATCAACATTCTCGGTAGGCCTATATTGCAGAGTCATCTGTTATTCTCTATATCTCAGTAAACCTTTGGTAACTATCTCTTTATCTCATTTATGGCCCACATACAGACATATCTGTCAGTTTATTACTTTCTGCTTATTTCCCAAATCTAGAAGGTTGCTGATACTGATAGTATTTCCTGAAGTCCAGATTTATTCTATAAACGTCCTCTTTATCAAGACTAAAGTGTATATCGTACGTTGTGTAGAACATTGTATTAACCTGATATTTCATCATTTTATTTTTTATTTTACACAAAAAACATTATTTTTAGCATGCACTGTTTATACTTTCAAGAAACAAGTGTCAAGTACTTTAGGATTAGAGTACAGGCAGACAGGGTGTCCCAAAACTGTACCCAAATGAAACAGAAATAACTCTGTTTTATCTTAACTTTTCACTTGATGTTTAGAGAATTCATTTTCCAATTAGTATTCAAAAATTCATAAAATTTGGAAATTACATGTACTGAGAAATTTGACATTTTCGAAAAATGACCTCCATCACGATCGATGCAGACCTATGAATGTAATTCCAAATATGGAAAAATGGGTGGTGGAGCTAAAACAAGCTTTTGTCTAAAACTAAATAGAGTTTTTTACTGAAACTCTCAAATTTCTTCAATAATTAAAATGTCTGTCACGGATGACCAAATGTCAAGATTATTCCGTGATTATTTCTCAGAGTTATTCCGCCATGTTTTTATCGGTGCAATTTTTCTCGGACACCCTGTATGTTTATGTACACCGTTCAAACATTTTCTGTATCACTTTTAATTTACAGCTCATTCACCACTGATTGCACCACATAAAAATTCTCTGAATGTTTTGAAAAGTACTTACCCTAGAAGACGTCCATCTTCAATTTTAAGGAATTAGGACATTTCGGTGTCTTAAATCTTCAGAAACTTCATATTTTAAAAATCTTAATTGATGCTTAGAGATATTCATGTGTAATTTACTAATTTATATTGAAAAGCACTCTTAACATTTATTTTTGCTTTTTTATTAACTAATAGATCAATAGCCAACAAATAATACATTTTTACTATACATTTACCAAATTAACCATTACATCTATTCTGATAATGATATCTACAACTAGTACTCATTATTCAATATAAGTCTCCAATTTTGACTAATCAAATTAATATCAGCACAATATAATGTTTCTCATTTATATCAGGAATATTTTAATATTTCAATGTTTCAAAAAATTGAAAGGTGAAGTGTCAGTTTGTTACTATAAACTATCCATAATATTTTGAGATTATATTGAACATGTTTTTGATGGGAATAAATGTCCAGTGTTAGAAGGTGTTCACTACAGACTCTGAGGGTAATTTATACAGAAGTTAGTAGAGTATGTGCTGAGGAAGGCTGTCATATGATGAGACAGGTGTTCACTAGACAGAGGTGTTCACTAAGACAGGTTTTACTGTATAGCTCTAGTGATCTCCCAGCATTAAAGCAAGTGGGCGCAACACCCACATGAGGTTTTGAAAACAGGTTTGCACCCACCTGAAAAATCCATTTGCACCCACTTGAAAATTAGAAAAATTGGACATTTTGACTAATTTTGGTCTGAATTGTGAAAAGGAGAATTTTGCACCCACTTGAGAAATAATCCTGCAGAGGACACTGAGCAAGTACAACTGTAGTATCAATGTTTGTGACATGTGAATATTGTATCCATGTTTGTTCCACAAGATTAATCAATAAATCGTTTGTTTATAAATTATCCATACTTGGGGACTTATTTGTGTGATTTACATTTCTGTTGTCGTGAGAAGGTCTTGGTGATCTCTATGACTTGAGAGTCTGTAGTGTTGTGTCCAAGACTGCGTTTATCTGAACAGCGTGTTCTTGTAGGCATACTGTATTCCTGAAATGTTATAATTACATTGGAATCACTAAATTGAAAAAATAACATGACTGCAGTGATCTCACCAGGATTTTTCCTCAGGTAGGTGCAAAATTCATGTTTCACAATTCAGACCAAAATTTGTCAAAATATGCCAATTTTTCATGATTTTTCTAATTTTCAAGTGGGTGCAAATGGATTTTCAGGTGGGTGCTGCGCCCACTTGCTTTAAAGCTGGGGAGATCACTGGACTCTGGACTGTATCATCAACATGATTGTTCAAACCACTTAGTAGTGTTACATGATACATGTGATGATACATGAATCATGATGATTGAAAAATTCTTCCCATATGACATCTAGAATTCAAAATTGCTGCCAAAAGGTTAATGAGCTCTGGAACTTGATACCATCTAACATCAATAAAAAAAAGTAAATCTGATAATTAGTTCTCCTGGAATTGTGATGACAAAGAAATTCAAAAACTTTTCAAAATCAAACATTTTCAAAAGATATTTTTAAATTTTTGCTGCCCAAAGGACGATTCTCGGTTTGGAGAACGAAGTTCATCAATCTAAATGAGCATTATCCCTGCTTCGGACAAATTTGATTTTTTTTACATAATATAGATTTGAATGTCCTCTTTTGAATAGTCATTATTTAATTTGGGTAATATTTCTAGATTTTTCTCAAAAAAATATTAGCGCAGTACACTGATGAACTTCTTTCCCAAAATCGAGACTTGTATTTTATTAAAATCGGTCTAATTGAGCGTTATCCCTGCTCCAGACCAATTTGATATTTTTACATCTTGTAGATTTAAATGTCCTCTTTTGAATATTCATAGTTTAATTTGGGTAATATTTCTATATTTTTCATGAAAAAATATTAGCCCAGGAGACTGTTCTCCAAACCGAGAATCGTCCTTTAATGAGCTCTACATATCTGTTGTAGTGTAGCCCATCATTTGTTTTCCTGGAATCCCATTGACAAAAAAGTGCCCCATCCAAAATCACAATACCATACCACAACATCATCAGGACAACCATATTGCACCAGAAGTGTGATGATGAAAATACCTTACCCATTTTCTGACCTGGACATCCTCTTGGAATTCTCCCTGACTCATCTGTTGTGGACTCAACAGATCTGAAGTAACATGAGCCATGTATTAAATGAGGCGAAACAATGGAAAAGTAAGGTGTATAAAATCTAATTAATTTAAAAAACTATTTCGAAAAATAACTGAAAACAAAGGATAACAAAAGTGACAAATTTAGGATCTGCAAGACATTGGAGAATCAGCTATTTATTTATTCTCTCATTCGCATACAACAGAACTTAGGTATCCAAATGTTATTGCTTCGGTCAGTCAGGCTAATATTTCAGGTAGATAATGATAGAAAGTGATAAATGTGTACATAATTGTAGTGCCTGGGTCACATTTGCTCAGATTCATAGGCGGATATTCAGTTTTGAACAAAATACTCAATCGGCCATGCTGCGGCTGATGAATTGGAGCCAATGTGACTCAGGCATAAGCTAAGGCAACATACCATGCTGAGTTGGATTATTCCAGAAATCCAATCCATCACATTTAGGAGTTGACTTCTCTTTCTTGATCATGCGTTTGATAAAGACCTCTTTGACAGAGAGACATGGTGAACTATCTTTGCTCTCACTAGACTCCTGTCAAAATAAAGTATAACTAAAATAATATAATATCAGAGGGGTATATCAATGCTGTCCTTCTGAAACCCATTGCAGGTGAGGAATGTAATACCTTTGGATTTATTCATATACTATGGATTCAAGGAAAAACACACAAATGTAATCAAATTCAATATTCAGTTACAACAAACTAAATAGTTAGTGTAACTGGTATGAGATGAGTGACTTATTCTCAGGCATTATCCTATATGTGTAATAATTCAACTCACCGCCCCTTGTAGTTCTTCATCTTCAGAGCTAAAGCTTACTTGAGATGGGCTCCTCAGATCAAGGCAGGAGTATGTTTTTCTTACTGGTCTACAATAAACAACATCAATTTTTGTACAAACATCAGATAAAACAATTGTTTAGTTACATTGGCCTCTATGTCTATTGTTGATTTCACATTGACAATAGATTCCATATTGATTACTGACATCAATTCACATCTATATTTATAACTCCAACAAAGATTTATTTATCTTGATATTGACTTACTGTACTCCCGGTTAATTTCGCAAGTTTTAATCTCGCAAATTTTGAGAAAACACGATTTTGTGGCTATTAAATTTCGCAAATTTCACTAAGTACACCTACTACTATGTCATCTTGGACAACGACACAGTGCACCTTAACCTCTATTACATTGTTATTTTTTGTTTATTTGATCTAATAAGCCACTGTAACAGACATTGTTACTTAGTATCCCATTTATCGCCTAAAAACACTTGATTAATATTTTACAAAACATAAAATGCAATGAGTCCCAGATAATAAAAAATACCAGGGGATCTAATTGACAATTTCACAAAGATTAGTTTTCGCAATTTTACCACAATCGCGAAAAGCGCGAAACTAAATCGCACATGAAAAATAATGTGAGTACAGTATGTCACTTGCCAATTGATGGATTGTAGACAAGCATACCAATGTCAGAAAGACCTTACAAGAACCAAAACCAAAGAGGGGTCGTAGTCTCCTGACTCATACCTTGCCATTGCGATATCTCTAGTGCTCAACTCCCCAGCCTCTAGTTCAGCTGAAGGTGTGGCACTTCTCCTGGCTAGCTGCATACATCTTGTCCTAGTATGCTGCAACACATATCGTAACACGTGTACTTATCAAAAGCTCAAATTAATAAAATATTCTCTGATCTCTAAAACTACCAATAGCCCTAGGAATAGTTTAAACACAGAATGTGATTAAAATTATGGCTCAATATTACCCGCCTCCACATTTTTAAAACTACCATCAAATGTCATGAAAGCTACATTTGAGATTAGCCTAAATATAAATTATAATTTTATTACCAGCATCAAAAAACGTAAAATTAGGTTAGTGTGGTTTATTTTTTATTTTCATTTAAATGAACATTGCTGCCTGTTAAAACCATTGAGTCAATAGAGCAAGCCATGATAGTTAAGGCAAAGATAATCACAAACTACAAAGAACAATTTAACTCGTGAAGTTTACACTTAATTTTTTCACTTTTCAATACCTGATCATCATCAAATTCATAGACATCTCTGCTTCTTGGTGAATTTTCTTGTGATTGCTGCCATTCATTGACCCATGTTGGATTCCTTGATCTGGATCCCTCCCTTGGATCCATAGATGCAGAACGCTCCCTTAGATTCCTAGATGCCAGTCCCTCTCTGATAGATGCTTTACCTGATGGTGATACTGTCTGGTTATAACAAGCATCATGTTTAGTTAGGGTTCTATTAGATGCTGGTTGACATTGCTTCTTGGATGTTGATTGTTTCCTTGACCTACCACTGACTAAGGATTCTGATTTGTGTGTTTCAGGTAAGGATTTTGAACTCCTTAGTTTTTGCTGAGATTGACTAGATTGGGTTGGAGCTGGTGGACTGAATCTTTTCTTAGATCGAGGTACTTGTTCATGAACTTTCGGTGTTACTGGCTTGGTTCTAGATCTACTTGTCTCAATGGGTTGTTCTACCATTTTGGATTTTTCAGCTTCTTTGCTACGAGACCTCAATCTGGATGCTAGGTTTTCCTGCTTTGCTACTCTACCAGATTTACGTTTCTTTCGTGGACCTGGTTTCTGTTTTGTCCTCTTTGAAGCTCTACTTTGGGTGCTTCTTTGGGAATGTAAAACTTCATCTTGAAATTGATCAACTTGTTCAAATGAATGGTCAATCTGCTCAGGAGATTGATCAATCTGCTGTGCGGGTTGAGCATTGTTGGCTTGCATCCCATGAGGTATAGACTCATTGTCAATGGTTTCATGTATCTGTGGATGGACAGTTGCTACAGGGGAAGGGTTACTTCTACTAAACAGGTCCTTAGATGACCATTTTTGTCCAGTCAATGGTGATACAAACGCTGAATTCGGAGGTCTTGTTTTTAAGCGATAATCATGGAAAGGTTTTGGTTTGTTTAATGGCTTCGGTACTTCTTGATATCCATATTCGGTGTAGTTGGGCATTGACAGAGCATGATTTTCATCATTTTCCAACCCATTTGTTGCTCCTGATCCTAACCCGGAATCCATTTTGAAGAAATCCATGTCCATTGACCAGGGTACTGTTTGCTCTGTATCAGGATTCATTTGTTGCATTCTTTGGTTCTCCCTTTCTTCATAGATTCTCTTTGCTTTATCTTGCTCTCTCAGGAGTCTCTCTACCTCCTCTTGATGTCTTTGTCTCAGTTTCTCAACTTCAGGATTCACATGTTCATCAGGTTCAGTCTGAAAAACATCATCCTCATTGTGATCAGATTTATGAAAGTTGGAGGCTGAGCCTGTAGCTCCTTCTCTTCCCATTTTTTGTCATTCTAGTAGTAATGTATGCATGATATTTTAAGAATAGTAATTCACACTGTTTTAGAATAATTAATGGATGCATTTTGGAACACATGAATTTTAAGAAACTCTTGGAACTGTAAAAGAACCATAAATGCATGTTTACTGTACAAATATCTGTAATGTGGGCATACTTACGGCATGTTTACTGATAGGAACTACAGCTTGAGATTGACTACTGCAATTATGTTCACTTGCAGTTAATGACTTCATCTAAAAAAAATTTCAAATATTTGTTGGCGTGACAGACTGTCAGTAATTTAAGAATTTTAGGAAGAAGTGAATACATCCTATTCATTTTTACCAAAAAAGTAAGACATTAAAAAAATAAGAGAGAATTAATCAAATATTTTTATAAATTTTGAAAAAATATTTTTATATGAAAAGTTAGATTGCATAATTGGGATAACATGATGATTGATGACTTTTACTCAACCTTTCTTGTGGTATTGCAAAAATAATGTTTTACAATTTAGAGGGGAGTATTCAGGCCAATAACTTATTCTTAAACTTTTTTCGAAAAAAATTCCAAAACAATATTTGAATGATAAAAACATACATGTATTGTAGTGAAATTCTTTATTCCCAATAAACTTTTACCTGAGAGTTTCTAGTTTGTAGAATGAGCCTGTAGTTTTTCTCTAAACCAGTCTCTATGAGCCTTTGCAATTCACTGCTATGTCTCTCATGAAGAAGGGACAGCTTGTTTTGAAACTGATTCAGTTCTTCACGAATCTTCTGTTGAGACATAGTGTGCTTATAGTCTAGTTCTTTGCTGAATCTGTAAGAAAAAGTAGCCATTATAATATAATAGTCATACAGTTGCTTTGAGTCTTTGAACTTTCCTGTCATCTTCAACTTTTGGATCACCCAAAAATTTGGATCTCAGAGATGAGTAAACAACATATTGCATTTTTGACCCCTTAACTTATGTACATGATGTACCTTGCCTGCACCCTTGGGTTGATTGACCATCCACAAAAATTTCAAAAATCATGACCTGGACCCTAAAAAGGCCATATCATAAGACCTCTTGATATTACATGGAAATGTGACCTTTAGTAACTGCATAAACAGATATGGCATGGTGGAAAAAGCCTGTAGGACAAAGTGGTTCTGTAAGCAGCAGGGATACTTTATCATTTTAACTAAGTTAACAAGACATTATATGCCATTCTACCTTTTATGTTGTGATCTTGTTCTATAATCTATTTATGTAATAAAATGAGACAAGGCGTCAATATGCAAAATGTCACCACCTATCATTTGTTACAAACGCCAACCACTAAACACCAACAGCAGAACATCAACCGCTGAATACCATCCACAAAAAAAGTTGGAGACTAAAACAATAGTGGTGCTACGATAAATCGGCAACTCGAATAATCTCCAAAAGCAGTTCGTTCAGTGAGCTATGGACGAAATGCTACAGTAGGATAATAATAGGGTCAGAGCCTCGTTTCGAAGTTGACAGTGCTGCAAATTCTATAGCTGGAACCGCTAATAGCAAAATATTTAAATGCATTTCGAAATTTTACTTCCGGGCGTCATTTTATTTGTTATACGCCTTTAGAGTTGATAAAATAAACAAAAAACATGTTTGAAGGTATGTAACACATTGCACTTTATTTGTATTTTCAATAACATCGATGATTAACATCAAAAAAGTGGTTGGCAGCGGGTTGGGAGATTCCCTTCAAAACTTTGGAAAAAATCGAATTTATTCGATTAATCGTCGTCAGTTTGGTCCCGATAATCGAGTCCGAAAATTCGGGCGAGTCCCACCACTATAAAACAATATGTCACCACTTATGGTGGTGACATAAAAAACAGGATCCTCATTTTAGAAAATAAGTCAAACATTTTGAAAAATGTATCGAGGTAGTTTTCTGAGAGATGGATTGATAATAGTATCCTATGGGACCATGGTTGGAAGAAACAAGACACACAGTGATAAATATCGCACTTTGAAGAGCAAACTGGCCACCATGCAATTTACCAAGCATGGCCAAAACCTAATCAGACCTTGGCACTAGTCTGCTCTTGCATCTGTAAACATTTCAAGTTGACAAGGTTAGCGGTTTTCCTGCAATTTTGATGACAAGAATTTATTTGTAGTCTTGAACTTTGGGAAAATTTAGATAACATTGTTTGTGACCCAATTTGATGACCTTCGACCTTGAAAATTTTGTAATTAGCTGACCTAAATTTAAATCCAAAATATCAATTTAGAAAATCAAATTTTTGACCTTTTCAAGGCCACTGAAGGTCAACGAAAGGTCAAATCTGAAATCTAAGGTCAGATTTGAACTTCTGAGAACTTGTAGATGTTTTTAAAAAAAAAATTTGGCCAATTTGGAGCAAGTTGAAAAATTCAAAATGGCCGCCAAATTGAAAAATTCAAAATGGCCACCATGTAATTCAGCCAGCATACCCAAAACCTAATCAGATCTTGGCAATAGTCTGCTCTTGCATCTGTAAAAATTTCAAGTTGAACGGATAAGTGGTTTTCCTGGAATTTTGATGACAAGATTTGTTGAAAAATTCAAAATGGCCGCCACATAGTTTACCCAGCATGCCCTTAACCTAATCAGATCTTGGTACTAGTTTGCTCTTGCATCTGTAAATATTTCAAGTTGAACAGGTAAGCAGTTATCTTGGAAATTTGATGACAAGATTTGGTTTATGTTCCGCCCGCCCGCACGCCCAAACGCCCGCCCAACAGCACAAGACGACGACAATATAGCACTTTTTCAAAGTGCGATAAAAAATTTATTCAATTAAAATGTTGTATCTCAACAATAAAGGGATAAAAATCCACCTCTAGCAATGGAAATTATGGTATTATTGTTACAAATGAAAAAAAAATCAAACTGATTTCAAAATATAATAATTACCGTTGGTCCAAGTGCAAAAATGCCTTATGTTGGTTTTGTCCAAGGGCTGACTGCTCTCTACCTATGGTATCTAGTTTGTCCTGTTGTTCAACCAGAACATCAAGGTGTTTCTCAGAATTCTCCACAACTGACTTTTGGCCTCTTTGAAGTTGCTCAAATATCTCAACATGCTCCTAAAATAAGAAAACAAGGCACAGACGTGAACAATATCGTACCTAAAACACAGCATTGTGGTCTTGTTGACCAAGAAAGCAAGATGGCCGCAGAAAAGTTAATCAGCTCTAGAACTTATCACTGTGTAACATATGTAAAAATTTGAACAGTTTGGCTGGAAACCTGTAGACAAGCCTTGATAGACAAGATTTTAGGACGGAAAATCTAAAATGGCAGCTTTAACATTTACCCAGAATGCCCAAAAACTAATCAGTTCTTGACGTTGATATGTAGAAACATCCCTGAAAATTTCAGATGAATCCCTCAAATGGTTTGGCTGGAAACCTGTAGACAAGTCTTGAAAGTGAAGATTTTAGGACGAAAAATCCAAAATGGCCACCTTAAAATTTACCCAGAATGCCCAAAAACCAATCAGTTCTTGACGTTGATATGTAGAAACATCCCTGAAAATTTCAGATGAATCCCTCAAATGGTTTGGCTGAAAATCTGTAGACAAGTCTTGTAAGTGAAGATTTTAGGACAGAAAATCCAAAATGGCCACTCTAAAATTTAACCAGAATGCCCAAAAACTAATCAGTTCTTGACATTGATATGTAGAAACATCCCTCAAAATTTCAGATGAATCGCTCAAAAGGTTTGGCTGGAAACCTGTAGACAAGTCTTGAAAGTAAAGATTTTAGGACGGAAAATCCAAAATGGCCACTCTAAAATTTAACCAGAATGCCCAAAAACTAATCAGTTCTTGACGTTGATATGTAGAAACATCCCTGAAAATTTCAGATGAATCCCTCAAATGGTTTGGCTGAAAACCTGTAGACAAGTCTTGAAAGTGAAGATTTTAGGACAGAAAATCCAAAATGGCTACCTTAAAATTTACCCAGAAAGCCCAAAAACTAACCAGTTCTTGACTTTGATATGTAGAAACATCCCTGAACATTTCAGATGAATCCCTCAAATGGTTTGGCTGGAAACCTGTAGACAAGCTGAAAATTGAGACGCCGCCCGCCCGACGCCCGTCAAGCTGACTACAATATCGTACCTTTTGTTAGGTACGATAAAAAGAGCTAATAACACAAAAAAGGCATTATTGTAACATGACAAAATGTCACCACCTGCAAATGGTTACAAAAGTGTCAGCATATCACTTGTTATGGGCCCTAACTGCTGAGCACTGATGACCAATGCCTGTGACAAAAAAACAGTGGGTTTAACAATTTGTCTTCACTAATCAAACAGAACAAATTATTTTCTCATAACATTCCATTATTTGAGCATTCCATGTGAGAGAATCATATATTCAGTCCAAAGTTATCTCTTTTTCAGAGGGGGAGAAACCCCAGGGTTCAAAGATGACATACGCTTATAATGTAAATCTGTATTGAGATGACATCGTCGCTGATCGGTTTAGTGAGTCGATCGTTGATTGGTTTAAAACTAGGTCAATTTGAAAACCAATATGGAGGGTAAACAAATATACGTACTTCCGGGAAAGGAGGTGCGTGAAGGTGGAAATCATATGTCATCAATTGAATCATGGTGTTTTCCCTCCTCTTGTCTCTTTTTGAATGAAAATTATACATAACCATTTCAGATGTGAACTTGTGAGATGTCTGTTTCATTATAAGTCAGTAGCAGAACTAACCTTATTATTTTCTTTCAAAGATTTCTCTAGTGTTTCAATGATGTGGTTGTCATGTTGTTTTTGTAGAATTTTAATCTGACTTTGTAGTTCTCTGATGATTGTGTCTTTCTGGAGAAGAAAAGTGCATTCAAGATGAGAATGGGGTTTGATAAGAAAGATACATTAAATGATAACGGGATTGCACTAAACAAAACAATATAAATGTAGCCCTCAACAATACGGTTGCACTGGAAAATAAGATTTGATTGAAAAAAAAACAACAAAAAACAAAGCCATCTGAGCATTCAACATTAATAAGATGTGGATAGTGTTTGATAAGAAAGATGCAATAAATGATAACGAGATTTCACTCAGCAAAACAACATAGCTTCCACTGGACAATAAGACTGCATTCAACACAAAGATTTCAATTGTCTAAAAGTTTACACTCTCTTATTTTCACCATTAATGAAACTAGAGTCATTTTCACATAATTTATAACAAAGCCATGTGGACAGTACATATATTGTTTACCATTGCTAACTCCTTCTCCAACTCATGCTGTTTTAACCTGGTATCATCTCTATGTTCCAGAGCTTGCACCACAGCCTTGTGTTGACTATTCAGCTCTTCTCGTACTACAAATACATATATAGTGTGTTTGATACATGTGGCCAGATTTCATCCAGGGACTAGAATTTTAATACTTTGGCTGAGGCAGATTGCAAATTTTACTGGGAGTAAAGGAATTTTGTCACGAATTGTATCCAATCATTTGCCGATTTTAAAAATAGTTGGAATCCAACTCTATTCATTTTTAATTTTTGGCAATCACTTAGCCTTTGACTTAGGGGAGGCATCAAAAGATCAATGTCTGATAGAAAACTAAATAAATCTAGTTTGGGGGGGAGGGGGTCAAAGCCATTTCAGTTTGCTATCCGACAAATTTCAACATTTAAATTTTTTGCAATTTCGAGTCGAAATGCCTTGGAATGGTTTAAAAATGAAGACTTTACTAGATGCCTTCTTCACCAAGATGCATGCAACATGGAATATCATGCCTATTGTTGTTGGCACATGTTTAAGAATCATGAATAAGTTATAGTACTGCCCCCATGAAAGTCCAAATTGAGTCGCTAAAACATGTGAAAAGTCCGCAATCAACTTTCATTGTATTTAGTTTTGAGGGGGAGGGGGGGGGTCCAACTCAAAACTAGATTTATTTAGTTTCCTATCAGACATTGAACTTTTGATGCCTCCCCTTAATTATGGAAGTAAATCCTAAAAAGAAAGCCTAGGCCCAGGAGGGTAGGTCAGAAGTTTAAATGAACATGGGCAACATTATTTAATTACACCCCTTTAAAATTCTAACAACGTGGCTACTTACATTGTTGAAGATGGTCAGTAAGAGAGGTTTGTTTGTTAGTCTCTCCCTCATTGACAGTTGTCTTCACCTCGTGAACAACAGACTTAACTTCATCAGCACATTCCTTCACAGTACTTACTATTGACTGCAGAAAGTCCCTTCAATTAAAGCATATAATTGAATAATGTACAAGGTAACATTCTGATACTCATAGCATCTTTCTGTTTCACCAGGGCTGAGAAGATTTGAGATGTCATGGCTTATCATGATGACAAGGTAATGTTAAACAGAAATGTTAATTCATTTAATTAAAGATCCACTAAAATCCCTATCTTAAAATATGAGCACAAACGAATTTGTGTGGCCATGATTAGAAAAGTAAACAGATACCTTTCATCACGTTCCTTTGCCTTCGCTCTGCTGATCTGCATCTGTTGCTGGTAAGTCATCTTGGTCATGTTCTGAGTTGGATGTGAGGATGTATTCACATTCCGCATTGTCTCCTTGTTAAACAGGGGAGCCTTTGACATGTACTTCTGGTAGAACTTCCGAGGTGACTGTCAAAAAAAGTTAAATTAGTCAGGAATTTTAGAACAGAATACGTGTTTTTTTTGCAATGCAATTTAACACAAAACAAACTGAAAATTTTTCTTCAACTGTACATACCTCGCTTGAATGTGTTGACTGGGAATTTGACTTCTGAGACAATCCATCCTGACTGTTGCTTATCTGAGAAAACTCCACCTGTGAGTTCAACATTTGTGATGGGTTTTGGCTTGAAGTATATGCTGAGTCACTCTCATATCTGTTCCCAAGTAGTTGTCTGCAAGTATTAAATTTTTGATGTTTGCATCTAGTTTTAAGTTGTTTATTGCATACAACAGCAATTGTTTTTGCAACAGTAAGCTTAATTACTTTTGATGGCACATTATACTAACTTGCTGACAAAATAACAAACTAGGAAATGATATCACTCCTCCCTAAAGTAGAGAAGTCAAGACACAATGACTTGACTGAAACTAAAGTACATGGGCAGGCCCGTAGCCAGGAGGGGTTAGATGGGTTCGAGCGAACCCCCCTGGCCAAAAAATCTTTCAAAATCATGCAGTTTTTCACCATTCTGAGCATTTTTTAAGTGATTTTGACCATTTTTGGACCAAAATTGTCAGAAGTCAAGTGCACCGTGCCCCCTGGAATTTTTCAAAAAGTGAACCCCCTTGGCAAATCCTGGCTACGGGCCTGATGTGCATAGTCATAGTGACAGGGGGTTCATGGGGCTTATGCCAACTGGCCCAATTGCCTTGAACCCTCCTTTCATTATAAAGCAAACCCCCAGTTGGGAACAACCACCTTTTCTAAAAAATCAAGAAACCCCAGGCCTGGAACAAACCCAGAACTGTCAAGTGTCCTGCGAATGGCGGGATTATCCCGCGAATTTGATCAAAATTAGGCTAATTCGCGTGTCCCGCATTGTCCCGCGAAGTCCCGCAAAATGTGGCTTTGACCTCCGCGAATTTCCGAAATTGTTGCAATCCCCTATATTTTGATTATCTTATCTTATATAAGAAGCTACGTTTTTGCACTTTTGAGGAGTAAAGTTTACCTAATTTTAAGTACCTAGCATGCTGTTGTTTGGTATCAAAATAAAGGGGAAGGGTTCAACTTTCATTTTAATTACGAAAATAGGGATGTAGGTCACAAATAGTTCCAACGTTGGCCTTTTTACTACCCGTGTGGCCTTCATCTCAGAACTGAGCAAATGTTAGCAAACGCGAGTTACAATAAATGTACGCTGATATCTAGAAAGGGTTTGTATAAAAAACCGGGTACCGGGTAGTAAATCCCCCATGCTGGGTTCAAACTTTGTACCCGGTACCCGGTCAAACAAAAACGGGTACCCAAAAAACGAAAAATACGAATATATAACATAATTAGATTATGAGAAAACGTGTAAGATTTGTTTTGAATTTACAAAAATGTATGTAACATGATTCAAAATTGAGCTAGAAGCTTCAAATAAAAAGCATATTTTAAGGCACTTTTCTTCCTCTATCGTTATGGCCATATTTTCATTGGTTATGGGGGGGGGGGGTGCGATCGCACCATCGCACCCTCTCCTGGCTACGCCTATGACATTGTAAGACATAACAATTTACAATTCAGTGGACATTTTGTCATAAATTGGGATAACTTAAATTATGATTAATAATCAAAATCTTACACGTTGCATCATGCAAATTAACACACGTCACCTCTCTGCTAAAGCAACGATAGCTATTTACAGATTTAAATCATAATCAAAACAATTCACGTACCAACATACGAACTATTGAAAATAGAGTAAGATTTATTTGTCTTGTTTTTCAAATCGTCTTACAATGTCATTGGCGTAGCCAGGAGGGGGTGCGATCCCCCCCCCCCTTCATTACCAATGGAAATATGATAGAGATGATAGAGGAAGAAAAGAGCCTTAAAATGCTTTTTATTTGAAGCTTCTAGCTCAATTTTGAAGGAAGTTACATACATTTTTGTAAATTCAAAACAAATCTTACACGTTTTCTAATGATCTAATTATGTTGTGTATTCGTATATTTCGTTTTTTGGTTTCTTTCGACCGGGTACCAAGTTTGAACCCAGCATGGAGGATTTACTACCCGGTACCCGGTTTTTTATACAAACCCTATCTAGAAAATTAACCTCATTCCTTATAATTTGATGTAGATTAATCGAACCCCTAAATCATGGGCTTTCAATTGAAAGCCCATGCCTACAGTATATGAATAGGTACATTTTAATATATAACATTATGGGGGTAAGCGTTTCATAGTTGGTCACGACGCCAGAAGTGCAAAGTATTGTTCCGAATTTTTGAATTTCGTGTTAGATTACGGTAATCACACCTGAAGCATGGTTTTTGTTTTTGATAAATTACAATAAAATTTAATAATATTCCTCTGCGTATTTTGTGAAATTGTGTTGACGTTTATTTAAGTTACAATGTAACGGTGCATTATATTTGATTAATCAGTATCTGAAAGTTTGATTTAAGTACTTCTACACGCTTTTACATTAGTCCCAATCACGCAAATCCCTTGAATGTCACGGGACATCCTGCAAATTTAGGTGGATGTCCCGCGAAATCCCGCAAATTTAGGGCACTTTGTCTAAAAAATCTGTCCCTCTATGAAGTTTTTGGTGGTACACCTGTTAACTGTCCCGCAATTAGGGTGTTTGTCCCTCGAATGGTCCCGCGAATTTGATAAAAAAAATCTCCTATTAGCGCAATCACGCAAATCCCTTAAATGTCCCGCAAAATCCCGCGAATTTAGTAGATGTCCCGCAAAATCCCGCGAATTTTGGGCACTGGGTCTAAAAAATCTGTCCCGCGAGAAAATCTTTAGGGGTTGACAGTACTGCAAACCCCACTTTCAAAAAGGTGACTATTTTTGTGCATCCCATGTTTATATCTAGGCTAGGTTAGCACTAGCAGTTCAAGGGGGAGCGCCGGGGGCGCATGCGCCCTCTAAAATTTTTCCAAATTTTTCTTTTCCAAAAAGTCCAATGAAATTACCTGTTATAGTGTTAGGATTTCTGAGAAAATTTATCCAGAAGCCTTTCTTCATGAATTCATTCATATTAAATTGTGAGAAAATGCTCAGGTTGCCCCAAAATTGTGCCTTACTTTCAAAAATTTTAGGGTCCACTCCACCCCCACAACGTATATATGCTGGACATTCATTCTTGTGCATTATTAGCGACCAATCTAGCACAAAATCCTGGATCAGTGTATGATTTAAAGGTATTCGATTACACACATACTTAACCAAACTCGTCTGGCCCAGTTATCTACTCCTGACGTCTACGTCGCAGATCTACGACTTCGGGTTTGGTTAACACATACTAGGCTATATTGCTTAATTTGATTGGTTATTTGAAACCATTACCGTCGTGCCAACCCCTATTTCTCCCCCCGCTCTAGCTATAAAACGAACCTCTGCTCCAGCTGTGGAAAAAGTAGCCTACCCCCCCCCCTTGGTTGGTAGATCTAAACAGAGACATATAAAACATATATGTCTCTCTGATCTAAAAGAAGAAGGGTAGCCTAAATCCTGGCTATCATGAAAGTACCAGATCGAAAGAGAACTTAGCAGCTAACTTAGCTAGCTCAACAATAAAAAATAAGCTTGCACAATCTAGGCACTAGATATCTACCCCCGTCCTAAGCTTAATTTTTGTGTTTTTTATTTTTAGGCCTAGCCTAGCCTACAAATGAAATTTCAGAACACGATTTTTGGTGAATTTTAGAAACCCTTTTTCCTCTACAGTCTTTATCTGTTCATGAGCAAAACAGCTAAAATACGAAGTTCGCGTCACAAAGTTTACTTACACAGTGTTTGTTGTAAATAAATCTTTCGAAGATACTTGATTAACAAACATTTTACTTAGTTTTCAGCAGTTTCTGTTTCCAGACGATGTTGCATTGAAAATACGAACGGGTATTAACAGAATGTTGCGATAAAAATCCGAACGATATTTAATTGCATTGTTCGGTATTTTACAAGCAGAACAATTCTTCATTTTTCTCGGGTATGAGCCACTGGCGGATCTGGGGGTGGGGGGGGGCTTATTTTTTAATTTTAGGCCAAATTTTGAAGAAAATTGGCCTCAAAATTTCAAAGTTAGGGCCCACTTTTTGGTTTTATGGGCGGAACACATATAATTTGTTTTTGTTTCTTTTTTGGTTTCGAATGCAGTATTATGCCCAAGTAAGCTGCTTTATGAATGAATCAAAATGTAATCAAATACATTATATACATGTACTGTATGAACGTCAGCATGGGGGAGGTGACAGCTGCCCTTTTTTGAGCCAAATCCCAGGTATTTTGTTCATGGTGCTGAGGAGACTGGGAGGAAAGAATGACTATGTGCTCTGTCGTAAAGGGAGAAGATGTAAGGCTTCAAATGCAAGCTATGATGGAGAACATTTTTCTCCGCTTTTTTAGATGAAGATGTGACATAGTGACAATCCTGTATGAGGAAATATTTAATAAAAAATTTCAAAAAGTACTTTCATACTATTGTTAAGAGTGAAAAAATGACAAATATTACAATTTAAAATGAGACATTTTGAACACCCAGTTGCAAACAGTATTACAAAATGAAAAAATGTAAATCCCTAAATTCGTTGCTATATTCACAGGCTGGTATCGAAAAATTTGTCCGCTGTGACGGAGCGTGCTATTTTGCATAGAAACACTAAGAAACCCACACAATTTATTTTTTTACTCATATGTTTCGCTATACCAAAGAAAGTTTCTTCCTCCATGCAATGGGTATATCATTTGCGGGTAACTTTAACTTTTGTTTGAAGTCCAACAACGCTAAGAGTAAAAGCTATTGAAAACGGCGCTGGGGTATCATGCTCCAAAATGTACCATTTCTTTTATTTATTTCTAATGGTACAATATAGCGACACGATAATATTTACATATGTTTTCAGCATAACTCTGAAGGTATTAATGATATCTTGATGTGTTGGGTATTTTTAATATTTTTTATAAAAAATAATGTTTACATTTTTTGTCCGCTGTGACGGAGCAGTTTTAACTGTGAACTACGTTAAGAATTTAAGATTCAAATTACACCCTATGCAGACAGAGCCTATGGGAAATATTGGGTGCGGAGCAAATGAGCGGAGGGTGCGGAGCTAACGGTTATTTTTGAATTTAAATTTGGGATATTTCTGAAACTAAGCCGTTTTGGGACTTCAAATATACCAAGATATGTGTATTTGACACCAAATATCAATACAATTGTGAAAATAGTAGCGCAATTCATTCTATAGCGACGCAGTGTGCCTTAAACCTTTCCCAGACCTATATATTTTGAAATTATCCTTTTAATACTGAGTCCCCAGCATTCATAAAAAATGGTGTTCAAGGTGCACTATCTATACAAATTATTTTTCCATCTTGGAAGCCAGGCAGTATCTGTGTGATTTTATAAAAATTCGGAAATTTTTCAGATATGAGCCCCCTCTAAATATTGGGTGCGGAGCAGCTCCATAAACGTAGCTCCGCACCCAATATTTAGAGGGGCTCATATCTGAAGAACATTTCCGAATTTTTATAAAATCACACAGATACTGCCTGGCTTCCAAGATGCAAAAATAATTTGCATGGGTAGTGTATCTTGAACACCATTTTTTATGAATGCTGGGGACGCAGTATTAAAAGGATAGTCTCAAAATATATAGGTCTGGGAAATGTTTAAGGCATACTGCGTCGCTATAAAATGAATTGCACTACTATTTTCACAATTTTATTGATATTTGGTGTCAAATACACATATCTTGGTATATTTGAAGTCCCAAAACGGCTTAGTTTCAGAAATATCCCAATTTTAAATTCAAAAATGACCGTTAGCTCCGCACCCTCCGCTCATTTGCGCCGCACCCAATATTTCCCACAGGCTCTGTCTGCATAGGGTGAATTATACCTTTTAAAAGTACCCTAAGAAGAGAGTGTTACGCGGTATATGGCATACATTCATGGTTGCGCGGTATTTGTGATACAGGTGAATATGCCATACTCACCTGCGGTATATGGCATATTCCGCAGGTGAGTACGCGATATTCCGCAGTGAATATGCGATACATTGATTTCAGTGAATACCCGATACTCACCTGCGGAATATGTCATACTCACTTGCAGAATATGCCATATACCGCAGGTGAATATGACATATACCGCAGGTGAAAACGTGATACAGAAAGCCTTGATTTGATTGGTTGCGAGAATCGACACTTAATGTAAAACTACGCTGGATTACCAATATAGTAAGTGCGTCGAGTACTAATATATGAATCCTGGTTTGATTGAGAAAGTTTATTACGCGAGATTGGTGACTAATACTTCTGCTAAGTTAATATATTCGATACACAGTACTGTTGATTCAGTAATCATTATAATAATTTATAACGTTTTACTTGTTCGTTTAATCGATGCAATTGACAATTGCGTACTTCCGTATCGCGTTCTCATTGGTTAGTGTGTATCCATATAACGCAGGTGAATCTGTCATACACCGCAAGTGAATATGCCATATTCGTTGCGGAATATGACATATTTTTGTCACAAATCACTTTCCCAAATTATGACAAGTAGCCTCTGGGAGATCTGGGGTAATGTAAATCTGAGATATAAAAACTCTTAGCATTTTTCGGAGGTTTGTACTGAAATCAACATGAATCAACATGGTGTAAACTCAACATAATATTTCTAATACATTTTCGCCAAGACGTCTTAGAATGTCACGTGTAGTGTAAATTGTTACGCGGAATATGGCATACATTCATGGTTGCGCGGTATTTGGGATACGGGTGAATATGCCATACTCACCTGCGGTATATGGCATTGGCATATTCCGCAGGTGAGTATGCGATATTCCGCAGTGAATATATGATGCATTGAATTCAGTGAATACCCGATACTCACCTTCAGAATATGTCATACTCACTTGCGGAATATGCCATATACAGCAGTTGAATATGACATATTCCGCAGGTGAAAAACGTGATACAGAAAGACTTGGTTTGATTGGTTGCGAGAATCGACTCTGAATGTAAAACTACGCTGGATTACCAATAATGTCAGTGCGTCGAGTACTAATATATGAATCCTGGATTGATTTGGGTAAGTTTATTACGTGAGATTGGTGAGTGATACTTCTGCATACGTTGATGTATTCGATAAACTGTACTGTTGATTCAGTAATCATTATAATAATTTATAAAGTTTTACTTGTTCGTTCAATCGATGCAATTGACAATTGCATACTTCCGTATCACGTTCTCATTGGTTAGTGTGTATGCCATATACCACAGGTGAATCTGTTATACACCGCAAGTGAATACTAGTATGGCATATTCGTTGCGGAATATGGCATATTTTTGTATCGTTTTTACCGCGTAACATAAATAGGGATAATATGAATTTATTCGAAATAGCGCACAGACATCCTGCATTCCGACAGATGTATAACCTTTTACCACATACTATTACTGTGTATAAGTTACCATAAAAATGACCATGTCAGGTGATGGATCCACAGTAGGCACAACGAAAGGCAAATACCCTATACTGAAATAGAGTTGACTATCATTTTCATGAGTTACCATGCATAACTTGGATTACAGTACAAACTGAGAAAAGAAGCTTAAAGAGTGGTCGTATATGCATCTCAGAATTTGAATTGTGTACTTTTATTTCGTTTTATTTTTCAGAATACTTTACGAAAGAGATTTGATACGCTCCCTCCTCTAACGTGTAGTTATAAAGAGATATATTATAAATCTAAATTCTTAACGTATTTCAGATTTGAAACTGCTCCGTCACAGCGGACAAAATATTTAAACATTATTTTTTATTGAAAAAATTAAAAATACCCAATACATAAAGATCTCATTAATACCTTCAGAGTAATGCTGAAAACATATGTAAATATTATCGTGTCGCTATATTGTACCATTAAAAAGAAATAAAAGAAATGGTACATTTTGGAGTATGATACTCCGACGCCGTTTTCAATAGCTTTTACTCTTAGCGTTGTTGGACTTCAAACAGAAGTTAAAGTTACCCGCAAATGATATATTCATTGCATGGAGTCAGTAATTTTCTTTGATATAGCAAAACATATGAGTAAAAAAATAAATTGTGTGGATTTCCTAGTATTTCTATGCAAAATAGCACGCTCCGTCACAGCGGACAATTTTTTTGATACCAGCCTGTGATATTTAGCAATATGGGCCAACATCTGTATACTGTATGGGTGATCACTGTATGAATTTGGAGTCAATCTCATCACAAAGTAAATGATTTTGAAAAAAATACACTCGCAACTTGCAGCACTTTCAGCTATACCTCAATAGCTCTCGATTTAAAGCAATTTACAAAAATGTTTTTTCCAGACGATGTTGCACTGAAAATACGACTGGTTTTTCGCCGCTAAAATCTGAATTATCTGTTTCATTGGATGTTACAACAATTCTACATTATTGAGATCAAACAATGTCAAAATTAAAGAAACCTGGAAGGTCCATGCAACAAAATATCATTAATTAGCTTACTGGAGAAAACGAGCCAAAACTTGATTCTTCGTATGCATGGTTGACCTTTCTCAGTAAAATAAACAGGAACAACAAAAAATATTTTTTTGTCATTATATTTTAATTCTTTTCACTATTCTGTTTACAAGATATATCAAGTAGAGTCCTTATTAGGCCTTTTCAGAAGTAATTTTTTATCCTTGACTTCTGCTTCGATTCCAAAGTCTTTTAAGATTTCTGATTTGTTGGCCACTCCATCTATTGTAGTATTAGCTATGATTGATCGTATATCAGGGTTGTCTTCACAGAGATTGCGTAGTGCTAGGACTGCCCATTCAGTGATAACTTAAAATGCTAAGGAAGTTTATTACACATTTACAGTAACAAAAGAGAGAAATCTAAGTAAACTCTTAGCCTTGCTTCAAGCAAGACTGTGTACCAGCCCAAGTGTACTTCACCTTCAAACAGGTTGGGAATGTGAAGTACACGGGGGGTCATGCACAGTCCTGATGCAAGACTAGTTAACTCTGTAATGTTTAATTAAGTTCAATAACTGGGTTATTCTGAACCAATTAGCTTTATTAATCATTCCGAGTCCCCCAGCTAGTACTCAAAGAGAGAGTGCAGATAGTGGATCCCAAAATCGTACTTGATATTTGCCCTGACATCTGAAAAAGCTGATTTTATCTCAAGAATGACTACAACATGTACAATGTTTTAGAATAAAGTGGTACCGATATTCGATACACTGTATAAGTTTTTTCTCTGTTTCCAAGAATTGGTGGATTGATATACATTGCACATTAATCTAAACAAGGTGTCACGATGACATGCATTTATAGAGAGCCTTTAATAGGTTGAATTAACAAGAGGCTTTAAATAAAGGATACAAGGATTGTTTCCATCAATCTTGGTCAGGTTCATAATCAGCTCCAGGCCACCAGTATCTTTAACCTACAAATTAAAATACACATAGCTAAAATTACAAAAATTGCTTTTAATGCACAATAGTGAAATTAGCAAAGAATAAACAGTTAAGTTACACAAAGATAAAAAACAATTTCATAGGCTTGATAGTTAATTAGTCCAATAGCATGAGAGTTATTTTTTGGATGGATGGACAGACAGATGGATTGACTGACTGAATGGATGGATGAACAGAGGGTCTTACAATATCCCTACTGAATTTGGTTCATCTGGATAAATAATACATGTGTAAAAGGGACATATAGAAACTAAATGGTAAGTTCCTGGAAAAGAAGAAATCAACTGCATTAATTTTGGGATGCCCAAAATAGGGTTTTAAAACGAAGCTTCATAAACTTTAACCCCAGGCAACATAAAAATTATTAAGTAAACCTCTAAACTTGTGAAGACAGAACTTCTCTTCTTTCCAAAACAGTCTTCTAAAAATGTTCTAAAATCTCTTTTGAAATGAAATTAATAATGAATAAAACTTCTCAAATGAACTGATATTAGACAGCCAACAATGATTTGAAAGGTTGAATTTTGTATAACAATGTTAGAAGTGAGAAATATAAACATAGATCTGAACAATTTTAGCCAAATTCTATTTTCTGAACCGTCTTATAGAGTGACCAGATCAGCTTGACCTTGGAGTTTTAACACAGGCCATCAATTTCACTTCCAAAAATAGAGCTGTCAATCAAATTTGAAATTGAATGCTGAGAAAAGTTAATTTTAGTTTGATGTGCTGATCTGATTTTCTATCAGATTCAGATGAACAGAAGGTTTATTATAGTGTTCAAAATTGAATTTGTACAATTTATTTAAAATCTAATTTAATAATAAATATATAGAGGTCATTATGACCCATTTGTAATAAAATACCTATCTTCTATTTTTTCTCAGCATAAGAAAGCAAATCTTCAACTTAAATGTTGTATTAAATGTATAAATGTATATAAAATACAATAAATTACTGAAGTAGAGAAAATGTGTCATAGACTGAGAGTAGTACATGTAATGTATTTTAAATTGTAGTATATTACAGTAATATATGTTCCGAGAACTATCCCCATTTTGATCAATATCATTTTTACCCTTTTGAGTGAACAACTCTATCTTATGTTCTCAAATACCTACCATGTTTTGATTTGCCTTGTTTTTATGGACAAGATTTGCTATTAGTTGAATGAGACTGCATTTGACACCATGGGCAGGACTTTCACTTGTCTTTTTTGACTTGAGTTTGTTTACACATGAGAATACACTATCTGGCTGTTTCCCCAGTTCTGTGATGTTTTTCAGAAGATCTGTAATACATGTAGGCATGATTCATTTAAATCTTCAGTAAAACCTGTGCATCGGAACACCTCTCAAATTTGAATACCTATCAATTTAAATGCTTTTTTGGTCACAAAAACTTAAAAATGTAAATACCTACTCCATCTAAATACTTTTGGTTGTTCCCGGTGGCATTAGGATGAGACAGGTTTTACTGGACTGTACATTCATTAAATTATTCAATTCTTAATAATCTATACATCACAAGTGATTTATATGATTTATTAATGATTGAGATTTTATGAAAATAGAGAGTGTATATTGCCAATGTTTATTCAATGATGATACGCAAGTGACAAATCCACAACTTATTAGAATAAACAGAATGATTCAGGGAAACCTTATACAACTCACCTATAACAGTGCCTAGCAATGTTGTATGTGCCTGTAGTACATGGGAGAAATGGCGAGAGCTACTACATAAACATAGTATCTCCAGTATGTGCAACACCAGCTGGCTGACCTATATGTGAAAGAAATATTGTTTCAAAGGAAATATCTACGAGGGGTGATCAAGATGTTGCGGGTGATCAAAATAAAGTCATTGTTTTAATTCTTAGTGATATCATCCCTCTAAACTGATAACAAATGTTGATGCAATAGATGCTGGAAGGATTGCATTATGAAAACGAAAAATGTATACATCTTAAAGAAACATATGAACTTCATATAAAAACTGAACAAATTTTTGCAATCATAAGCTAATAGTTATACAGTTTTTAGAATACATGAAATATTAAATGAACTACTTATTAAATTGTGGATGGAAAAATCTCGTTGAAACAACCAAATTGTATTTTTCAAGAATTCGTTTGAGATATTTTTTCAAAAGCTGAATTGTCACGAATATATAGATTGGTTAACTGTAGAAGTTAGACATTCTCAATGCATGACAGGCTTCACCTCTCTTCACCAAGAAAGGCTCAATTGGCCTACATTTTACCTTTTTTTATATTTAACATTTTTACTTTACATTATACCTGACTATATCTTTAAATGAGTACAACAAAAAAGTTGACAAACCTCTGAATTGTCAGCTGTCATTCCCTCAATATATTTAACACAAATGATAAATTCAGTTGAGAGGAATGTAACATTGCCAGGTGATATCGATGGAACCTCTTCCTTTTTACATTCATCATTTTTCATGCTTGACTCTATGACATCCAGCATTAATGATCTAAAAATCAAGTAAGTCAAAGGTATTAACAGGTGTTATATCGACAAATACATACCCCAGGGCTAGGCACAAATGTTTTCTGTACCCCAATCGACGGAAGAGAGTGAGGTGTTCGAAAGCTTTTGTGCCTAGCCTTAAGGTATGTATATGTCGACATAACACCTGCTCCGAGGTTTATATTACGATTCGAACATGAAAACTCACCAAAATCTTTTTGAATATTCATGATTGCCCGTCATTACTATGACCCGTCCCTATGACGTCACACATTACTCATTTTATCAGGTGCTGTGTCTCCGAATACATAGCAGGTGAAATGTTGACTTTGTACACAGTTTATAGGAGTGAATACAGTCATGCTCGAATTCATATTAGCGGCTGTTTGATGGGTCTCTGCCTGAGTGGCAGTCAAACTCCCAATCCTACATTAAACAACATCTACCAAATTTATAATTATGGTATTTTTTGGAAGTTATCTTTCAAATTTGGCATGTACATTTTGCATGTTTGATATATATTTATTGGATATTTCTCTGAAACTTTGGATGTAAATAATGCCATTCTATGCTCACTTTGACTTACCTACAAGGAATATCTAGCTCACAATAAATCTTCTCCAGGAAATCCTGACACTGCAGACAACGTTCAATGATGAATAATCTGTAGAAACAAAAAATAAGAAATGTCATGATTGTTATGACCAGAAAAGGTGAGATTTTGATGTTCAAACTCCATGAGACATTGGGATAGCTTGCTTGCTTGCATGCTTTTCTTGCCTCAACTAAATTTAGATTTCTAGGATAGAAATTTGATTCACATTATACATGGGAAATCATGTACTGCTTGCACTTAGCAGCCTGTCATCCACAGGCCAGAGGGAATCCTTGATATTGGAATTTAAAGAAAATTGAATATCACTTACTTTTTGATGTCTTAAACCATTCATACATGGCAAGTGAAAATGATTCAACGTACTTATCTATTACACAAGTTAGAAAAGCATAAGATAAAACATGTACTCAAGCTAACATTTTAAGTTTCATAAAATCGTGAACTATTTTTCTGATGGCTCTGATGCCTTGCAAATACATACCCCCATTCGGATTCTGTGTCCTGGACAATATTTATGACAGCTTTAAGGACTAGTTGTCCATTTTTGTCCAGTATCAACTCATTACATCTGGTGTCGTCTAACACATTATGCAACACCATACAACTGTAACTGCATAACTTTGTGTCTCCCGATTGTAATAAAGATCTGCAAAAACAAGATGGAGATTTATTACAGTGTCTCTTAGTACAAGAATAATCTACTATTTATGTGCCAAGACATGATAAATTTAATATAAGGATGGATTTGAGAATTAATATGGGGATGAAGGAGAAACATGAAATTACACAGGGGCTGAGTACTTTGGCTCAAGTATAGTGATATCAGTCTTGACTTTAAAACCGCATCTGTATTATCTGTATCTGTATTATGAGAACATACCTGTATATTTTAATGCCAATCTTGAGCACCTGAGCTATAGCTCAAAAATATATTCCACAACAAAAATGGTGGCTATTTTGAAAATAGGCGAGCAAGCCTTAAGCACATATGCAAAAGACAGAGTGTAATTATTTATGCAGGGTCTTGCTCACCTGTGAAGGTTCAGATCTAACAGCTTCCAAACTAATTGTTTACACTGGTTGTTATTGGTTACAAGGTTGCCCATAAACTGCATTGCACATCTGACACAAATCAAAATATCTTCATCTGAAAAAAGATATGAAATCACGCATGATCAAGTGCATGATTTTTGAAAGAATCTTTTAATAATTGTGTAGGCTTAGTAATTCAACAAACTGCGGCTGTTTCTGGGAAGGAAACACTTTGCACTTGACCTTTTGAATGTTTTACTTCAGCCATTTTATTTTTATTTATTTATTTGGAATTACACTTTTACAACAGTGGCACACTAAAATTAGGTGCATCCAGGTAAAATATCCATTAAAATGGTTACATCTTTACTTTAAAAGTTATGACTATAAATCTGTTTTAAAAAATTCTTTGACACTTTATCAAATTTACAATAAAAGTCATGTCCTCCAATCATTGCTCCATCTCCCAAAATCCAAACAATTTTCTGTTCAATTGGTAAAGCAAAAAACAGAGTACATATATTTGGATCGATATTAGTGATTGAGTTATAAAATAGTATACGGTAATCGTTAAAATGGGGACATATTAAGAGTCTGTGTGTCATATCTTCTACGCTATTCAAGTTACAATATGTGCATTTATCATCCAGTGGATCATTACTCAGATTTCTCCATTTACAGGTTTCAGATCTTAATTTGAATCTACCACTCCTTGCAAGGAATTTATATTTGCATCCTAGGAAGTCATTCGAGAATGTTCGAAGGTATTCCTCCTTGCCATATCTGTTCTTTAAATGTACATAGGTTTTAAGACTAGTCATATTATTAACACTGTCACTAAAATCGCTTTTCAGCTTATCAGACATATTACATTCAAACATCTGTTTTAGATCACTAAAATCAGTATTAAAATCTAGATCATATTTGTTAAGGATTCTATAGACACTACCAATGAAATCCCAACCCATTTGCTTACCCTTCTGGGCTCTTATTTCCATGTCGTTAAGTAACCTTGCATGTAAGTTGTCTTTGTTAAGGGACTTCAGGTAAATATAGTAATTTATCATGCTCTTTTCCAACAATGTTTCTATGGGCTTCCAGCCTAGGTCACCAAACAGGGCAACTTTGGCAGGTTTGCAATGGACATCCATTATGGCGCATCCCACATTATATTGTATGGATGACATTTTATTAATGTGCGACTTTTTGTCTAGTAAAAGTATTCCAGACCCGTGTAAGAGTGATGGGACTACTACTGTTTTATAAAGTCTATCACCGAAAGTGATTCTATTAACATTCAAGTGCTTATTCAGAATTGATGTCACATAGCCTTTTAACTTCTTTCCCTTTGGGACTATCAAATTCATAAGATGGATATGATCTTTTAATGATCTGTCAAATAGGACACCTAAGTATTTGTAAGCTTTTACCTCTGAAATTCTTAAGTCACCAAATGGCCACTTCTTCTCAAAATCAGTTTTTTGGCCTACAATGAGAATTTTAGACTTTTTCTCACTGAACCTGAATCCCCATTTGGTAGCAAAATCATTAGTTATTGTTAACAGACTTTTTAGTTGTTCTTCAGACTGAGCCATCAGGACTATGTCATCAGCAAACATGAGAAGTGGAATTTTCAGGTTCTCGAATGAAAGACCGAGTTGTGATTTCATAAGCTCATCTTGCAAATCTGTCATAACAATAGAGAACAGCGTGGATGATAATACACAACCCTGCTTAACTCCAAACGATTCATCGTCATACCAATCAGATTCAATATTATCAAAAACAACTTTATTTTTTAATCCGCTGTAGGCTTCCCTTATTAAGTTCCAGGCCTTACCACGAATACCCTTCTGCCATAATTGTACAAACATTAAATCCCTATTCATTACATTATACGCCTTTGAGATATCAAGAAAAGCCGTAAATGTTTTGAGCCCACGGGTTTTCCTTAATCCACATAGGTGTTTTAGGGCAAATATGTTGTTCTCGAGCCTTTTTCCATTACGGAAAGCCCCTTGAAAGTCACCATATATGTTTTCTTTTTCACATTGAATATTAAACAAATATTTCATTCTATTTTCTGAGTCAATAGTGTGCGATAACTTTCACAAGATGACATTCTGCTTGCCCTTCCATGTGATTGGTCAAAGAAACATCGTACAAGTATTTGCCTAAATGGAATGAAATATTTGTTTTCCTGTGAGGGAAGTACATGTATGTACTTTGAACTTGGCCTTTTTAAACGTTTTACTGCAGCCACTGATATTAAACAAATGTCATCATATTTTCTGTGTCGAATAGTGTGTGATAACTTTCACTTTCAAGATGACATTCTACTAATATAACCCTTCAGGTGATTGGTCAAAGAAAGATGCACAGGTATTCGCCTGAACAGAATGGAATATTTGTTGTTTTATTATATTATTCTCAAGCTCACTTCCTCTACTTATTAATGTTTAAACATTGATGAGTACATTTTCTTAAATTTTCTATTCTTGAATAGTATGTTCTGTGTTCTTCAGGATATGCCTTTCTATATCATACCTTTATGTATTTGGTTCATCAGACCAGTAACAAGCTGTATTGTATCTGCTAATATTTTGCCTCTGGAAATATGTAATCATTATTAATTTAACAAATACATTATTACATTACTTTTTGTAATTTGAGTAATTCATGGTTTGGTATTTGGTTATTGTTGTCTTTTGGTCTGACATGATAAATGTCCTAAAATTGTACAAATCATGATTTTTTGATATGATAAAAATAATCTTGATAAATCATAATATTTTATTTCTTCTAAAAGGTAAAGCAAACATATAGATTATGTATATAATTGATTATTTACTTAAAGTACTTACTTTCCTATTTCATTCTGATTTATATCACACTGAACACAAGAATTTCTAAGACATCTAAAGCACTCGGCAATTCCTTGTATCACAGCGACATCTTTTGTTGCCCCATCTGAGTAAGTTTGTAGTTCAACACCAAGAAATTGGAGCAGGCCCCCTAAAGCATGAATTACGGCATTGGACATATTCTCCCTAAGAAAAAGAGAAATACACTGTGATCAAAATTACTGGTGACTTATTTACTCGCTAAGCAATTATTACTACCCCATCAGGAATGTTTTAGTAACCTTTGATGGTCAAATGGGGTTTCAATGAGATGATCGCACGATTACACTTCAGGGTATGTTGGCACTCGATCGATTACCTGATACAAGGGCGGAATGTAATTATATATCTGCTTTGTATAGGCTTATTAGCCTTTTGCAGATTATTGACATACAGTTGGGGACAAAAATAAATGACAGGTCGATTTTCGATCACCATTTCCTAATTATGGTGGTCTGAAAGCCCATAATTTCCAAAATTGTCTAGATACATATCCCTTAAAATTTGTATATTTTACATTTTGTATAATCTCATCCACTGATTTATGGCCTCTTGTAAATTCTCTTATTTTTAACATGGGAAATCCTCACTTCAGCAAATCCACCTGTCATTTATTTATGTCCCCAACTGTAGACATGTTGAAACTGGAAATGAAAAAGTGCTCAGATTCTACCACAGTCAGCACTATCAATGGTATATTCTAAAAATATAGGGAATATAATAGAGAAAAGTCCATAAGGCGTTTGTGACAAAATTTCCCGGAAGTGTTATATTTCCATTTATCGTTCAAACTGAGACATTTATGCTAATAATTCGACGTGTATATGATTCTTACATACCCAATACGATCAAAAATGTTACTAACATACCAAATGAAAGGTGATTTCCTGGTCAAACTTGCAAAAGTTGGTCCAAACTCGCACTTGAACCGAATATTTACCGGAAGTGTTTATATTTCCATTTGGGTGTCACTACGGTAAATCATTGAAAAATATTGAAAAATCACAAAATTCAGGTTCTGGGATACATATCGCCATTTTCGAACGAATTAGCCCATACAAGAACTATATTTCTGCGTTCCCCTATACATGACCTTCATCTTGACCATATATATTTAACATAGGGTTTGCGTCTTGATTTTTAAATATCACTACGCCAACACAGGGACTCATTTTTAGGTAAAATCCCTGCTTCACCGATGAAAATTAACGAATAAAGTAGTTCAAGTTTACGGGACTATATTCTTGCGATTTTTTTCTAAAAATGGCACATTTAGAAAGTAATTGGCCTCAGCTTTACATACATACCTCAAATGGCCACATTGCATACACTTAAACCTACTATACACACCATTGAAGTTTCATGGCTTCGTTTTTAAAGTATTAAAAAACACTACCCGGAAGTGGTATTTACCGTAGTAACACCTTAAAGCAGATATGAAATGGTATTTTTAACCTACAGGAATCAATATAATTTTTTGATAAATGTATTTGGACATGTTTTCTCATCAGTATTGTAAAAATTATTTCACTCTAACGATCGTTATAGCTGCTTAATAAGCAATATTCGAATTGGTTGTGACGTTATTGGCCCCCACGTGATCTCTCACTGGTCCCCACGTGGCCCATAACGTCATAATGCCAAAATGTTTTGTTTTGGTTTACACTACAATCCTATGGTTGCCGTGACGTTGTGATTACTAAGGAACCAAGAAACCAAAGCTATATTTTGTATATGACGTTACTTATCACGTGGGGGCCAATTTGATTGATCAGTTAGTTTTATTTCGTTATTTATGACCGTTAGCAGTTATCTAACATTTATTTTATAATGGCTATCGCAAGAACTCTACGTTGGGCTTACAATGTAGAAAACCGCATTTTTGTAGCTGCAAGTTGAGAAAAGCTATTTCAGTTGTCCTTTAATATCCAAAAATGGGAAAATTTTACTATGATAATTTTTGCTCATTCAGCATTTTTTCAAACAATTGAGTTATTTCATGCTCAAAACAGCTGCATTTTCAAACTTTTAACACATTTTCTACAAAATCTAGTCATATTTGGGGAAATAGGTGAGGGCTGAGTCTCTAAAAACTGGCCAAAATGACCTAAACTTGGGTTATCAACTTCAGAGATCTCATGCAAAAAATTTAGACGCAAAGTCCCCGAGATTATTTCATTTTGAAATCATACACAGAATGTACTGAAACGTATGTTGTTAAATGCAAATATTTTGAGTCAAATGTGGTCCCCATGTGCAAAATTTGCCCTTTTTCTCCCCCTTTACGCCAGTTAGGCCCCAGTGTACTGTGACATCATACTCATACCATTGCTACAATGTAGCAATTTACAAATTAATCATGATTACTCTTCCTGTGATACACCTGTGGTAGTTGAACACTGTTTATTCCCCAGTGTGTTGATTGATTACATGCCAGCTTACTTAGTTACTTACTAAGTACGCAATAACCACCATCAAAGACCTGCCGGCACCTATTTATTTTCGGGTTGGTAATGGAATTTTACAAGGGCAATACGAGAAGAATTCAATTTTTCATTATTTAATGATAATTGCGGTAGATTTTACGGTAGTTTGAATAACATGACAAAATGTCACCACCTAAAACAATTTGGTCAATTTAAAGCAAGTTGGAAAATACCTTTTGACCTTAAGAAGGTTTGTTTGAACTTCTTAGAACATGTAAATGATTTTGAAAAAAAAATCGTCAATTTGAAGCAAGTTGAAAAAATACCTCTTTGACTTTTTTTGACATTGAGAAGGTCATTGAAGGTCAAATGTAAAGTCAGATTTGAACTTCTGAGAACATGTAGATGATTTTGAAAAAAAAATTAAGTAAATTTGAAGCAAGTTGAAAAAAGACCTTTTTGACCTTGAAAAGGTCATTGAAGGTCAAATGTCAAATCTAAAGTCAGATTTGAACTTCTGAGAACATGTAGATGATTTTGAAAAAAAATTAGTCAATTTGAAGCAAGTTGAAAAAAGACTTTTTTGACCTTGAGAACGTCATTGAAGGTCAAAGGTCAAATCTAAAGTCAGATTTGAACTTCTGAGAACTTGTAAAGTCAAATTTGAACTTCTGAAAAGATGTAGATGATTTTGAAAAAAAAATTTGGTCAATTTGAAGCAAGTTGAAAACAGACCTTTTTGACCTTTTTTGACCTTGAGAAGGTCATTAAAGGTCAAATGTCAAATCTAAAGATTTGAATTTCTGAGAACATGTAGATGATTTTGAAAAAAAAATTTAGTCAATTTGAAGCAAGATGAAAAAATACCTTTTTGACCTTTTTTGACATTGAGAAGGTCATTGAAGGTCAAATGTCAAATCTAAAGTCAGATTTGAATTTCTGAGAACATGTAGATGATTTTGAAAAAAAAATTTAGTCAATTTGAAGCAAGTTGAAAAAAGACCTTTTTGACCTTTTTTGACTTTGAGAAGGTCATTGAAGGTCAAATGTCAAATCTTAAGTCAAATCTAAAGTCAGATTTGAATTCCTGAGAACACGTAGATGATTTTGAAAAAAAATTTTAGTCAATTTGAAGCAAGTTGAAAACAGACCTTTTTGACCTTGAGAAGGTCATTGAAGGTCAAATGTCAAATCTTAAGTCAAATCTTAAGTCAGATTTGAATTTCTGAGAACACGTAGATGATTTTGAAAAAAAAATTTAGTCAATTTGAACGAAGTTGAAAACAGACCTTTTTGACCTTTTTTGACCTTGAGAAGGTCATTGAAGGTCAAATGTCAAATCTAAAGTCAGATTTGAAGGTCAAATGTCAAATCTAAAGTCAAATCTAAAGTCAGATTTGAATTTCTGAGAACATGTAGATGATTTTGAAAAAAAAATTAGTCAATGTGAAGCAAGTTGAAAAAAGACCTTTTTGACCTTGAGAAGGTCATTGAAGGTCAAATGTCAAATCTAAAGTCAGATTTGAACTTCTCAGAACATGTAGATGATTTAGAAAAAAATTGAAGTCAGTCTAAACAGTATTTGTTAAGTTATAGGAAGTTGTAAGAAATTGTTACAGACGCCGGACGCCAACCTCCAACCACCAACCGCCGGACGCCGTCGCAAAAAAACGGAGACCATAACAATATGTCACCACTTTTGGTCAAAGGTCAAATGTCAAATCTAAAGTCAGATTTGAACTTCTGAGAACATGTAGATGATTTTGAAAAAAAATTAGTCAATTTGAAGCAAGTTGAAAAAAGACTTTTTTGACCTTGAGAACGTCATTGAAGGTCAAAGGTCAAATCTAAAGTCAGATTTGAACTTCTGAGAACTTGTAAAGTCAAATTTGAACTTCTGAAAAGATGTAGATGATTTTGAAAAAAAAATTTGGTCAATTTGAAGCAAGTTGAAAACAGACCTTTTTGACCTTTTTTGACCTTGAGAAGGTCATTAAAGGTCAAATGTCAAATCTAAAGATTTGAATTTCTGAGAACATGTAGATGATTTTGAAAAAAAAATTTAGTCAATTTGAAGCAAGATGAAAAAATACCTTTTTGACCTTTTTTGACATTGAGAAGGTCATTGAAGGTCAAATGTCAAATCTAAAGTCAGATTTGAATTTCTGAGAACATGTAGATGATTTTGAAAAAAAAATTTAGTCAATTTGAAGCAAGTTGAAAAAAGACCTTTTTGACCTTTTTTGACTTTGAGAAGGTCATTGAAGGTCAAATGTCAAATCTTAAGTCAAATCTAAAGTCAGATTTGAATTCCTGAGAACACGTAGATGATTTTGAAAAAAAATTTTAGTCAATTTGAAGCAAGTTGAAAACAGACCTTTTTGACCTTGAGAAGGTCATTGAAGGTCAAATGTCAAATCTTAAGTCAAATCTTAAGTCAGATTTGAATTTCTGAGAACACGTAGATGATTTTGAAAAAAAAATTTAGTCAATTTGAACGAAGTTGAAAACAGACCTTTTTGACCTTTTTTGACCTTGAGAAGGTCATTGAAGGTCAAATGTCAAATCTAAAGTCAGATTTGAAGGTCAAATGTCAAATCTAAAGTCAAATCTAAAGTCAGATTTGAATTTCTGAGAACATGTAGATGATTTTGAAAAAAAATTTAGTCAATGTGAAGCAAGTTGAAAAAAGACCTTTTTGACCTTGAGAAGGTCATTGAA